CCCCCCCAAAAAAAAAAAAACTCGCAACAAAGGTATATTAAAATCGATAGATAGTTGAGAAAAGTGAAAGTATTAGCATAGTATAGCTTCTAAAGCTTCAACATCCCCGCCAGCGTTGCGCACGGCGTTCAAGGCAGCTTCACTCAGCTTGCGGCGTCGGTCGCGAGCCTCCTGCTCTCGTCGGGCCTTGGTCTTGGAGCTGCCGCTGGGTGCCACCCCGGTGAGGATCTTCTGGCTATCGTTGGCGGTGAAGTTCACAAAGGACACGGTGACGGCCTTGCCGCGGGGACTGCCGGAGCTGGTGACTCTGGTTGCAGGCTTCGGGGCGCTCATCGAGTGCGCTGATAGCTTACGACCATTGCTGTGGCGGCGAGGAGTTTTGATCTCCCCGCGGCTCTGCATGATCGGTCGCACTGTCGGAGGCGATCCGCTGCCGGGAGACAAAGAGGGGGAACGTGAGGTACATTGAATTTGTGGTGTCGCAAAAGAAGATCCCACGGACTGCTCAACACTGGAAGCATTACTGTACGAGCGACCGCTATCGCCACTGGTCGTGGAAGGCATTCCGGTCGGGGGATATGAGTGACTTTGCGTCTGCGAGAGATCGAATGAAGAGGGATCCAACTGAATCATGAGCCCTCCTTGTAGCATGTTCTGTTGAGCTGTTGTATTCTGGATCGGTCGCTGAGGGCAAGGCGAGGCGATCACTTGTTGATAGGAGGGTTGTCGTTGTACGGTTCGAGACGTCACCGGCGACCACCACGTCTGGTCATCGTGGCTCTGCATATCGGGCGTGTATGGTACGCTAGAGGCAAGAGAATCGGATTGCCAGGAGCACAGTGACTGAGGGTCGGAGGAAAGTGGAGAGGAAAAGATGTGGTCGGCAGCCGGTGGGCTTGAGATGCTCAGCGAGGAGCTGTTCGACTGACTCAAGTACCGTTGTTGCTGTCTTGCTAGTGCGCCAGCCGATGGCGAAGGCATCGTGATGGCAGGTGACTGGTTGAACATGCCGGACTCATACTGCGGAGCTAATTCTGGCTCTTGAGGCAGCGCTTCTGCCGGACGGGTGATAGGCATGCTAACTGAGTCAGCAGCCATGTTTTCTTGTTGCACAAGGATATCGGATGGTGGTGGAGACAAAGGAAGCTGCGCTTCTGAGCTGCGAAAAGCGAATTCTTGGAATCGCTGCGCCCATGCTTCCGGGTAGGCCATTCTGCTTCGTTGTATCTGGGACGAGCGCGTCAGGCTGGGCGAGAAGCTTTGCTTGCGAAGTAAAGTGCGACGATCATTGGAGTCTCGATGGCGACGAATCGACTTGGGAGTGACAAGGGCACTCTTCACTTTGCGACTGGGGGTAGCCGGAGGAGTGGACGGGGATGTGCGGGGCTCTGCGGAGTAGGCGACTGAAGGCGCTTCAAGGGTGATACTGAGATCTGAGACGGCGGAGGGGTGGATGGTGTCTTGTAAAGAGAAATGGCCTTGGCCTGCAGGTACATCGGGATCCTGCGCCAGACACCAAAAGTCCCGGCTCCACGTCGAGGCTGATGAATGCTGTTGCTTAGGGGTGGAGAGTGGGGGAGAGAGATCGCCACAATCGCTTGACAATGAATCCAATTGGAATAGTTGATCAAAGTCACCGGAGAATGAAACGTCTTTGTTGGCATCCACACAAGAGGTGTCCACATTGACGTACTGGTTGAATAAATCATTAAAAGTGTGGTCCATAGGTTGGGCGAACATTGTGTCGAGTCGTGGTCGGAGAAACCCCGTCCGTTTGCGGAAATCGAGGTCAGGGAAGCTGCCAGATGGACCCAACAACCAGCCAGGACGATTAGATTATGACTGACAATTAAGCTCAGCGGGAAGCCAAGTCTGGAGCAAGAAGAAAGACTCGGATAAGGTGCCGATAAGCTGTGTCAATGATTAAATGGTCTGGAATGAGAAGATGAGTGTGTTTGGTAGGTTTGAGTATTGGATCTGGAATGATCCCGTTGGATACTCGATGTTTGACGGTGTTTGGGCTGTAGGAACGGTTTGACAAACTGACAATCAAAGAAAACAGTGCAACTGGATGCAAAGAAAACAAAGCAATCAAACAACAGAGTACTGCGTCTATTTGAATTGTCGCGATGGCCTCCAGCCTCTGGCTTTCTGCATACATTCCATAAGATCTAAAGATGGGCGAGGAATGCGGCCTCAGCAAATGGGCACAAGATGGACAGGTCCTCGCTATGGCCCACCCACCATGATCGACTGAGCCAATTGACCCACGTCTTGCGCACTGGCTGGGACTACCAATCATTGAAGCGAACCGCCCTAGTGGCTGGAGGTCTTTCCATTCACTCTCAGGGCTTGGTTCCCCTTATGGCCACCCGATGGAATGCTACCCTACTAGACCCGAAACAGCTCCCACGCAGATCAGCTGCGCAATCATAAGTCCTAGTGTACTGGAGTTGAGTGCTCAGCTAAGTGTTGGGGGTGTTTTGTAATGGTAAAATCTCATGGTACGAGTCATGGGTGACATAATGAAGACTGGTTGGCTTCGACTATTCCTGGAGATGGCCGACCTGACGAACAGATAATTTTCCAAGTCTAAGCGTCATGACAAGTTTTGGAGGCCATGGAGTAGTAGATTTTGACAGCAATAGAATAGATCTGCGCTGGATCTGTAGCTTGACCACCGATTTGCACTGCACTGTGCTCTGCGTATGCATTGTGTCAAAATGTCCCGAGGGTTCAGGCACTGGCATGTTGCGGCTGGGAAGAATGTGAGCCTCCAGCAACAATGCACGAACCAAACATCCTTCCCGCTGCTTAAGGCAATGAACAATCTAGAGCAGAACAACCTGAGGCCTGCCTATGTGTGAATCATACTGATACTTGGAAGTTTCTAATTTTATCCGCAATACATGAGGACCGGTCACGTGCCTATACTCGTCTGGCTCACAACCCACCCTCAGACGAGTCCACCATAAACCAAAGCCAGAGATTAGGTATGCCATGTGATGTCAAGACTGTTGCACTTCTTCCGCGCTGCTTGCTGAAGTGCGTTGCTCTAAAGAGACCACAGAGGATCCACGTGATGAAGGATACTGGGGTGCAAAGAATCGAACAGGGGATCCAACTCTATGCATAGCGCCACATCGGTTTCTTTATCCTTTCCTCACCACAACAAAGAAGGTGATACCGTCTGCCGCAGAAAGATCCGCGGTCCTCATAAGCTGAAGGACTTGCTTTGAAGTCTCCGCGGGATCGATTTTTCTTTGTTTGTCGTCAAATCTCCTGCCATGCGTACGTAATTACTGTCTGATTGGGGTTATAATGCCCTAGTATTACTGTAGTGGATTGCCCCAGATTCTCACAAGCCGGGATACCACTATCCAGTCCGAGCGCTCATGTCAATTTCCTGTATCCTGCCCGCGGAAGGTCTCTGTTCCGTCTCCTGCGGCTTACTCCACAATCCATGAAACCTCACTCTGCGGATGAACCCCAGCTTTACGGCAGGCACAGATGACACCTAAGGTCACGCGTCTAGCCATTATTTTGGAACCCACAGTGTGCAGGCTGTCTGGGTTGATTCCGAGAGCCGAGTATCCTGGCAAGAAATCAAGACCAGTGCCATGCACACATCTTCGAAGTGTGCGGTAAAGATCCTCACTGTCACAAAGGCCTGGTTTCGAACAGGGTTAAATTAGTTCCATGCCTAGGCGTCTATGCCAGGACCTTCTTTTCCACGACATCAGACTTTCATCCGATTAGGTCTTGTTGTCTGTCAACCACGGCAAGCGATACAGATACTGATCCCTATCTTGTCGAATCATTGCTTATTGAGACGGAAACCGTTTAACTTCTTGGGCAAGATGTCAGGAACCAGCCTAATTCTAGCGATAGTTTCAGCTTGAACAGAGGTTTTTCCGCGTTCTCAAACCTCGACTCACGCACACTAAGACCCTAGCTAGCCAATGACACAAGATATCGGCACTCTATTACAATCCTCGATTGAATTCGTCGCATTCTCTCGGGTGCTTATCGCGCTGCTCCACTTGTAAGGAACAACTTTCGTTCGGCCCCTTATCCCAGACCTTATCGTTGGGCAAGCTCAATCGCGAGTAGGGCTCCACTTCGTTATCCGAATTCGATCAACCACACCAAAGTCTCATCATAGGACTTACCCTTGTTGAGCATGCTGCAGGGGAAGCAAAGCACGCAGCTTGTGCCATGCACTTGAAAAATTAGACATAGCAAATGTCGTTGCGCCCCAGGAATTTCGCTTGTTCACTACAGCGAGGATGGACGATATGAGATACTTGAACTCAAGCGCACTACATTATCTTGAAAATAGACATAGGGGAACACCTTTCGACTTGCAATGGAGGACTATTTTGATTATTTAATGGTGCAGATTTCATTTATCACCCGATTGAAGCCTGAACACTCTTGCGCAAGCTCTACCACCAGCTTGCCCTACAAGTCAATCAAGCACTTATTCTTTATTACGTGAAGCGTGATTCGGCCGTCGAGCTCGCACTTGCATATGCAGCGGAATCCAATGAAATCACTGCATCACAGGGAACTTCCCTATTTAACCGCGCACGCGACCCAGACAGTATACCCCCAGAAGCAACCCGCCTCCGGAGCAGCCACCCGCTCATAGACGAACTTGAGCTCAAGTTTTTCCTGGTGAACTCCCCCTCTCATTGGCTGCGGATCTCCTTTTCCACAGAAGAAGAGGAGGAGGATCTTGCTCGAACATGGCGAAATACAACCTCGCGGGATGATCCGTTATCTGCCGATGGCAAGACGAACTATGCATGGCATTACTCTACTCTATACAGACTTTCAAGGCTTTAAAAGATCAGGCGAGATTCTGCGTCAGTGGGAGGACGTATACGTAGCCCCCTCCACTCAAGAAACATTCATGGGGACACTCATACTGGAAACGGCCTGTTCGCTGATGTCCCAAAAGAGGTGTTCTCCGTACCATCGGTTGCAGTTCTGGCATCCTCTTTTGGTCAGTTGTCTATGTCTAGAACAGTCGTCGAAACTCCTTGAAAGTGCCAGTACTTCCAGAATAACTCAGTGGCTTGTGACAGCTTGCAAGCATAGAGTGGTTGTGGCCGAGATAAGGGTCCATGCTCTAATAAGCTACGTAGTTGGCAGTTTCTCTTATCTAACCAAATCATGTCGAGACAATGTCTTTGATATCAATCAAGAACACATATTCGTGTCATATCTCGGGGGGGACAAATCTTGGAAGTATGGAATATGCTGGATGGCTGGATGTTTTGACCTGATATCAAGAGTGAAAATGATTCCGCAAGCTTCCATTCCATTCATTGCGTCATCATTGGATGTGATGGTGAGGCTATTTCCTGGTTATTGCCGGATTCCCCCGCACCGACCCCAAATACCCACCTGCCTACGAACTCAAAGCAGAGGCTACCTGATTGTGGCTTGAACCATTCCTTGCTATTGATTCCGACGATACCAACATCAGTCATAGGATGAAGTCGGGTGTACAGTACAGCGATGGCGGGTATACGAGGGAGCAGGGGTAAATGGGATGTAGCGAGCATCGGGATATCATACGATAAGAAAAAGATGACAGCCCTCCACGTTTGCGGGCTGCAGGGAAAATGAGAGCGAGATTATCTGACACGAAATGCCAGACAGACAGTTGCCGAGGAAGGCATCTGGAAAGAAATGCTTCTGGACTGGCCTGGCCCGGGCCAGGAGGAAAGTTAATGCGGGGTGGCAAGTCACTTCAAGGTCACGGGGTCAGAGAGGAAAAAAAGTGCCTGACCCACTCGGCCCGAAAGAGGCAATTTCGAGGTGGCTCTTCCGTTCAAGTTTCCTTCGACCAGCTCTCTTCCCTCCACATCAGTCTCTCGGACTCTCCAACCATTGACTCCACCATCCACTCACCCATGCTCCATCCATCCATCCATCCATTCCACCCATTCATCCATCCATCCATTCACCTCTTGCAGGCAGTTCCTGATCGGATCAGCCAACAACACATCAATCATGCCATGGTCCGCCCGCATACTGTTGCTGGATCGCCATCAGGGGTGTTCATGAATGGCTCCAGCAATGAGCTCTGCTTTCCTTATCCAGCACACACAGAGCACACAGTCCACTGTGGGTGCTGATGCTGTGCTGTGCAGTGCAGTGTGCACTTCCCACATTCCTCCCGCCGAGCAATCTTCCAACACCGCCTTTTCGGACTTACTACGAATTTTAAGGTTAGCCGTCTCCAGTTAGTGAAGGTCCGGATGCGTGGCGGCAGACTAAGCTCATTACTTGCCGCTAACAGGCCTGCGTGACCTCCCTCCGATTCATACCTGTCAATATAATCATTATCAATGCTATTTTTGCAACCCGCGAAGGATCAGGTAATCCCGGGCATTGAGAATCTGGTGGAAACATCGGCTATCAGTCTTCCTGCATCTGTGGTGTTCTACCTCGGTGGAGCACCAGTATGTAGCTAACTACTGCAATTCGCGTCCCATCCTTCCTGCCAACTCAGCAGAGCCAGAGGCAATAGTCACTTGGATGGAGTGGGCAGTTTACTCCGTACCAACCACATCGGCGATTGACAGGATCGGTGTTGACGGGTTGAGTCCACCACAACTAGTAATTTTAGGTCGCCTGATCGTCGGCGCAGAGATTTCTGGAGCTGCCGAATGGGGTCGCTAAACGGCGGTTCTGCCCCTGATTGCGGACTGTGTTTGGCCCCTTCCGAGTCCGCGGTGGGCCCCGTCTCGATAATCAATCGGTATTTTTAATCCTTCCTTAATAACTACCAGCTCGCCTCCCTCGCTCCCTACCATGAATTGACCTTCCATCTTTCTGCATTTTTTTGCTCTTGTTCTTCCTTTGATTCCCGTTCAGCTCGCATCATCATGGCCTTCGACTGCTACTGTGCCATCTGCGGCGTTGGGTTTTGCGGCATGCACATTGAACCCCCGTCGGAGGCAGCGCTGGAACGCCGCCGCCGATGGATCGAGAAGCGTTGTCGGGCGCTTCAAGCTGGCGAAGACCTCGCTCAGCTCCCACGAGATAGCGACGAAGTCGAAAACCCTGTTCGCAGCTACGATCCCCGTATTGTCGGTTGGGAAAATATTTCCTGGCTCTACAAAGCACACTGTCTCGGCATGAACCAGAACGCTGCTGCGGGCTCAGCAAAGGCGTTTCTCTCGGATGAAGGATATTACGCCGACGTTGGCGAGCTGATTGTAAAGGCTGGCTCCAATTCGAATCGATCTTCCACTCAGAAAGTCTATTCGTGCTATGGCCAAGGTTCCGACGAAGCCCCGGGCCCGGTCCTCCCTTTTCACTGGTGCTGCTTCGAGATTCTCACTCGTGCGCTCACCGGCTCCACGGATACCAAGAAAGTGAACCTGGATGTTCTTTACAATGTCATGAGCCCTTTAGGCAACCTGAAGAGCTCTGCCTTGGATCTCAACTACGGCGATGACATTAAGCGCGCTCAAGGGCGCTACTGGGAGTGTATCCCAGGCGTTGAGGTAAGCGGAATTTCGGTCTCAAAAAGCCATCATGTCACTAATGATTCTTTACTCCATAGTACTGCGCAACTCACCCGACTGAAACCCCCGGACTCTCCGCCTATATTCAAACCAACATGGAATCCAACAGCAAGCTCAAAAGTGCCCCCACCGAAATTGACCTCCGCGGACGACAGCCCGCCAGTCCGTTCGGAAAGCTCCCACTGGAGCTCGTATACCAAATCTGCATGTTTCTCCCTAGCGACGACCTGAAGTCGCTGGCCCAAGCCTCGCTCAGCGTTCATCTGGTTACCCAAGACAATCTCTTTTGGAAGAAATTCATGCAGTGGGATATGCCTTGGTTCTGGGAGCTTCAGGCCAGCAAGGGACAAAAGATGTCTGAGGATGTCAATTACAAGCAACTCTATCTCTGGCTGGACAAGATGACCACCGCGCGCTACGGAATGGACGATGCGAACCTCATTGGGGTCGCGAATCGTCGCCGGATCTGGGGTGTGTGCGAGGACCTCGCTGATCGCTACCACAAGGGCTTGGCACAAGCTCCTGCTGTTCCTACCACCTGTGCCAGCGGCTGAAATATGTCCGCTGTCGGAACCGGTGTTCCGTACCACTTGATGCACACAATTCGAATTTTGCGAGCACAACTCATCGGGCGACGCATCTTCCTGCAGAGCGCCACCAGCGGTGTCTTGCATGATGCCAATTTCTCGAAGTCGCGCAAACCGCTCGGAGCGCCACATGGAAAAGATCTGAAATCATATCTCATTTACCACCGCCCTACTGGTTTCCTGCCTACCCCGACTTCTGTCGATCCTTGGGGTACAGCTAATCCCATGCGGAAAGACGTGCCGTCGGGCACCACCGACATTCACACATCATATCATTAATCATAGACGATTGTATATACCGACAGTTGGCTTGCTTTTCTTGCATGCATGCTAGACAACTTGCATTTGATTTGCATTTGATTGGGCACGAAAGTTACGACTCATAGAATATACCATTTTGAATTTTCACTTGGAATGTGTTTTGGTCCGGTCAAGTTGATTTAATTTGCAAGAACTTTCCTTTTCGTCTCTCCCGTACATATTATTCTGCAACAAAATCCGGTTAAATTGAAGCCCCCTTGCTAAGAAGCGCGAGGGCAAGTCTGCCGAGCCTTTTCACAGTGTAGTTACTTTTTGCCATCTGAGTCATCGGAGGCGGAGTGGCAACTCCGGGGTCTTCCAGGGACGAGCGAATTCCGGCTCATCCCGAGCGGCGAGTGGTTCACCGCCTGCCTGTCCAGGGTCCACTTCTCCAGATCAACATCCGCAGTTCCCCTCACTGCGAGCTTCTCCATGGATTTCGTGGAGATCATCAGCTGAGATCATCAGCTGATACTTTACATACGGAGTAGTATGCGTCTATGCCATTATCCGACCCACCCAATTGATCGCAATTGAACGTCGGAAGATTGACAACTGCGAGGCGAGAGCGGACTTACTCTGGATGCTTGGGTAAGGGTGATGCATCCACACTCGCTGATTCAGCAGCATAAGTCATCTGCTTTGTCTTGGTGCATCTGTGCTATTCTTGAGGAATTCTACGTGGCATGCATATTAGATATGTAGTTCTCAGCTTCTGTCTAGGTACAATTCTAGTCCTCCCATTCGGTTGATACTTTTCTTTTTTCTAGCAGAGTCTTTTGAACTGTAAGCTAGGAGGGTATAATCGAACACTATACCTATTCGCTGGATTCCTTAATAGCTGGTTGACTTACCTCCATTGCTACCTAGCTTCATAATATATCATAAGATCAAAGATCAACAACTCCATCAATTGTTAAAGAGTAGGGAACATTAGGCACAGAAATCGGACAGACATAATTATGACAAAGAAAAAGCAAGGAGTGATTCCAATTAAGGGAGGGGCGAGATGGAATACAAAAACGCATCAACCAAATAAGAAAAAAACGCGGTTGCCAGGGAGTGATGAGCAGTAGGGACTGTCATGAAAGAGCAGTCGGGGTGGCAGCAGGAGCAGGAGTGGCAGGAGATGCAGGAGAAGCAGGAGAAGCAGTGCTGCTGGCCGGGAACTTCAATCCTTCATTCACTCCAACCTCCAACGTCCGAGCAACTTCTTCTCCCTTGACAGTGTACACCACCACCAGTTTCTTCTTCTTGTCCATCTCATCCGGGAAGCATCGCACCAGGGGAAGCTTCTCCACTGATCCATAGTGTCCCCCGATGGTCCGGTAGACCTTATCGTCTTGCACTCGTTGGCCGCCCAGGAAGAGGTCGTGAATCGCGATCTTCTCGAAGCTGTGGCCGTGGCTCAAGACTTTCTGTATCTCAGCAATGTCTTTCTTGAGGTCCTTGATCGTCGCGTCTTTTTCGTCGGCCTTCTTCAAGAGCTCGTCGATCCGGGTCTTATTGCCGCGATTGATTTCTTCCCACCCGCTCGCCATTCTCTGGTTTTGGGCCTTCGCTTCCTCCAACTCCTTCTTATGCTGCCTCGCCTCGTCCACCGACTCCGCCTCTGCCTTCTGACGCGCCACTTCGGCCTCGATCTTCGCCGCCTCCGCCTTTTCAATCCGGATCTTGGCCATATCGATCTCGGTGTTCAGCTTCGATCTCACCGTCTCCCACTGCATCCGCTCCTTCTGGAGATGGTCAATCTTGTTTTGGGATCCCAGCTGTTCGTGGAGGTGTCCCTCCTTGAGCTGATTGTATTGTTTCTGGAATTCATCCAAGACGTTCTGAGCACGGTCCTTCTGCTTCGAGACACTGAAGAAGGCCTCGGTCAGCTCCCGAACCTTAGCCTGGGCCAATCTGGCTTGTTCCTGCCAGTCAGCTCTCTCACGCCCTTCCGCAAACCGCAGCTCAATTGCCTGGACCTTCTCATTATAGGATTTCTTGTACTGCTCGAAGAGTTCATGGTTGGTAAGATTGAGCGCTTGACCCCATTCGATCGCCTCCTGCGTGAAATGGCAAGCTAACTCCGCGCGGTGTTCCGCCTTCGAAAGCTTCTCCTTCAGGGTCGCCTTCTCGCGCTGCTCTTGCGCGTAATCCGCCTCGAGCTTCAGGAATTGCTCTCGGATGGCTCGGTGCTTGCTTTGCGCGTCCTGCTTCTCCAGCTCGGCGCGAGTCCAGGCGATTTCAGCCGCCGTGCGTTGCTCCTCCGCGTGCTCCCGAGTAGAAAGAGCCTCGTCGAGCTGCTTCTTGGCCACGTCTAAAGTGTCATTGGCGGCACTTGCCGCCTCCACAGCGTCTCGGATTTGATCCTCCAGCGCGCGGGATTTGGTTTTGAGGCCCTCCTTATCCTCCAATGCCTCCTTCACTTCCGTTCTGGCGTGGGTGAGCTGGGCCCTGAGCTCGTGGATGGTAGCCTCCAGACCCCTGATGAACTCCGCCTTGGCCTCGTGCTTGTGTTCCAGCTCCGCAACCCTCTTTCTTAAGGTCGAACAAGTGTCTTGCTCGCGCGTCAGTTGCTGACGCGTCTTGAGCTCATCGAGCGCTGCGGCATTTCTGGCCTTGATAGCATCGGAGAGTTTCACCCGCAAGGAATCGACCTGGCTCACCAGCCGCTCCACCTCAGCATCGAGCCGCGCAACCGCTGCATCCCGGATATTGAGGAGTCCCTCCGCTTTGTCGGACTCCAGCACTGCATCATCCCGCTCCTTGACCAGCTTGATCAGCTGCTCGCGGGCGAGGGTCAACGCGTGGCGCACGGTCTTGATTTCTGACTGAAGTTGCTGATGGAGTGCGTGCGCCGCCTTGCTGTCGGCTTTGGCGAGGGCCTCGGCCCGCTGCGCCTGACTCAACTCGTCGGACAGCTGGGCGATGGTCACCATGAAGCCCTCCGAATCGGCCTGGGCCTTCCGAAGGTGCTTGGTCATACTGGTCCGGAGTTTAATATAACTCTCATCGGAGGTGTGCTTCGTCCGCTTGAGCTCGAGGATGTTTTGCATATATTCGGCATCTTGCACATGCTCTGTCTCAACATGATGAACCTCCAGCTGGTGGAGCTGGTGACTGTTGACAATATTGGATTTATGAAGCTGGCCTGCGATCCACTCAATGGCAGCCGGATCATTCAGGATTGCCGGGTTGTAGTCCAAGACCCTCAGCACATCTGAGCTTCCCTCCTCGGTGGGGAAAAAGCAGATCGGTTTGGCGACGGCCAATTCGTCGTTGAAACCATCTGCCTTGCCGTGGGAATGGCCGTTGGCGGGTGCCTTGACGGCGCCATTGCCATTGGATTTGGTCAGGGCCGTGGTCAGGCTGTCAAGGCCTTTGGCTGACTTGGTGGCCCCATTAAGCTCCTTGGTGACAGGAAGAGGAGTAATAGGGGCCTCAGGTTCGTTCAAGATAGCGGGTGCCATGGCGTTAATGAGAATGAGTTTGGAAAGAAAGGACTTCAAAATTATTTGTGTCGCGTAAGGAAGGGAAGGGATAAAGATTGTGGTCGTAAAATCAAAAAGCACAAGACTTGGTGAGTTACAGAAGATGATGGAAAAGTGTGGTGGAGAGATGGAATGCTCGCTGCTGAGTCTACTGGCATCTGGGAGAATGTGTTGGGCCCTTTATACGTTTTGCAGTGATTACGGTTTCACCTGTGTGAGTGAACAGAGTCATCTCGTTTCTTTTTTTTTTTTTTTCTTTTTTTCAGCTGAGCGCATTCACCGTTGCTCTGGTCTGAACACTCTTGCGCAGCTGTGATCTTTCAGCTTTTGGCTGTGATCTTTCAGCTGGTGGAAGCTGAGGAACGGAGTGGATGCAAAAGCCTGGGGGCGGAGGGATTAGGGCTCGTCGGCTGGATTTACCCCATGGTTTGTTGTATGCGGGCCGGGCCTCCTTTGCCGTGCAAAAACCCCGCCTCGACCCTCACAAAACCTCAGTTTCTCACCTGTCGCCCATCGCTTATTCTTGCCGCGTTATCAATGCTTCGCCCACTGCCCTCTTCAGCTTGCGCCCAATCCCGCCTCCTTTTCGGAACGGCCGCACAAGTCGACTCAAGCCGAGTGGCAACAGGCGTCCGTCCAATCGATGTCATACTCAAATGGCCCCTGTAGCAGCCATGGGCGTCTGCGTGCCCCAGTCCCTTCAGCTGCCTCCAGAGTGAACGCGTCAGTCAGAGTTTCCGTGCCAAAGTGTTTCCGACGTGCGGGACTGACAGTCCCATCGACCTTAACCTACTAGTTCCCGTCACATCGAGATGGGTGTATTATTTGGAATTCCTTACCCTACACTCGAGTCCTCGGGGTGAAGCTTTCCAAATCAAGCAGAGGGCGTCGCATGATGTGTTCTACGAAACCTGAATCTTGCAGCGTGATTTGTCTGATGGTTGTGGCGGCGGTCTCGCTCGATCCGTCATTCAGCGGGAGACGAAAAGGCGACAGGCAATTTCAAGCGCGGTGGCCCTCGCCAGCTTTTGCATCTAGCCCAGAAACTACACATCCTGTAGCCAGTGTGGGGTGCAGTGGATTCGCTTTTTGTGTTCGAAATGTGTGTGCGGTGCATTAGGTTATGAAGGACTGATGGGTATAACAAAATGGCCGTTGCGCTTCAGAAGCCCCAGCAGTGAGAGCAAGTCCGTCCACTTGCAGATCTACTACATTTTCAATTGATACTCTGGTTCTCCGATCTCCGGCCGAGAGACATTCAGCTCTAATGTTACCATCTCGTGGATCCACTTGGTGCTTGAATATCCGTGCGTCTGATGAATCCAAAAAAAGCAATGCTAGCAACTCGCGACCGCGTCCAGGTCCCGTTTGCTCTGTGCTCAGATACATGAGAAAATTTTGGATGAGATATGGCTTGCCCGTCGCCTAAGAGAACTTGGAGTTCCTGCTAAGTGTGCCCCTGTGCAAGCACGTCGCGCTAGACGAACACGAACGGTCAGAACTGTCTAAGCATGGTGGAAGGAGCTCAATGGCTGGCTTCTCTTACGTTATTGTGATGTGACTTGTCACATTCAGCAAACAGGAAAGCCACAATCATCTTGATTACTTCTTGGTCTCCTAGTTCTGTCAAGTCGCGCAGCTAAAGTGTCTATCTCCGCTGCCTACGGTGCCGCTGGTGGTGCCCCTGGCGGTGCCGCCCCCGGTGCCACTCGCACTGCCGACGATGTTGAGGAGGGCCCTGAGGAGCTTGATTAAATGTCTCAATCTGCAGTTCTGCTTTAATTCTTACTACCCCTGGCCGTTTTCTTTGCATTTTCTAATTTTCATGTCTTTTTTTTTACGAAATTATGGGATCCTTTTCTTGTGCATGATTATATAGATTCTAGGTTTAGTCTTCGCTGCATAATAATCTGTTCTGCAGAAATAAGGAGAGAAAAGTTTCCTTTCGACAAATACAATAACTATTTTAATACTACTTGATCTTCGGACTCTATCTCAGCATATAGATTCTAATTCTTTGAACTCGATAGGTAGAATCCTTATTATTAGGATTTCGTAATTCATATTATAAGGAACTTATATTACACATAACCTCAAGTACTCGTTCTATTATTGATCTCTTCCCAGGTCCGGGTCTATGACTTTCTGTTATAGATTAATACTGGTAATATATATAGTCATATATAGTCCTTGATTATATACAGTAATCTAGGGATAATTCTCGTATAAACCCTGAGACGACTCTTGTTGATTAACAAATATTTTGAGATACCTATACCGGTTTATCTTAGCCTATACTTAAATCTAATAACTACTTATTCTCAATAGTAGACTCTATACCATATCACTATTTAAACAGGTAAGCTTCGTCGCCCCCTTGTACTCGTTGTTACAATAAGTAGAGAATTGTTACCTGAAGGTTATATACTAGCAGTGATAGAACAAATATATACCGAAGCAGTTGATGGTCATCCCCTACAACAAACCCCACTATAAGGACAAACACACGGAGTCTACAACTTGCTCCTCGAGGTGGTAAGGGTGGTAAATGAGGGACTCTCCACATCTAGTCGTTGTCGTAATCTCATTGATTTCGATGAGAGCGTGAAAGATCATTCATTCTGCCTATCTCGGGACAACTAAATAGTTAAGTACACATGGTGACCAAAGCGGTGAGGTGCCCAGCTAATCATGGGGGAGGCCCAGGGCTCCGTCAGAATTGATTGCGATTCACTCCAACGAGTCGAACGGAAAGCAAAGCAGTCATTCGTTTCCAACGGTGACAAGATGTGGTCCACTGGGGAGAGGCAATGCGGATCTGAAGCGGGTATATGAACCATGCTTCTCGTGGTTTTGAGGGTAGGTCTGCCGATCCTTCCTTGCGAGGATGCAACGGGCTGCCGTGCATGGTTCCACCAGTATCTCCACCGGACTAGTTTTCCGCAGCCGCCTTCGTCCACACTGGTTCACCAACACTGATCAGAACCATGAATCAAGGGCAGTGTGCTGATAATCTCAATGAACCCCTGGTAGATGAGGGTTCCATAGGGAACGGCCGCCGCATTGGGCTAAACCATTCCCACGATGCTCACGTTATAGTAGACTGCCAATCCCTAACAGATGACAGCTCCAAGCAATATCCGCCTATGAATCGCCTCTGACTCAGTTAGCCGCTCTATCGTTATCTCTGGAAACCCCTATCAATGCCGGAAGATGTGGGTACAAGGTGGTAACAAAGTTGGTTCGTCCAGCTTTGAGTGTGACATTCAGCTCACGTTTCCGTCCGTAGCCGGTGTCAGATCTCGGCCGACCAATGTCATAAGTTCTAGATTGATATATTGAAACCTAATTCAATCAGTTCAACTATACAGAAAGTCTTGATTACCAGTATACCAACGCATGGTAATGTTTGCGTCAGTGTTTCGTTCGGAGAGGATTGTGCAAACGCACTGCATGCATCGCGATAGCACAGGCGCAATCAAGAGAATAAATCATAGACTTTGTCATTCATGGGCTACAGCCGTGCTACGAGCAGGTTGAGTCAGACATTCGAGACCAAATAACTCATTATGACCCGATCAATCTAGATCACTCGGTTTGGGGCCACTATGACAGAGGCCTTCCTTGGGGCAACCACCCCCCCCCTCCCCATGCCAGGTCAGGCAGTACCACTCCAGGACATTGCGTGCTCGGTTAGATAGGATAGACGAGGTGATGCGATTGGAAAAGAGGCCTTTCGACCATCGCATTCGTCCTTCATACAGTCTCAACGCCCAAGGTGTTGCTGCAGATAACTTGCAATCCACGGTAACATTGGAAGTCAACTGCATCATGCAATTGACGTAATTCAGTTGGAAGCATGGTCTTTTGCGTATCTGTCACTGCGGTCTTAGTGAAAGGGCCTGTCATTGAATCACCTTCAAGGGCCATATGCTGTTCTTGGCGGATGTACCAGTATTTGGGATAAATATCCTCCCGGAGCTCGCCCTTCTCGGGGATTTTCATTAATGATACATGATCATTCTCCGTGAGCGCGAAGTCCCCTACTGCTCTTCCTACTCTTCCTTCTACTATTATGAGAAAGCCAGAGCCAAGAATGGCGTCAGGCCAGCTGCTGCTGTTACTGGACGATCAGTTCCCCGAGATCACCCCAGTCCTGGAACGACTGTATGACTTAGCTCGGGTCTCACAGAGACTGGGATGGTTTCTCCGCGATGCGACGGACGTGCTTCAGCTGCATATCACCGAGCTGGGGCCCGTGGAGCGCCAGGCAATGGGCTACACCGAACGTCATCAGGTGGAGTTTGACAGCTTGCTGGATCTAGCGCTGAAGTGCGATCGAAGCCAGTTGGGTCACACCGTCCTGGATAGTGTGCTCCGTCACATATGCTGCCTCGGGCAAACATTGCAGTGGGTCGAATTCTCTTGCAGACTTCACAACGAGAGTCCGTGCGGGGCTGTCACTGACCAGCGTCCATTGCTTCACACCCCAGGTACATTGAGAGCCGCGATTCGGGCAGGATCACCAACGAAGGTGCCAATCTGTATATGGCCGCGCTGGGCAATAGCTCGTTGTGTGCCGCTGTCTTGGCCGCCGCGGGGACCATGAGACAGCGTCATGAGATCGCTTTGGAGACGATATCTATCGCCCTGCGTCTGGCTCTCGCACTGCGACAACGAGCGGCCCGGATCGATGCAGAGCCCGGTGACTGGGCCCAGACAGTCATTGGGCGAGACACGGATGAGCTGAGGCAGCTTATACAGAAGAATCAGATCGAGGGCACCCCAGTTACTCGACAGATCTTCATTGCCGAGGAGTCCCCGGACTGGACGACGATTTGCGGTCCCCCGTCTGACCTGGCGCGCTTCTGCGAGAGGTTCGCCGACTCGCTCGAGTTATCGGACTCGGGTATTTCCATGCATAGTGCGCAGCACGCGCCTCACCTACCGCAGGTTGACCTGGATGCGATTGTAGGAGACTCAAAGATCTTAGAAGAAACATTGCCATCGCCCGGAGTGTATATTCTACCCTCCTCCTCGTGCTCGACCTCCGAGGACGCCGCTCCTACTCTGCGCACATTGCTCCTACATAGTTGCCATGCTATCTGTCATGAGCCCTCCAGGCTGGGGGTTATGGTGGCACCAATCATCCAGGGTCTTGCGGATGAGCGACGCATACAGACCGTCACGATCGGTCCGAGTGGCCGATCTGTGGCCATCCAACGCATTCTCCAGCTCCGTGGAATCCAGACAACCGACATCGATGCTGAGCCCAGAGTGGAGCGTCCGAGTCAAGTCAGGCTTCGGGGAGATTCGGATTCCATTGCGATTGTCGGTATGGCTGGGCGATTCCCTGGAAGCGATGATGTCTCGCAGTTCTGGGATTCCCTACTTGCAGGCAAACAGTTTCATGAAAAGGCAAGCGACAAACTCTCTCCGATGGACCATTTCGCGACGTGCGCTGACTTTTGATGCTGGGAACCTTAGGTACCTGCGGATCGCTTTGATCTGCAGGCCTGGGAGCAGATGATGGGAGAAAAGGGAGCCCCATTGCCCTATGGGTGCTTCATCGATCGCCCCGATCTGTTCGATCACAGGCTATTCAATATCTCTCCGCGGGAGGCGATGCAGATGGACCCGAACCAACGCGTCCTGCTCATGATCGCCTACGAAGCCTTGCAACGAGCCGGATACAGTGCGGAGGATGCGCTTTCCGCACGAAGCAGTCGCATTGCCACGTTCATCGGCCAGACCACGGACGACTGGCGCGAGGTAACCGCTGGTCACGGAATCGATATCTACTACGTCCCCGGGCATCTGAGAACCTTTGCGCCGGGCCGGCTGAATTACCACTTCAAATGGGAAGGGCCGTCGTTTGGCTTCGACTCGGCCTGTGCCTCGAGTTCCTCGGCGATCTCCCTGGCATGCGAGGCTCTCCTGGGCCGCAAATGCGATACCGCGCTCGCCGGCGGCGTGAATAGCCTGGCCGCCCCGGCCATGTTTGCCGGCCTGACCAAGGGCGGATTCCTGTCACCCACCGGGCCTTGCAAGCCCTTTCATGCCGGGGCCGATGGCTATTGCCGCGCCGAGGGGGCCGGGCTCCTGGTGCTGAAGCGGCTCGAAGACGCCATCAGTACCAACGATAATATCCTGGCCGTGATTCGGGGCCAAGGCAGAAATCACTCGGCTTACGCATCGTCAATCACGCACCCGGATCCAGGCGCGCAGGAACGACTGTTTCGCCGCACCATGCAGATGGCGCACATCCATCCGGAAAGCATTGGCTATGTCGAACTGCATGGAACCGGTACCCAAGCCGGCGATGCTGCAGAAGTGTCCGCGGTGGGGAACATCTTCAGTAAAATCAAGGCCGCTCATAAGCCCCTTGTGGTTGGAGCAGTCAAGGCCAACGTGGGCCATGCTGAAGCAGTAAGTCCGTCCTTTTTTCGGAGATCTCTACTTCGACGATTATTATTCCTGTGAGATGGAGTGGAAAAGGCTAAGAGCAGTGCTCACCGTTCCTAGGCAGCGGGAGTCATATCGATTATCAAATCCATAATGATCCTGAGAACCGGGATAATACCGCCGCAGCCTGGCATGCCCTTTAAAATCAATCCTTCCCTGTCTTTCCTCCAAGAACCCACCATTCAAGCAGCGGATGGGAAGTTCCACCTGCAGGAATTGACGGAGCAGGGCCAGGCTCAAAGAGTCATGGTGAACAACTTCGATGCAGCAGTAAGTATCCGCCCCCACTCCAGAAAATTATTGCACGTTCTGAATAGAGGTCCTGTAGGGCGGAAATGCTTGTTTCATTCTGGAAGAGCCGCCAACAAAAGCAGACCCTGGCACCGATCCCCGAAGTCACCATATCACATCCATCTCGGGGCGCACAGAATTCTCTCTACTCAAAAACAGGGAAAACCTGCTGCGCCATTTGGAAGCTTCGCCAGATCTCCGAATGGAGGATCTGTCGTACACAACAACTGCTCGGGCCATGCACGAAGCCTTCAGATTCTCATATGTGACAGGGTCCACTCAGGACCTTGCTCAGCGCTTACGCCGCGATATCCAGGCCCACTGCAGCTACGAGGATAACGACCGCCCGCGATCGGGGCAGATGAGGCCAACGGTGGCATTTGTGTTCACGGGAATGAGCTGCCAATACCCCGGGATGGGTGCGCAACTCTTCAAGACCAGTCCCAGATTCCGGAAGAGCATCCTTGCCCTTCAAGCGGTCGGTCGCCAGCTAGGTCTTCCTTCATTCATCGAGGCGATATCCGACACGACATTCGACTGCGACTCATGCGAGACGACCAGGATTCAGCTGGCGATTGTCGCTCTGGAGCTCGCTCTGGCTGACCTCTGGAAATCCTGGGGCATTGAGCCTTCGTTTGTCATCGGTCATAGTCTGGGGGAGTATGCTGCCCTTTGCACTGCAGGCGTGCTCTCGGTCACGGATACTTTGAGCCTAGTCGGAATGAGAGGAGCCTTGATGCAACAGAGGTTATCTCCTGGGGCTTACGCAATGCTTGCTGTTGCCAACACCCGGACTGATACCGCCCAAACGCTGGAGCAATTGCAGCTCGAAGGGTCCAATGTATGCTGCGTCAATGCACCCCTTTCCACGGTGGTGAGTGGGCCCCAAGGTGAAATCCAAGCTCTGAAGCAACACTTCTCGTCGCAAGGTATCCGGACCTGTCAGCTGAAGGTCCAACACGGGTTCCATTCGGCTCAGTTTGATCCTATCCTCGCCGAGTTTGTGAGGCGCGCCAGCTGCGTGCGCTTTTCTGCGCCAAAAATCCCCGTGGCGTCCACTCTGCTGGGTACGACGGTGAGTGGGACGAGGCCCGAGCCAGCGGTGTTCAATGCCCAATATCTCGCGCGGCAGACGAGAGAACCGGTTCAGTTCCTCCAGGCTGTGAATTCCTGCTTGGAGGCGAGAATAGCCGACCGTCGCACTGTATGGCTGGAGACGGGGCCTGACCAGGTCTGTATCAATTTCATCAACGACATCCTGGGATCGCAGACCCTGACCGTGCCGACTCTACGCCGACGTGACGACAATTGGAAAACCGTTACCTCCGCCGTCTCGACACTGTACCAGAACCATGCGCCCATCCAGTGGAGGGAATACCACAAGGACTACGTCCAGTGCCTCCGCGTGATCCATCTCCCCACCTACGCATTCGACGTGGAGAGTTACTGGAGGACTTATCGAGCTAATCTGGGGGTTGTTGGTGCGGCGGCTCCAGTAGCGGTGCAGAGGAGCAAGCTATCCTCGAGCCTCCATCACGTCTCGCAGGAATCCGTAACTCCAGACGGCGCAGTCGTGGAATTCGTTTCCCACCTCGACGATCCGGAGCTTAGCGCTGCAGTGCGCGGTCATATTCTCGAGAACGCGAGTCTGTGCCCGAGTAGCGTCTTCTGCAATATGGCCTTGACAGCGGCAAGCTACGTGCAAGGCAAATTGACCCCTCGTAGCACAGACAACGAGTCTGCACCTCCTGCCATGGAGCTGTGCGATCTCACCATGGAACATCCCATCATTCTCCCCGAAGATGCCAGTACGAAGACTGTAATCCGGACCGTCGCCCGGGTGAGCCTTTCGGGCGTCGACAAGGGCATGGTCGACGTGACGTTTAGCTGCCACTGTGGGCAGGACACCCCCAACGGCGGCGCGGACCACGAGACCGGCCACGCCCGAGTTCATCTGATTGATGGGGAGCAAGACGTGGGAAAGTCTGGTCTTGCGATGCAGTCCTTCTTTGTGGAGGCGCGGGCAGCGACGATCCAGCACCACACCGGTAGTATCCATCTCCTGAAACCGGTGGTCTACAAGCTCTTCTCGGACCTAGTCCGATATTCCACCGCCTACCAAGCAATCGACGAGCTCCGGTGGGACGAAGCAGCTGGAGAGGCAGTCGCTACAGTCACGTTCTCAGACCCTGAGGGAGCCGACAAGCTACGTCGAGACGGTGGGTACTCGCCCTATTGGCTCGACTCGATGATCCACCTGGCCGGGTTCATCCTCAACACGGACCTGAAGTTGGTCGGGAACCCGAAGACCGTGTACATGTGCAATGGCATTGGCACGCTGCGGATTATGGAGAGTCTCGAGGCAAACAGGACGTATCGAAGCTACGTGCGACGAAATCCCGACGATCCGAAGGGGACCTCGCTTAGTGACGTGTACCTCTTCCACGAGCAGAAGCTCGTCGCGGTATGCTTGGGCCTTCGATTCCAGCGGCTTCCGAGGACGGTCTTGCAGCATCTGCTTCGCAATTCTGAGCAAGAATTGCAGGTCGGACGGACTCTTAGTAGTACTACTAGTACTACTACGACCGCTGTAACTACCCCTATCTCAGAAGAGAACAAGGCAATTTCAAGCCCACTCGCTTCGACAAACTGCGACAAGCAGCCGTCGAAGACAGACCCAGGGGTATTGCTCGATCACATTGCTCGTCTGGTCAGCGAAGAGACGGGAGTCACTCGTGATAACATCGGACCGCAGACTGAATTCGCGGCGATTGGGGTAGATTCCATCCTCGGCATATCCATCGTCGAGCGCTTCAATGAGATAACGAAACTCAACCTGGGGGCCTCCTTCCTGGCCGAGGCAGGAAACCTGGCGGGTGTCGAGATCATGTTCCGGAAAGGCAATGAGACTGATCTCGTGGAGGAGCACGCTGCAACGACCGGACCAGGTATTGACGTTCGCAAACCGTCTGTCGGACTCGACAGTAAGAAGGAGGAGGAGGAGGAGGAGGAGGAGAAGGAGACGGAGCCCAGGTGCAAAGCCATTCTTCTGCAGGGCGACCCCCAGAAGCATCGAGAAGCCCTGTTTCTCATCCCCTGCGGCCGAGGCGCGGTGGCTGCCTTCTACAATCTTGCGCGCTTACCGGCGGGAGTTTCTGTCTACGGCTTCAATTCTCCCTTTCTTACTTGCCCGCAGAAGTACTGCGCCAGCGTTCCCGAGCTGGCGGCCATGTATATCACGGCCATCCGAGCGATCCAGCCCCACGGCCCCTATATGATCGCCGGCTATTCCGCCGGGGGACTGCATGCCTACGAAATTGCCTACCAGCTCATCTCGCAAGGCGAGACCGTCCGCCGTCTCGTCATTCTCGACATGCATGTCCCCGCGCCGCTGCCGAACGGACAGACGGAATTCACCCCGGACCAGATGCGCGCCCTCGTGCTCGCCATGTCCCTCGTCGACAAGTCCTCGACCGAGTACACCTCGGGCCTCTTCCACCGGGGCACGGAGCACAACGCCAAAGTGATGCAGGTCATCTCCTCGTACCGCCCTAAGCCCATGCCCGCCGACCGTCGTCCGCAGGAATCGCTCCTGGTCTGGGCCACGGGGGCCGTTTGCGACCAGATCTCAACCCCGGACGAGCGGCAGCGCGCGGCCGATTTCGGTCTGTGCGCCGTGGTGGAGGGGACAAATGTCATGCGGGATCCCTATCGCCGCTGGGGGTGGTTCTTCTCCAAACGCTATGACTTTGGGCCGAACCGGTGGGATGAGCTGCTAGGACCGGATGTGAAATGCCATACTGTGGATGCCAATCATAACAACTTGCTGGCATCTCCAGCGGTGAGTCCTTTCTTTTTTTTGATTTCGCCGAGAGGGAACTTGACGGAGCTTTGCTAATCATTTCCTTTGATCGTCATCTAGGTTCACTCCGTCGTGGAAATCCTTACACGGGCGATTGCAATGGACGGATGTTGATGGGTTGGTTGATGTGTGCTTCACCTTATGCCTGGCTTTGAGTTCATGAGCAAATGGTAGTGACTAGACGAAGGGGATTTGAAACCACCCCGACCATTGTGTTATGAGGCCTAAAGAGATGTTTGTATTTTGGTAGTTGGTAGTTAGTGAGTTAGACAGGTTAGATAAGGTAATCAATCATCATCAAATGACATAAGCTACTAGCACGTGAGGAGGGGCCTCGGCATCTCGGGTTTACCCCACATCCGCCATCTTATCTCTTTTCCAACTCGCCTCAATAACTACTTCTCTTCTCTCCACCTCAACTACTTGTCCCTGCAGGCACCGCAACTATCGCCATCATGAGTGAGGCTCTCTGTGGACCCTCGAACGCGCTTCAAAACTTCCAGAAACATGCTTCGGTCGATCGCACCCTGCAGCAGGATAGGTTGACATCCCGACAGTCGCCGTCTCAGGTACATAGTCTCCTGGCACTCTAAGACCCTCTTGATTTCCACAGAGAAACTAACTTGGCTGTGATTAGGGGTTCCGGAATCAGAATGCCGCTACCGGAGTCCTCGACCCCGAATTCGCCGCCTTCGAGGCCAACCTCGCGCCTGCACCGCTGCGCGATATCCAACACCCAGCTCACTTTGCCGCCCCCGCACCACAACATTCCCTCTCCGGTCCTACACAATCGTTGAACTGGGCCACCGACTTCCAACGACTGAACATCGCGGGTCCGTCGCCCTTACACCACCAACAACAGAATGTATCGCACACGCCGCTCTCCTCCGTCTCCCAACCGAGCTGGCACAATGAGTTCCTCCAGCACCAGCACCAACCCCACCCTCAATACCAGCAACCCACCATGCAACAGCAGCAGCATCACCCACTCGCCCACGCCCAAGGCTTCCAGCCCTCCTTCACCCCGATGTACCAGATGCCCTCCTACACCACCACCCACCAAACCACAACCGCTCCCCAAGAATCAACAGCCGTCGCAGCAGAAGCGACCTTTGACGAATCCGCCTTCGAGGCCGCCTTCGCGCAGGCCAGCGCCGCCATAGCATCCCAGGACACTCAAACCACCACCACCACCACTACCCCACCCATTGTCGAGCAAGAAAGTACCCACCCCCAAGATACCCTAGAAGAGCCCACGGCGCACGAGCACATCCGAATCGGCTCCGACACCATCCCGCCCGCCGAGAAGAGCGACGACCCGCAGACCCAAGCGCACGACGCCGACGCGCTCGCGCGGACGGCCGGCCAGCTCGTCGACAGCCTCAAGCACGACACCAGCCAGAAGTTCCGGGAGAGTAACTTCCTCGCGCTCATGCGGCGCATCCGGGATCGTGAGGTGCATATCAAGGATGATGAATTTCAAGAAGTCAGTAGTACCAGTCCATGAACTTTTTCTCTTCTTCTCTGTAGTCATCATGATAGGGGGTTTCTCTTTGGGGTTTTGTGGGGGGACGCAGAACGAAGGGAAGAATCGGTTGGCAGCAATCATGTATGTGTGGGGGTGGGGGTGGGGGTGGGGGTGGGGGTGTGTGTCGGTTGGAGAAATGCCCGCGGGTACGGGGGGTTCTTGTTCGATCAAATCATCTTATTCTTTTGTTTCCGACGTGTCTTTTCTGATCAGCATTCCACAATTTCTCAGACTTCGCAGACTCTTCATCCTGGCGGGAGGTATTATCCTGAAGGCCAGCGACGGGCGCAGGAGGGCCAGGATGCGGCGGGTGGTGCTAGTGGTGAATCTGCTGGGGTCGGCGTTTCGGGTCTACAGTAGCTGGTGAGTCTTGCCCCATGCACCGGTGATGATAAGGTGCTATATCACCAGAAAGCTGACCGAGTTGGGATTCATCCTTCCGTTGAGTAGAGGCTGCGCCCTCATCCTTTTTAACCATCCAATCAACTCACTAAATTACTCCGGCGGCGGAAAGGGCGCACGTCTCGCGCCTCCTAGAGAGAGTCTCAGACGCTCTCCCTGATGCCCGGAACCAAAGGGATCGCTGAGCGTGAGTGGCAGACTACTATCCGGAGTAGGGTTACAGGTGCTTCACGCGGGATACATCCACAAGATCTCATTACCCAGTTTGTGTTCTTTAGGGACAGCACTCAGCACTACATCAAGACAGAAAGCATCACCGTAGCACAGATCATATGAACAGATATGAACAGATAATATATTCATGGATGTTAGACAACAAGCGAAACAAACACCAATCGCTAGTGTCAAAAGTAAATGAAATCCGAACAATCTAAACCAGTAAATTGCTCGGTGCTGCGCAAACCAACCCTTTCCCTACCATGGCACAACCACAACATTAGATATAACCCCGAAAATTACAACCGTCTAGAGATTTTGTAAAAGAGAGAGACAACCCAGCAGCCGAACAAAGAGACAGTCAAAAAAAAATGCAAAAAGCCTGCTTAAATGCACTTCATAAACACATGCAAACATGCAAACATGGATAACATCGATATATCAGAGGGCACGCATGAAGAGAAGCATGAACGGATGGGAATTGGAGCAGATGATATTTCGAAGAGAACAGAGCAACAGATATTTTCGCAGCTTGAAGATCCCAGAGACGAGAGACGGTAAAAGGATGGCGATCAGAAAGTGAACAACCCACTGCGCCGCTTGCCGAATGGGTAGACGATCAGGGCCGAGACGAACAATCCCACGGTAATGCCGATGGCCACCTGGATCATACCGAAACCAAGACTGGAGATACTTGAGTCCGAGGTCGTGCTGCTGGCACTGGTCCCGTTCTTGAGGTTGTTGCGCACCTCGTCGGCATACTCGATTCCGGACAGCAGGGAGCCCGAGGAGGCAAGGCCCGAAGGCACGAGGACGAAAATACCAGGAAGAATCGCGGTGGCGGCATGACCGTGCCACAGGCGACTATACAGATTGCCCAGCAGACCGATCGTGAACGCGCCGACAGTGTTGGCGACCTCGGAGCTGGAGCCGAGCTTGAGCGTGCTGAAGTAGTTCGTCACGTAGCCGCAAGTGGCGATGATGATCATCATCGGCACCTGCTTCCATTTACCCTGGTTGATGATGGCGAGGAAGATGACATAAATAGGAACGAAGACGAAGTGCTGCGTGTATTTGCTGCCGTACACATCTTGGTTCGGGCACGTGGTCTGTGAGCTGGCGGCGCCGTCAATCAAGCCATAAATGGTCGTTCCAACTGTGATACCGTAGCCGAGAAATAACGAGTAGATAATCGAGTAGACCATGCGGATGGAGCCGGCAATCATCTGGTGGGACTGCAGTTCCAAACTACTGCAGAGGACCATGAAACCGGGCAGAATGAGGGCGATGGACGACTGCGCCAGCGCGGAGAAGCAGAAAATGTAGTTGTAATCGCCGTCGGCACTCTTGCCGCGGTGGATGGAGCCAAAGGCGCGGGCGAGGAAGGAGGTCAGAATAGCGGCGGTCACTTCGAACACGTTGGAGTACAGAACCGAGCGGGGCGCCAGGACGTGCTGCATAAATCCGACCAAACTCCCGAGAAAGAAGATAATAGGCATGTCGATCGGGCGGGCTTCGAAGGCGAACGGACCGACCGCACAACTGGCCAGCCCATAGGCCAACACGAGGACCCACTTGTTGAACCGGGGAGGTCGCTTCATGATAAAATCCAGTTCTTGAATGGCCTCTTCCACACCGATGAGATCATGGACGACGTTCTTGTACACGTTGTGCGTTTCCGCCAATCGGCCCAAGTCCACCCCCTGCACGACTCGGACCAGCTTGACCTCCGCTGTACGGGTGGTCGGATCGTCAAAGGACATGATCATACATCCCGGCAGATACAAGAACTGGCCCTCGACTTCCAGGACCCGGGCCGTCATTTGCATATACTCCTCAAGACGGTGAGTGGGGGCACCGTACCGCATTAGTGCCCGGCACAGCTGCATGATGTAACGCTGCCGCGCCAGGATCTCGGCGATATGCACAGTGACGCGGATTTCGTCCTCCAACCGAGTTTTGCGCGACTTCTTCTTTCCCTTCTTCGGCGGATGCGGCAGCATCACCAGGGTATCAGCAGAAGCCGGTAAACTGGCCCGACTGAGGTTCATCGATGCGGAGACCAGGGAGGCGGTGGAGTGGTGGTTTGACTTCTTGTACCATTTCAGTTTTTCCTTCTTGGGGGTTGCCGTCCCCGAGGAAAAATCCCGGCGCGGGGTGGCGGTCCCTGAAGAGGCCACTGACTCGTTGTCAGACGAATCGGTGACAGACATGTTATCTTTCGCCTGCGCGGCATGGAGCTTCAGCAACTGTGCGAGAATACCACCACCGCCAGCACCGGGGCGCGGCGGGGTGGCACCTCCGTACCAGGAGTCCGGCCGACTCGATTCGTCGGGAGTGCTGGTTCCGGAGCGTGCGTAGGCAGACTTGGGCTTGCGGTTGCGCAGGTGGTTCTGAGTCATGCTGCGAACCAGTCTATGGGCTTCGGCGCTGGGAGGCGGCGGGGTCTCATCTCCGTTGCGGTTATGAAGTTCGAAGGGATCCTTTTCTTCTGCTCCCCGACGAGGCGGCTGTGGTCCGAATCCTCTTTCTAGATCATCCGGGAGCATGGCTGCGCCGAGGTCGCCGCCGTCGTCATCAGAAGGCCTACCCAGACGTTCGCCCAGATTGACGGTTTTCTGACGAAGCAGCTTGCTGGCGTGCTTCCAACGGTCTCGAGCGGTCATCGGATGCGTAGGCTGCTCTTCTTTCTCGATGGAGGACTTCGGAGTATCGCCGTCGGTAGGTGGGGACTCGCGTCGGTGCGCTGGTTGCTGGACACCTGCTTCAGGTTCGGGCTCGCCTTGACCAGGGAAATACTCCGTGAGATCGGCCGATTCTGAGGTGGGTGGCATCATCGAATGGACAGACTGAAGGGAGCGTACGGAATAGTCGGAGTCTGCGCGGGGCATAGGCGGCCGTTGCGGTGTGCTCTCACCATGGTTGCTCACTGAGCGGAATCGAACTCGAGTCGGCCTCGTGGCTGGTGTCTCGTGCTGGGGATCGCGGAGAGGAGGCGCAGCGGTCGCCTCTTCAGGGAAAGTAGGAGACGAGGGACTGGTCTCCGGACTGGGATGATGTGCTACCGCATCGTGACCCTCGAAGCTGTTCTCGCGGTCAAGCAGCTCATAGGAGGCACCTTCCCGATGTGGTTCCGACATTTGTATCGTCCAGGCAGCCTGCTGCGAGGACCGGGGATCTCTAGGGGTATATGCAGTAGGAGATAAAAGTATGTACGGGATAAGGATCTATAATCTAAACAGGGAGAGGGAGAGAAAGGTGCAGATCTGCGAGACACAACAGCCACCAGGCACAAACGGAACGACAAAACGTCAAGAAGAGAAGAAAACTGGAGAAGGTCAGGGGGGTTTGCCGGAAAAAAAGGGAAAAAGGCAAAAAAGCTTTTTGAGCGTGGAACCGGCGGACCAGCGGGTGGAGTGCGCGAAGAACCCGTAGAAACCAACGGCGTGGGCGGCGGAACCAAAAATAAGTCTGGATTGTCTACACAGTAGAGTCTAGACAGCAAGCGAGGGTTGTTGTTCGTTTGAAGCTTTTTAAAGGCTGATCAACAGTTAGTGAGAAAACAATCGTGAGGTGATAGCGAGATAGTGAGCGGAATATTGACTGACCACTGCGGCGTTGCATGTCTTCGCCTGCCCTCAGCCCATGACTTCATCTGGCACCGGATTGATAAAGTGATTGGCATTGGAAGCGTGCCTTGGAGGGGGAGAAAATGGCCGCGGTGGATCCCCGCCGAAGACAATGAGTGAATGAGAAGCCGAGACAGGCACCGAACGGGAGACTGACAGCTCATCACATGGTGGAATGGAGTGTGTGTAAATCATCCTGGTCCGTTTCGCAATCCCCCGTCTCCTCTTTCAGTCTCTCTTTCTTTCATTCTTTCTTTCTTTCTTTCTTCTCCATCTTCCCTTATCATCGTGGGTTGTTGGGTTGGTAGCGTCTTTGTAAATCGACTGGCGGTGGATGCTCCACCGGGCTTGCGGTAAGATGAGCTACTGAGCAGTGTGTTTCACCACAGTCGCGCCTCGCGTACGGGTGGCTTGAAGCCCCCTGGGGCCCTGTGCATGCACCTTGTGCAGGAAATGAGTAATGTCGATGCACGAAAGGCAAACCTTCGCAGTGAGGCACCAGGCCAACCTCCAATGACGGTGGTAGGATTTGCCGGATGATGACCATGATCAGAGGATAAATTCTATTTTGTGAAAGGTATTCCGACCGCGTAATGCCGGGTTAATTGGGGTTTGGATAGTTGGGTGGGGGGTGGGGGGGGATTGTTGGAAGGATGTGAAGCAGTGTGAAGGAGAGAGTGAAAGAGGAATGGTCGGTGGCGACTTCGTCAAGTCAGTCCCCGTTTAGGGAGGTTGAGCGGTGGTTTTCCCCTCTGATCACGTGATGCTTTCAGTCTAGAATCTCTTTCGTACTCGTTCTTCCATTGGGGAAGCGCTGGTGGCTTGCGATTGAACCTGCAAAGGATGATTCCCGCCGCGTCATGGCCATACATCATCTCTACCAGCAGTGGTTGTAGTCTTTGCCGTTCTATTCTTTGCTCTGGCTGAGTCCCGGGTTACCGAAAAAGCTTCCCAGCTATGCATAGATGCCTGATGCAAAATTGAATGAATGCACTGATCATCGAAGGGTATATACGTCCAATTGGGTCTTAACTAGTGAGTAGATCGAAGACTAACTTTGGAGATCTACTCCGGAGTATTATCTCGGGCTGGAGGTAGTCTACGAGATACTCCGACCTCTATTCCCACCTACAGATTTAGAACCGCCCCAGTCCCGTCCGAGCCTATCTCAATCCGAATCTGCGGCATTTAGTCCCGCCGGACTGACTAGACATACGGAGTAGAAATGCGATTCGGTTCTATACAGGGTCATGGTAAGGACCATGGCTCCAATTGCAATTGCCTGGCACCCGAGCGATGGGAACCGGGATTTCATCTAACTACAGCGTACAGCGGTGTGGCTCAGTCAGGGAAGCATTGATCCTCCCACGAGAGTGATACGAAGCCAATGGAGCTCTGACTATTCCTGACGCGCCTGGGCTAATTCGCCATCACACAACACCAATATACACAGTACGGAGTATTGAGTACATAAGTACACTGGACAAATCCCACCATACCATCTTGCATTTGCAACAGCCATTTCCCTCCATAACTCGCCGGATCCCATCATTCAGTCAACAATACGAGTATAGCGTCACATTCGGGTCTCTGTTTGCGGACTTCGGTCTCACGCATTGCGTTGTCTGAGATTCCTCGCGGGCTCGGCGCATGTCATGCTTATGTAGGGAATCGTAAGATCTCGGGCAAGGGATGGCGTTCGCATCAACGGGTTGGAATAGCCTCTTGGTCCTGGAAGTTGTCATGTTTGGGGCTCGGAGAGACAAATTGTTGAGAATAAATCTCAATGACAGCATGGTCCGTCATATTAGGCCGTAGCCGGGGTTCCCGTCAAACGTACTCCGGAGTACAGTACTACGGAGCACTATAGATTAAGTTATGATGTGCATTGCTTAGTCACTCAGATATGTTGTGGCATAATCCACAAAGCATCCGCAGTATCCGATAGCAGGAGTCGGCGTTAGGATGTTTATGGATGTCGACATCCTATAGCAGTGGGAAAGACAAGCAACTGAACCCCTAAGGCTGCTTAATTTCAGCATCGTCGAAGTGATATTTGATGTTTTGTTGAGATTCCAGCCACTTGATCAAACGACTTGATCGAGGATTATTACGTCTGACCTCAACATATATAGATGACAGCCACCACCTGGTTATTCAAGGAATCAATCATCACAAACTTCAACCCCAAGTCATTGTGCTAGTGGCTCGTAAGCCAGGAGATCACATTACTGATACTCCCTGTGTCAAATACGGACTCTTCCGTGTGGATCCCTTTATGTAGAGACATGAAAGGAACGTAAACATCAACTGCGGCCAGTCTACCGACTCCACCCGAAGACATCTTTTGTACTGCCTGCGCTCATGACAAAACAAAGTCTCCCGATGAATGAATTGAAAAAGGTCTGGATAGTAGGCATGATGTTGAGTGTTAAGGGCTTCCGGAGCTAAAAGGTGTATGCTTAGTTCCGCTGCTTCAATGAAGGCTATGATAAGTAGAATCCATCACACGTGGAAGACTGGCTTGCTACCCATGCTGTGCAAATATATATTGTTTATAGCAATGTATGATAAATTGGACTACTTTACTGGCTAGAAGTCAACTGAATCATCCCACATCGAACAGCCACGGTCAAGACGATGGGCGGGAGACGTCGGTCCACCGCAGTTGAGCTATCCGACAGCTGGAGGATTTGAAGCCTGAAATCACGCGATATCAAGCACACATACGGCCATGCACTGAGCCTGGTTTCAGACGCCTCTCCAACTATTCAAATCGACATTGACGCTTCATTGGCACGATTCCGAAGCAGCAAGTGGACACTGCGCAGGTGGAAAATACGAGTCGCCAAGCACATCCCGAGACCTACGCTGGAGATACGAGTGTCTGCTTCTCAGGAACTTTCAAGAGGCATTAAATCGATAATCGTGCTCACTCTTTGGCAGTCATTGTGCTGACAATAAAGAGACAAATTGCTAGAGGAATGTTGTGGTCAGTTTTCTTTAGGCTAAAACGGCACTGACACAGGCGCTGTTTTGAATGCTATTGCGCCTGCGACACACGTAATGTGATTAATAAAACGCGGAGGATGGGGATGATCGTCCGAGATCTTATGGGGATCTGTCAAGCTATTTATATCAACGCCGATGGTGGGGGCAGTGATTTCGACTGACTCAGGTCGAATATGGACATGAGCACGCAACGGACCAGACTACCACTCTTGGTTTGTGGTCAGGTCGAAAAAACGATCTGCATCGTTACTGGTAGGCATCGGATACTGCACAATGTCGAGGAGACGGGAGAGTGAGAGGGGTCCGATAGGATGAGCATTTGTGTCGAAAAAGGTACATTGTCGCAAAGAGAAAGTCATGTGACCGTGGCATTGACATCTGAGAAAGGAAGAATAAGGTGAGCATCTTGATCCTTCTCAATACGCGATCAACGGCCTCGGGAACGTGAGCTTCCTTCCGTCAATTAGCCACCAAATGTGAGCATCAATCAATCAATCACTTCTAGAATAGTAGTAGAATAGATTGTGCACACGGGTTCCCCCTATCATGAGGGAATCCTTAGAAAACACCCCTTAATAGTTCACAAGAAATCTCCGACAAGGCAGTGCGGAGAAGGGGTATGTCCTTTGTGCAAGCGGATTGAGATTCGACAAGCCAAATAAGGGGGAAGCATGGCGGAGAGTAAGGTCCGCCAATGACAACGTCTGCTGGGCACAGAAGCCGGAAGAATTGGCTAGACTGCATTCACCACGGAAGTCGCAATGGCCGAGCCCAGACAGGGGGTTGATTTAGTACGGCCCGGTGGAGATCATCGTTCATGGGTCTTCGGGATCACGCCATTCGCACCAGTAAACCCATATGTTTCCCAGTCACTGCCTGGTTCTTTCAGCGGATAACCGTGGAACGTCTCGGGTGTTGTGGACAACGAGTGAGATATGCTTCCACAGTCAAAATCATTATGGCGTAGTCAACAGCGGCAAAGCGATGCGAGCGGATACGAATTTGTCTGGACGCTGAGGGAGCATCAGAGTCAGCAACCATGTCATCCTGCTAAGCTGCTAAGCTGGTCAGCGAGGCGGAGCGGGGCCAAAGAAGTGCGAAACTCAGGACTGTCCGGAGCAGGGATAAAAATGGCATGGGTGGCGGAGCCAAACCTGGAGGTAGAGCAATCAGATCTTCCAGTCTCTCATGAAGAAGAGGGGGACCCGGAAGAGGGTTCCACAATCTTGACCGGAGCGTGTTGCAGGTTGAAAGGAAAGGGAGATGGGAGAGTGGGAAAGTAGTTACAAGGGAAGATTGGTGAATTGTGACTCGTTGAGGCAGCCAGCTTTCAGGGGGGCTTTCCATTCCAGCCTGGCAATGGAGGACAAAGGCTTACGAGTCTCATACCGCCCCAAGTACCTGCCCCCAAGGTAGATTCCCACGCAAGTACCACGGTGGGCCACATATCTAACAGTAGCATTACGGTCACATTACTCGTACCTGGATCACGACGGAACTCCGCCCCCCTTGCGAAAAGGAGACGCCCCCTCAACTGACCACGCTGGCCTTTTAAAGAGGCAATCTTTCCCTCTCTCAATCCACCTTAGACTCTGAAAGCAGTCAATCCCTCTTCATCCTTTTTATTACTTTCACTACCTCTTGTGGACAGTTGTCCTCTTTTCTCCAGTTCCCCAGCTTCCGTTTTCGGTCCCACCCAACCAAAGCCTTGCTGGTCAACTAACCTGGCCCCTCCCTCCCCCCAGACCCGGCTTTCCCACCGTAATGACACGGTGGCCTCTGTCCCTGTGACCTGGGCAAAAGAGACGACGTGATTGAGCTACGCCTTCCTGAGCATTGAGCACCGCTACACATTCGTGACATCCCATACAGTCTACGATTAGACAGTTGATCTGGTTGACCTCGTCATTTGATCGACATCATCGCCTTTGCAAGATGGAAGGCGGCTTCTCTCCAGTGGAATCGTTGGCTGGTTCACCGGCCCCGGAGATTCCCATGCTCACTGTCTCCCCAGCGGACACTTCCTTGAACGATCCTACCGTCAAGACCGAGACCAAGTCTGAGGACAAGAAGCCTGCGAAGAAGAGAAAGTCATGGGGCCAGGAGTTGCCAGTCCCTAAGACCAACCTTCCTCCAAGGTATGTTTCACTTCATGCAAGGGTCGTCCGATCAATTTAGTATCACGATACTGATATATCATGCTCTAGGAAACGGGCCAAGACGGAGGATGAGAAGGAGCAGCGCCGCATCGAGCGGGTTCTTCGGAATCGTGCCGCCGCACAAACCTCCCGGGAGCGCAAGCGCCTCGAGATGGAGAAATTAGAGAACGAGAAAATCCAGATGGAGCAACAGAACCAGTTCCTTCTACAGCGCTTGACCCAGATGGAAGCCGAAAACAACCGCCTGAACCAACAAGTCGCGCAACTGTCGGCGGAAGTCAGGGGCTCTCGCGGCAACACTCCCAAGCCCGGCTCCCCTGCCACCGCCTCGCCTACCCTCACGCCGACCCTGTTCAAGCAGGAACGCGACGAACTCCCCCTCGAACGAATTCCTTTCCCCACTTCCCCTCTCAACGACTACTCCCCCACCCTTCGGCCTTCCACTCTGGCTGAGTCCTCCGACCTGACACAACATCCTGCAGCGGTGTTGTGTGACCTGCAGTGTCAGTCGGTGGACTCGAAGGAGATGGAAGTGCCCTCTCGTTGTTTGAGCTCGGCTCCCACGTGGAACCTCACGCTGCAGATGACCTTGCAGCTCCTCTTTCTGACGATGACTTCAACCGCCTATTCAGCGGTGATTCACCCGCTGGGTCGGATTCTTCAGTCCTTGAAGACGGGTTCGCGTTTGACCTTCTCGACGGAGGAGATCTATCAGCATTTCCATTTGATTCTATGGTTAATTTCGACCCCGACTCTGTCGCCTTCGACGGCATCGACCCGCCCCACGGTCTTCCGGACGAAGCTTCTTGCCAGACTTCTAGCGTGCAACCCAGCCTTGGCGCGTCCACTACGCGATGCGACGGGCAGGGCCTTGCAGCTGGCTGCTAATCAGAAGTTCTCTCCCCAAGACCTACCCGCTGGCGGTGTTGGCGAAGCTCGATGGAGCTGGGAGTCTTTATTAACCCTAGCTTGGACGATTGATTTACTCGAAAAGCCGGGACGACGCAAACGAATCTTGAAGGGTTTGAAATCCGCGCGGCATGGACGGCGCAGGCATCATCATGATGGGAAACTTCAACATGCACGGAGTTCATGGAGTTCAGGTAGCGCCAGCAAGACGTTGACGTCTTCGCTTTTGGGCAAGCGCCGTTGTTGAAGAAATTTCTTGTAAACTAGCGAAAACATTAATCACTATTGAACGGAGAGTAGGCCCGTCTGAGGCTTTATCATTTGTGTTCTACGTGTAATTCTGTAGTTGTCAGATCATTTCTGCCTGTGACCCCCGACCGTATAATGAGTTTGCATAATTTTGCACCAATCTTGACTAAGCGAATTATGTACCATGCACAAGCCGGCTCGAGGATTTAGCAATTGTAACGAGATATTTATTGTATCATGCTCTATTTATCAGCTCCTCAAGATCAAGGATGGCTTCAAGCAGCCATCTGCTTCTGGAAATCTCTAGGTCCGATTTGCTTAATACGGCCAGAGCTCTCAGAGTGAGTTATTCCGAGAGCGCAACGATCGAGACCGCCCCCCATATCGCGCATTGACTCTGTCCCAGATTTAAGACAGTCCGGTACAATGCTGCGCAGCCTGTCTGAATAATTCATTGCACTAACATATCAGGTCCAACGAAATCATGGGCCAGCATATCCCTGAAACTTATGTCTGGTCATCAGACTCATTGAACCCGGTAGGATCAGAGTACATTCTCGAGAAAAGGCTAACTTATATATTTGGATTTCACCCTATCGCATCCCCGCACCAGAGATTGACGAACTACTTAATACTCTATCATATCCTAACCTGCATCTCGATAACATATTCATCAACCCCGACACAAGCCAAATCACATCGATCATTGACTGGTAGCTGGCAGCTGTAATACTCCTCTGTCTGCAGAATCCCTTTCTGTAAATGCTAGAGCTTTCGCTTAGTCCATTTATCAGCCAGCAGAGTTTACTCGAGAAGGAACTTGTTGAGTTTTACCATAAAACTACCAAGAAAGTTAATAAGGGTAAAAGTCTTCATAGATTTGTACCTTACGACAAGTCTCAGTCCTCTATATTTAATCCCAGGATGTTGGGAGCGGTTGGATACGTTCTTGCTGCGCGAGGCATGAATTAGAATTATTGTACTTTAGACACAGTTAATCGATAGCAGTCCCTATTCGATCGAGTTTACTACGAAGGAAGTAATAGGACATCAAGACAAAAGAGATCTTGTTTAAGAGCTATCTGCTGTCGTGCAACAGCTGGTAGATGAGAGAGTCATTCCAATTAGAGGTATAGTCCTACTGGAGTAGTATGGACTGGCTAGATGCGCGAGTCACTCTGGCTTAAGTGGGAGTTTGTCGGCTTAGCTGAAGACGAGCAACAGGAGAAAATTGCACGCGATGGTTTGCCGTATGAAAACTGGATATTGCACGGGGCTTCTTTGTGGTTACTGTGGCTTTTCCAGCGGTATGAGCATATTCCTGTTCTCTTTCTATGTTTGGGAGTCCTGATACATTTTATCAGATTTTCTACGCCCCTAACGACGTCAACAGTTCAGCAGCCAACATCGTTGCTGATGATTAGTACTGCATTCCGTTCATCGAAGGGATAATTTCGTTGAGTGCATTGCAGAAATCTAGAGTAATGACTGGACTGGCCTACCGTCCTACACGGTGAAATCATGGCGGACCAAGACTAACAGAATGTGATAACAGAATTCGAGCGAACAACACCAGCGGATGTTGAATCCGAGGTCATCAGAAGGTTGAACGGAGCATTGCATAGTCACAAGCAAAATAATAGAGCCAAAGACAGCGGCATCGTCTACAAATGTCAAAGGCTAGTCTAGTAGTCGTCACCGCGACTGATGACTTCCTTGCCGCCGCTGTGGAGAAGAATGGTCTGGAGCACGTGTTAGTTTCAGAAGCCTCGATCACAAAGAGGAAACTTACATGCTCGAATTGTGCGGTGTATGAGCCCTTCACGTCGACGAGCGGCGCATACGACTCCACAATCCCGTTGTCAATCAGGTTCTTCATCTGCTTCCCGTCAGCATATTGTTACGGCAGTCTAGTCATGGCAGCACTCACCCCGAGATGATAATGGGACACCCCAAGTCTCTCCAGATAGCGCCGGCAGAAAACGATCGACCCGAAGTTGGAGTCAATGGTTTTCAGCAGCGACTTGGCCGAGGCAAGACGCAGGTTCGCGCCGGAGATATCCGTGTTCCTACCGTAGCCGTAGACACCCACCTATCGAGACTGTCAGTCTAGGCCTGCCGTGCAGAAAAAAGATAGACGTACATCATCAGTTAGGTATCCTTGACCGGTGCTCCCGAATGTCTCGATCGCAAAGACCTCTCCCTCCTCCATCTTGTCGCGATTGTTGCTCTTGATGAACGGGATCTGCTTGCTGCCATGGATGTGATAGCGCAAGATGTCGTGGCCCGTAATGTTCCGGATAGCTTTCACGGGGCGCGTCTTGCCATCGATCTCGACCTCGTAGCTCTCCATCACTTCCTGGATGGCAGCACCGATTTCGCCCATTCTCGCATCGATACCAGCATGCTACCACGATTAGCCGCCGTGGTCCGTGCCATGGGGTTTTATATGACTTACCTGGATGCCAGTGTTGGTCGCCTCCTTCACAGCCGTGAGAAGGTGGTCATACTTCTCCTCAAACGCAACGGTAAACGCGGAGTCAACAATGCGCCCATTCACATGCACTCCGAAATCTACCTTGAGAACGTCATTCTTATCCAGAATCACGTCCTTCGCGCCCGGGTTGGGCGTCCAGTGCGCCGCCACGTGATTCAGACACAGGCCGGTCGGGAATCCCATGCCCGCGTGGAACGCATCTCCGGTCTCCAGACCCTGGTGGCCGGAAAGCGCGCGCACGCCGTCTTCAATTCCCTCGGCAATATCCGTGAGACTGGTCCCAGGCTTGATGAGCTCCTTCTGGGCATACTGCCGGACCTGGCGATGGATCTCGGCCGCCTTGCGGTAGTCAGGCAGAAAGTCTTCGTCCCAGAGCCGGGAGTTGTAGCGCAGTTCTTCGTCGGTGGTGCGGGCGGTGTTCTCGTCGTAGGGGACGAGTTGTCCCGCGGGGTATATGTCGGAGGCAAAGAGGGTGGAGAGCGGCACCCGCGGAGGGGTGGTTTGCTGGGTGGCTGAGGTCTTTTTCTTCTTTTTGTTGGACCTCTTGCGTTTCTTTTGTTTCTTCTCTGGATGGGTCGGATGGCTGTGTCAGGGTATATGGTTCGGTTTCCTTCCGAGTTTGGGACGTACCAGTAGTAGAGGCGCCGTTCACCCCACTTTCTTCCTTCGAATTATCCTCGTCGTCGTCGTCATCGTCGTCGCTGATGATTCCTCGGTCCAAGTCCGCCGAGCCAGAGCCGTTTCGAGAGGATTTGACTTGAGGATTAGCGCTTGAAGTCGGAGGAGTTGGAGGCTGTCGCACAGTCAGGTCAGTGTCTGCTTCAGTGGGGGGGGAGGAATTGGGGAAGAGCATACCATCGGGCTCTTGCCGATGTCCCTCGGGGGTCTTGGATCCCATGTTGATGTAGATGTAGAGAGTACCACGCACGCGACTGGCATGGACTGTTTGTGTGGAATTTGGTGATGAGGTTGTAGGAAAGACAAAGATACGGCGATCCCCCGCGTGTTGTCAAGATCAACATCTCTAGAGCTGACTCAGCAGTCACCCCGCCCGAAGAAAGCAGTCTAGATCGGGCCTTTTGGAAGGCTTCAGAAACGATCATTGCTCTCTTCGTTGAAATCGATCTCTACTTCTATGCGAGTTGCTATCCTTCTTTCCATATACTACTCAGTCACAACGACTCCCACTTCTCTTGCTGGTCGATCCTTTCGTCAGGACGAATGCGACGAAGCAGTCACCAAGCTTACTGGCATAGCTGCGGGTTTACTGTATATTTCTATATTATCCAGGCGCCTCATGTGGAGAGAACCTGATTTCCGAATTGTGTCAAGAAAACAGACATCTGGTTCCGCAACAAACGTTCACCGGGACAAGTGCTCGCCAAAGTTTATTGACTTTACTCGAGTCTCTCACCTTTGTCAACAGGGGAGCTGGAGCCAGACTGACCGAAATTAGCCTATTATAAAAACCGCTGGTTAATACAGTCTGAGAGGACAGAGCGCAAGGTCTGCTACCTCATCGATCTACTGTCTCTGGAGAGGACAGTCTGACCTTCTCTAGGGGAAGCCAGTGAAAATAGAGACAACTCTGCGAAGACTAGTCGGACTGTGGGGAAGACGGCCAGGCCTCGCAGGTGGTCATAGCTCCAACCTCATTGAGCGGGCATTGACCAACACAGAGCCATCGGAGCCATCGGAGCCATCGGAGCCATTGGAGAGAGGTATTCAGTGCCAGTGCCAATCTGCAGGTGACTCGTGTTGCCAAAAACTAATGGGTTCTGTTTCGTCCACAGTCGGACGATGTGGTCAGCGGCGCGTGGTAACCACCTCAGGCATTGGGAGCCGCTAAGAAGGCCGGCAGAGATAGACCGCGACATCACATGCATTCACATGCCTGGGAGCTGGAATGTGGCATCGCACTTTATCACAGCTTCCCGCGAAATTAGCAAAAAAAAAAAAGGTGTCTAAAGCTTCATCCAGCTCAGGTTAAGTCGGTGGCTGGAACTATCCTCAGACAAAGACTTTCTGGCAGCTGTGTCGTGGCGATACCCGGGTGTATGCATTCATTCTTGCGACGACAATCATGACTCCTTTCGGAATCGATCGGTGGCGGAGATGAAGAGCCTTCCGAAAAGAACCGAGAATGATCGACCTGCGTACCCGTAACAACTCTGCCTGTGGTGTTTGGTGCAGCCGCGGCTGGCTGGAGGTTGTTCGGACGTGCGGGGAGATGAGGAAGGCTTATCGAGGGCGACATCCTCGGTAGGATGGAAACGGGGACGCTCTGATAACTTGAACCTGACTGGTTTGCGATGAGCCAAGAGGGTTGGTGGGGGGTGGCTCTGGTTCTGATGGACTGACCGTACACGGGCGAATTGCGCTTTCGGACGAGAAGACTCCTCTCTCGGACATCTCTGGCCTCACCACGTCCAGTTCATATCGAGCATCGGGGCATTGAGAGTATATCAAGTGTCGAGGAGAAAGTATCGAGTCATCAGCAGTGATAAGGGCCGATGCGGGAGACGGTGGCCGGCGCGTGCCGGGCGGGAAACTTGGCCTAATCGGGCCCAGTCGGCCGAATGGACAAGGGTTCCCCGCGGAGAAGTCACGTGAAGATCAACCACTCCTCCTTTCCGCTCATCCATGGGCTACGAGGGCGAAGTATGAGGGAGTCCAGGAGAGTTCATGCCCCAGGATTATGTTATGGCTCATCCGAACTTCCCATGGGCCGCGGCTGTCCGTGGGTCCTGACGTAGTCGAGCCACCCCTCCTCCCGATAAGAATCTGGGGTGGGTGAAAACTTATATACTTTGCTTGCCCCTCCTGCTGGAGAGCTGCTACCTCTACTATGTGTTTGAGTCTGTGATCAATGCTCTTGCTCATTTATCTGCCCTATTAGAGCTTTGTACTGCATCATCATATCTGATTCACCTTCACCACCATGAGCCAAACCGAGGCCCAGCTCAAGGATGTTGCCATCCTGGGCACTGTGAGCACCGAAGCTCGCAAGATCCTCACCAAAGACGCCTGTGCCTTCCTAGCCATCCTGCACCGCACCTTCAACCCCACCCGCAAATCCCTCCTCCAGCGCCGCATCGACCGACAGGCCGAGATTGACAAGGGCCACCTGCCCGACTTCCTCCCTGAGACCAAGCACATCCGCGAGAATGACGCCTGGAAGGGCGCTCCCCCGGCTCCCGGTTTGGTCGACCGCCGTGTGGAGATCACAGGTCCTACGGACCGGAAAATGGTGGTGAACGCTCTCAACTCGGATGTCTGGACATATATGGCGGATTTTGAGGGTGGGTGTTCTCTTCCACTCAGCTGCGGGCAAGAATACTAACTCCCCCTGGATACCAGACTCCAGCGCCCCGACGTGGGAGAACATGATTAATGGTCAGATCAACCTCTACGACGCGATCCGTCGACAGGTCGACTTCAAGCAAGGCAACAAGGAGTACAAGCTGCGGACAGACCGGGTGCTGCCGACATTGATCGCACGGGCTCGAGGCTGGCACCTCGAGGAGAAGCACTTCACCGTGGACGGCGAGCCCATCTCGGGCAGTCTGTTCGACTTTGGGCTGTATTTCTACCACAACGCGAAGGAGTTGGTGGCCCGCGGGTTCGGGCCCTATTTCTACCTGCCCAAGATGGAATCGCATCTGGAGGCGCGGCTGTGGAACGACGTGTTCAACTTGGCGCAGGACTACATTGGCATGCCGCGGGGCACGATCCGCGGGACCGTGCTGATCGAGACCATCACCGCGGCGTTTGAGATGGAGGAGATCATCTACGAGCTGCGGGAGCACAGCTCGGGTCTCAACTGCGGCCGCTGGGATTACATCTTCTCGTTCATCAAGAAGTTCCGCAAGCACCCCAATTTTGTCTTGCCGGATCGCTCGGACGTGACGATGACGGTGCCGTTTATGGATGCCTACGTTAAGCTGCTGATCAAGACTTGCCACCGACGAGGCGTTCACGCTATGGTATGTCCTCACTTTCACCTCCCCCCTTAGCTCCATCGGTGACGGCACGATCCCTAACTCCGCACAGGGCGGAATGGCCGCACAGATCCCCATCAAGAACGACCCCGCCGCCAACGACAAGGCCATGGAGAGCGTGCGTGCCGACAAGCTGCGCGAGGTGCGTGCCGGCCACGACGGAACGTGGGTGGCTCACCCCGCGCTGGCCGCCATCGCCTCGGAGGTCTTCAACACCCACATGCCCACGCCGAACCAGCTCTTCGTGCGCCGCGAAGACGTCCACATCACCGCGAACGACCTGCTGAACACCAACGTCCCGGGTAAGATCACCGAAGAGGGCATCCGCAAGAATTTGAACATTGGTCTTTCCTACATGGAGGGCTGGCTTCGCGGAGTAGGCTGTATCCCCATCAACTTTCTCATGGTAAGTTTCACCTCCCCGCGACCCCTCATGAATTCATCAATCCCATCCATCCATCCACTAACACCCACAAAGGAAGACGCCGCCACCGCCGAAGTCTCACGCAGCCAGCTCTGGCAATGGACCCACCACGGCATCACCACCGCGGACGGCAAGAAGGTCGACAAGGCCTACGCCCTGCGGCTGCTGCAGGAGCAGGCCGACGAGCTGGCCGCCAAGGGCCCCGCCGGCAACAAGTTCCAGCAGGCCGCCCGCTACTTCGCCAGCCAGGTCACCGGCGAGGACTACGCCGACTTCCTGACCTCCTTGCTGTATAATGAGATCTCCTCGGCGGGCAGTGCCTCGCCGGCGGCTAAGCTGTAGATCGGTTTTGGCTGGCATGAAGGGTTATTAATGAATGGGTGTTTTGATTGAATGAATATGTGATGCGAAGTATACCAATTGCTCAATGGGATATATATATATATATTTTTTTTTTCTTTTTTCTATCGTGGTTGTAGGTGTAGTGTGGATCAATTGTACGAGTGATAATGCTTGTGTCGAGGGGAAGTGTCGTGTAATAGGGTGAGAGCAGAAAATACACTTGCAGGTATTCTCTGCGGGGTATAGTACTGCCCTCACACGGAGATTGGAGATTTGGCAAGTAGAGAAGTAAGGTCAGGAATCGACCTCTCCAAGTACTCTAGCTCCTGCGGGGTGAAGGCAAAGCTAGGCTCATCTGTCTGGGTGATACTGTATAGCCGACCGATAAGCGAACTGTGCGGGTCAGACCCCACCTACTATACTATACTATACTATACTATACTATACTATACTATAGTACCTTAATCTAACCTGGCCTAATGGGATAAACAGAGTTCCACAAGACAAGACACAAGGTTGCATCAGCTCGTGAGATACTTATGTCGAAATCATGTCGGAAGCAGCAATCACACCTCTCATTCAATGCAGTATCTTCGCACATGCGTGGAGACAGGTCCGAGAATGAAGATTTATCTACGCAAAGTGCAGGGCATGACCCAGAGACAAGCACGCACTCCAACCAAACTCATTCTCAATGTCATTCTGTGTACTACTAAACTCGGAAGAACTCAATCAGGATATAAGAAAGCTTCGTCCCACGCAGACCCAAACAACCAACTGTACTTCCACCACATGGATCTCCAAAAAACCAACCCGAAAGGACCGCGACAACATCTCACTACTCATATTGACACCCAAAATCTCTCCCTTCCCCCAGAAATAGGCAGACGACCTTAGATATAAAACATGGTGTGGCTCACACTAGGATGGATCGTCACCCGGTGACCATCAACAGACTCGGCCTTGCTCCCAGCGGCACTCGCTGTCGACGCATCAAAGACGTCTGAGAGATAACATCTCGCACGCTCGCAGACCAGATCAGCATAGTATGCAGGGGGACAGATGCTGACGGCCTTGGTGGCGCGTCCGAACAGATAGCACATCTTGTGGGTCAGATTCTCCAGGACATCGGCGGCGTTCTGCCCAGGGGCGAGCTTCTCTTGACAGAAAATCTCATCGTAGACAGTGAAGTAGTGCGCCGGGCGAGCGGTGCCTTTGAGAGCCGTGTGCGCTTGCAAGAAAAAGTCCCAGTTGCGGGCCTCGGTCACGCCGCGGTCAACGACAGTGCCATTGTGGGGATTGCCGGAGTTGTCGGCTTCCTCCTCCTTGGTCGGATAGAAACGCGTGTGGTGCCGCTTGCCGACTACCACGATGGAGATCCGTGGCACTTTTTGGTTGGTTTTCTGATACAACTGCTCGCAAGCCTTCTGGATCAGAGGCAGTTCCTCCCGGACCACCATTTCATACTGTCCTTCGGAGACTCCGTCCCGGTAGATGATGATGTTCTCGGGGTACTGGCCCTTGTGGCCTTTCGCCCAGCGGCCGAGGTGGACCTTCAGCATCACGTCGAGGTCGCTGACCCGCTCCTGGCGAGAGGTTTGGACTCGGAGTTCTGCTGGCCACTGCCCCAGATTGGCATCCACTGAGGCGACCATGCCGGCAACGCTCGGGGCCTTGGACGATGACCCTGGGGAGGGATGAGTCACATCGATCCCAACAAGCATAGTCTTATTCTTGCCGACAATCCCAAGTTCTTGACCGGGAATGAGCTGATTGACGCCGCCGAGCTTCAGATTGACTTTGAGACCGACATTGGCGAGATATTGTGGGCTACCCTTCAACAACTTGTCAACTTGCACGTTGACGTTCCGGACGCCCTCTTGAACGTCACAAGTGCGCTTCATACAGTTGTATACCTCCGTACTCTGGTCAGACAGAATCCCGAGGATCAGGTCAGGTTTGCGAGTTCCGATGAGAGCCCGAACGGCCTCGCTAATTTGGTTCTCGCGCTGGTGTCTAGCCTGATCGTTGTCTCCCGAAGCGAGTGCCACGCGATCTCCACCTCTGGGTGCGTTCGCCTGCACCCCGACTTCGTTGAGCTTCTCCTTGAACTGGCCAAGGGCGGCCTCCATTTCTTCGCGGGAGGGTTTCCACCTTGGGTTGGAGTCGAGGAATAGGTAGGCCCAGGATGTTAATCTAGATCCGGTGGAAAACTTGATGGACTTCATGTTCCAGCTTCCGCCAAGCGTCTGGATGTTTTTTTCCCTATTGCTATTGGCGTCCTTGTAAAGAACCCGTGGTGCAGTGAGCACACGGCCGGGTACCGTGACAAGTTGTGTGCCCACTTGAACACCAAATTCAGTCAAGGCGGCGTTTGCAGTGGCGCCGAGCGCCAGGAGACGCGTGCCTTTTTCGACAATCGATTGCGCGTTGAAGCCTGGGGGCTTAACCGCGAATTTTAGCATCTGACTGGTTTGGAACGGGCTGAGCTTGGATTTCGCTTGCTGCCCTGGCTCAACCATGCAAACCTCGACAGGCAGATAAACGGGTTTTGCAACGGATCCAACGTTCACAACTGGCATGTCCGGGTTGAGATTCACGTGATTGTAGTGTTCGGCGAAGAAGGCCGCAACACTGATGTATCGCCCAGGCGGCGCAGGGCCTGCTCGGGCAGGTTTCTTGCCCTTGGACTTCGAGGTAGTAGCTTGCTCTTTTCGTGGGGGTGGTTGTTGGCCTTTGTCTTCCAGCCAGAACTCAACATCTCTGGGACCGGCTCCCAGCTTAGACACTCTTGGTTTGTGTAGTTCCTGGCCACCATCATTCTTGGTTGCTAGGCCTTGAATCTGCTTGATTCGTGGAATGACATCACCTTTCTTGTTCTTGCGTTGAATGTGAGTTACTTGAACCCGCAGTCCTTTCAAGAATCTCTGCAAGGGTGAATAATTGAGGTCTTTCTGGAAGCCCCTTGGCCCCTGAAACTCCGCCATTAAGTCCGTAAGCGAGCCTTCCTGGTAGCAGGCGATATACTTCACCTGGACATTCACCAACAGGCGGGTAGTTGCGGCACGGACGCTCACAAAGTATCCACGAAGAGCTTCAAGCCCTGCCCCAAGATAGAAAGTTTCTTTGTCCTGCGGGTCGATGGAGAAGTGCCGGTTGGCCCCAACCGAGCGGACAGTTGGGTTTACCTTGGGCTGACTACCCAGGAGAATATTCATCGCCTGAAGGATTTCTGGCTTCTTGTCGAACATACCCGCCGCATCGGCCGAGGTCAGATAGTTCAACAGCTCGGACGGATCGATGCTGCCTGTATACTGGCACTTCACCTTGTAGATCTTGATCTTTGTCTGATCTTGTGGATTGGCGGGTTCTGATGATGTCTCGTCTTCGCCTTCATCTCGGTAGCTAACCTCATACACGCGAGCATCATCGACCTCCTCCAGGAGCTTGTCCCGGGAAAGGAGGGTGGATTTGAAATCGGTGACGATGCCATGTCCTAAGTGGGCAAAGTGATCTGTGATCAACAGCCTGACCACCTGCTGTGCCTTCTTGCCCGTAGGCTTTTTGGTCGCCTTGTCTTCGAGGATATCAACTTGATACCGATGGAGTGTTTTGGCGACCGACTTGAGCTGGAGGTAGTTGGCGAACAAAGTGACTGCCCTTCCCTGGGTTCCGAAAGCTGGCCGCGTAGGGTAAGGTACGCCGGCTCGCTTGACTTTGGCCAATGCGGTCATCGTTGCATCCTCCTTCGGCTGGACCTGGGAGTTTTGGGAAAGGTCTCCATCCTTTGGGAGGTAGATTTTCGGGCCGAGATCCTCACCTCCGCCCCGGCCGCCGCGACCGCCACGACCAGAAGGCCGACCTCTGGCACGGCCCCGGCCCCAGAAATCGCCTCGTTCATCGGTCCCTGGACGGACTGGAAGGTCAAAAGAGCCACGGCCTCTTCCCCGGCCTCCGCCGCGGGGGCCACCGCCACTACCACGATCGCCGCCTCCTCGATCTCCACGATACGCAGAACCTCCGCGGCCGCGGGCACCGCCTCTACCACGACCCGATTGGGGACCACCGCGAGTCTCAGACATGATGTGGTGCGGTGAAATTGATTCAGCAGAGGGTCGATCGGGGGAAAGAGAAGTTCAAGTGTGGATGGCAGGCCACGCAAGTAGCATGTATGGAGTTGTGATGTGTGGAGCTCCGACCGGCGAATAGTGGGCTCCACCGCTCGGGTTGGCGCTTGCTGTGTGGGTCGGGGGTCTCGGTCCGTGGGAGGAGAAGATTATGACAGGTGCTATCAGATGAAGATGATGATGATGATGATGATGATGGATGACACTGATAGACTTGACTGATGAAGGTTAATTCGTAGGTGAAGAGAAGGAAGAGAAGTTCTGACAGGTGGTGCGGGGTCTTAGGGGTATTGACTGCACCAAACCAACGATTAGAACGGTCGGGAACCCTTAGGGAGCTAATGTTCTTGCTGGTAAGCGGATAAGAATAAAGGAAGAATAGAATGCTGACACCTAAGTAGACTGATTAAGAATGATGATCAAGATCGATGGTGATGGGGAGGAGAGAGATGGAAGAAGAGGAAGAAGAGATGGAGGGCGAGGAGCTGAGAATAAAAGAAAAGCTGCTGCTCAAAACGGGTAACTTACATACAGTAGTGAAGCTTACTCATACAACTCGATATCTATGAAAATATAACTTCATCCATAAAGATGAGATGGGTCTGTTGTATTTTACATGTTTCATTTGAAGGAATAATCCTTCAAGATCAGCAGTGATTGGGATATGAATATCCTATTTGTCTGGTTGTGTAGACAGCCAGGACTGCTACACTTGATATCTACTTCGTACAGTAGCTAGCATTAGTACGAGGTTTATAGTTAGTACTGATGGTAACCACCTTGGTAGGAGGTACTAGTACTGGCCAAGGGGCAAGTTTGTTGGTGATTCACCTCCAGGTAGATGACTGCCTTTTGCTTTGAGCAGATTCTGAGCTTATTGAGCTTATCGAGACCCAATGCTTTCGTTGAAAGGGTGAGAAAAACAGATCCACTGACACCAACCGGGGAATTGACGGTTGTCAGTCAACCTCCTGTAGTCTGTCGTTCTACTACCACAGACAATTGAGAATATTCATCTACTGGTGCTGATGACATGGGTCACGTAGCTGACATCGTTTGCTTGTCTCTATGTAACACACAACCAGTATCTGGTTACGATGGAGACTCAGGGGGATTCCTCCGTCTCCATAGTGGGGTACTGCTGAGATGCTCCCTTTGAGAGCCTACTTGAGAATCCTGGGAACCGGTGCAGTGAATACTCAAGCAAGGGGAAGAACAGATGCTGACTCTGGTGTACATGGCGATCTACCTCACGGCGGTTCCTTCTGCAGCTGACGGTGGTGGCTCTCCCGCCGCCATATACCTCACCGGGGTCGGATACGCTTTTGGCTGGAACTCCATCCAGTATTTAATCACTTTGAAGATTCTTCCCACAGGGGTGTGCACCTTGGGGACGAGTTTGTTGATGTGTGTGCATTATGCGAATCGGTTTGCATTGACAAAGGTAAGGTATCTATTCTCCCGTATCTGTTGTTGCCAGCTGGGTAGGTCGTTGGCGTGGTAGTTGCTGGTGTTGGGAACATGTAAGGAGTATGCTGATTAGAGGAATGTCTACGGTGTTCCGACGACGATGTTGGCGGATGCACTGCAGCCTCGAGGGGCTTTTTGGTTCTTCTTTGTGGTGGCCCTACTGGGCTTCCTCTGGGGGCTGTTCTTGTTGCCTGAGACGAGGGGGCGGAGGTTGGAGGAGACCAGTACGTTGATTTTTGAAGCAGAACTTCCACGAGATCCCCATTGCATTGGTCTTGTAGAGATTAGTGATAGCTCGTAAGCTAGAGTCTCAAGAGCTTGTCTTTCTCACCCATCAAGATAAAGACTTGAACGAGAACACACCCATGTACATATAAAGGAAGACCGCTGTTAGACTTGGACCGGGGGAGAACAATGGTCTTGTTTTTCCAAGATTCAAAAACCGAGTAAACTCATACTGTTGATGTACAGGACTTCTCCGCTATGATTTGGAAGGAATCCTTAACTTCTGGTTAGGCTCTGGACCAACTCATTAACATGCCACCGATACAGAACACCGTGTCCGGTTATACAACAGCCCAAACAGCGATCCCTGACGCTTCAGCAACACAGAGGGAGCATCGCACTCGACCAGACTCCCTCCATCCAGAACCGCAACCCGATCGAAATCCAGGAGGGTGTGCACCCGGTGCGCAACCGCAATAACCGTACACCCCCGAAACTCCTCCCGGATCACCCGCTGCATCAGCCGATCCGTCTCATCATCCACGCGACTAGTGACCTCGTCCAAGAGCAGGATCTTCTGTTTCGAAACGATCGCCCGGGCCAAACAGAGCAACTGCTGCTGGCCCGCAGACAACGGCAGATCATCGATCCGTGCGTCTAGACCGCCGTGGGCCGCGATGTACTCCGTGAGCTGGACCTTGTCCAAAGCACGGAGGACTCTCTCGTCATGCATGGCTTGGAAGGTGGTGATATTGTCTCGGATGGTCCCGGGGAAGAGGAGGGGTTCCTGCGGGAGAACGGTGATGTGGCTGCGGATGCTATCGCGGGGACAGGATGTCAGGCTCACGCCGTCGATACTGATCCTCCCGCTCTGGACTTCGAGCATGCGGAGGAGGGCGAGGATGAGGGAGCTTTTGCCGCTGCCGGTGCGGCCGCAGACTCCGAACGTGGAGCCGGCGGGGATGCTGAGGGTGATATCGCGGAGGATGGGCGGGCCGGTGGGGTCGTAGCCCATGGTGGCATTCTGGAAGACGATGGAGCCTTCCGCCGGCCATGTCAGTGGGGGGGTTTGGTTCTCGTGGGGAAGATGCTCCGATGGCACAGTGCCGAAACTCCGGATCCGGGTGATAGCGCCGATGCTTGTGTCCAGCGAGGTCCAGCAATTGATCAGCTCGGCGAGCTGCTGGTGGAATGTGAGGAGCGATATGAGAGACACGCCGATGGGCCCCTGGGTCGGAACGCAGACGGCGAAGACGACCAGCAGGACCGCGAGGACGGCGACAACCAGATCCAGAACCAGGGTCAACCAGCGTTGGATGACGAAGAGGAAGTAGTACGGTCGCTGGGAGGTCTGCAGGAACGCCCGATGCTCTGCTTGGAAGCTGTCTCGCCAGCGGAAAGCCCGAATCGTGATCAGACCACTCAGGGTCTCCGTGAACTGGGCGTACAAGGGAGACTTCGCTTCCAGTTCCAGATGACGAAGCTGGCGCGAGGAGCGGAGGTAGAATTTCTGGATCCAGTAGATGATGAAGACGGTGATCGGGATCAGCGCCGCCATGTAGTTCGCACCGATGCAAATGAACGCCACGCTCACGACACATTGCACCAAGTAGTTGGACGTTTTGAGAAAGTCGGCTGGGAGTGACCGATCGATCAGGGTCATGTCTTGGCTGAAGCGGTTGAGGATGACCCCGGTGTCGATCGTGGTATGCCAGTGTAGCGGCGCGTCTTTCACTTTCGCGACGAGATGCTCGTGCAGCCGAGTTGATGAGGTGACGACGATGCGACAGAAGACCAGCCACATGCAGTAGGCCCAGAGGGCTGCTGCGACCATGGCTAGCAAAGCGTAGACGCTGAGGTATCGTGCCAGGTGCGCGAAGGGGGTCTGCTCGTTTGTTTCTGCCCACCACTGGACCCAAAGATCTAAGAGGTGGTTTGAGCGAGCGTGCATTGCGCTTGGGTCTCTTGTGGGCACTTACTGGTGAATTGTCCGCTGAAGATACCAACACCGAGAGCCCCGGCGTAGAGCAATATCGACCACCCGCCGGAAGTGCGGAAGTAATAGGCATAATCACGCACGTCTCCCAATTGCCTTGTCAATTCATCGCCAGAGTTCGTTGCCTTCTTGACACCAGGGCTCTGCTGCACCGGATCGGGAGGCTGCGCAGAGGAGATGTTGTCTTGGTTTGTCACAGGTGATGCGTAATCTCGCCCGGCTGGAAGCTGTCGCGGCGGTCCCTGTTCGACGATACTCCCCTGGTCCATGAGAACAACATGATCCGCGTGAGCCAGATGGCTCGCATCATGGGTCGCCATGATGACCGCAACTCCATTACGGCGTAAGATACCCCGAGGCCCGAGCACGCGGGAAAAGACATGAGCAGCTGTGGGAGCATCCAGAGCACTGAGGGAATCATCGAAGATTGCCAGCTTGGTGCGTGCATATACCGCACGAGCAATGGCAATCCGCTGGCGCTGCCCACCACTCATCGCCATACCGTTGCTGCCGATGATCGTGAGGTCCTGCTCAGGAAGGCGGGCGATGTCACAGTCCAGCGCGGTGGACTGGAGCACGGTGCGATACCACTCCTCTTCGTAGGGAAGGGGGTGACAGATATTGTCTCGGATCGAGCGATTGCGAATCCATGCTTTCGCATCACAGTATGCGATGCGGGCGACGTTGCTATCCATGGACCCGTTCACGCAGAGGAGTTCACCCAGACATGCTTTGAGCAGCGTGCTCTTTCCGGAACCCACGGGTCCTGCGACCATTGTCAAGGAAGCAGGGGGGACTCTCAGATTCACATTCAACAGTACTGGGTCTGATGCGCGACTCCAGCCAAAGTCGGCGCGACAAACCTGGAGTAGATCAGCCGTGGAAGGATTTGTTGTCTCCGCCCTGCTCGGCTGTGGTTGAAGCTCAATGGATTCTGCAACTTCAGTGGGCTCCTCAGTCGAGCACGATCTGCTTGCGTCATCCAGTTGCCCTCGGAGAGCGCGAGTATCAGAGTTCGCATTACCCAGATATACTTGGAGCCTCTGCACACTTTCCAGAGCTCCCGCCACCCGTGGTCCTGAATACGCCATATTCTCCAAGGGCGTACTCCACAGTGTCAGAATGGACAGGGTGGTGAAAGTCGCAGCCACATTCAACGGAGCACGGCCTGTGTGAAGAGCTATGGCCGCGTAAATCCCCAAGGTAAGCACCGGACTCAGGTTGGTGATTGCACCGCCTGCTCGCACAGATTCGTACATCAGTTTTCGCTCGCAAGGGGGATGGTAAGTCACATACCCAGGAGGTTGATCTTCACCATAACATGGCGAAACTTCTTTCCCTGGTTCAATTCGTTGACTCGTAACTGTTGCATCCTCCGTCCCAGACGCGAATGCAGATTCAACATCTTGATCGCAGAGAACGTGTTCAAATAGCGAGACGCGAATGCCACTCGCTGCTGCACAGCCTGCATCCACGCCTTCTGTCGGCTAGGCATCGACTTGGATAGGAGGTGCGTCGAGACCATCGCCCCGAGAGAAACAAGGGCCGGAACGGCCGCCGCCCAGGAGACCTGGCGCTGCAACAGATACAATGCGATGGCGGTTTCCACGGGGCTGGCCCACACTTCATGCAGATTCTGAATTCCGAAGGCAATGTTGTCAATGTCATTACTCATCAGTGTCAATGCAGCGGAATCGCTGTGCTCGGTGAAGCGCAAACTTAGGGTCTGTTCGTAGATCAACGAGATGACCGCTCCTCTGATCTTTGTGATCAGGCGGTAGTTGTGATGCTGGTAGAGACAGTCGAAAATCTGTACCACTGTTAGCGATGGTTCAGACTGGCCATGTTGAGAACAACGCCAGATCGACATTCATACCCCTTTGAGCAGGAAAACCAGGGCAAAAGCACCGATCAAGCCATAACCCTTGTTCTTGACGGGGTGGCTTTCTTGGACGTACTCGGTCAGTGCCGCAATGAGGAATGGCTGCGAGTAGCTCAATCCGATGACTACTACTCTAGCCAGGAAGGAACAGAGAATGGAGGACCTGAAAGTCCATACGGTGCAATACGCCAGAGCATTTTTGGAGGATTTCGAGGCTATTTCTGGGTCAAATCCCGTCATGTTGAGCCCTTTCGTGGGGGATTGACGTACCTCCTTTCCAGGCGGTGCTCAGACGATCATGCAATACATCTGCAGATAAACTCTGGTCCAACTGAGGCAGATCATCGACGGAGAGGATGGACTTGAACCCAAGCAAGAGATACGGGTTGGCCCACCAGAAGAATGTGCGGCTGTACAGCCCACTCATCTCCTCTTGGCCATAGGACACTGTCGGATGCTTCCGAAGCAAATGCTTCGAGCGAGACTCCAAGTAGAACCAAATGACCTTGATAGCGATACTGGCTGTGTAGAGTCCCGCAATGGCAGTATAGGACGCCAGCCACAGACTTCTCGCGCGTACCACATCGAAAAGGAGGGAGACAGACAACGCGAAGTTCAGGATATGAGAAGGATGGATCGAGAAGAGGTGTTCCCAGTGCGACAGCAACAACAGACCAAGTGCGGTCGCAACGGCCAGGGCAGCGGCTGGTAAGGAGGCTTGCGTTCGTGGTGCATGCGGCCGAAGCCATACGACTAGCAGGGACAGTTGGGTAGCCCCAAACGCTTGTCCAAAGCCCTAGAAAGGACCCGATGTTAGCAAAGTGGAAGCATGATCTCGCTCTATCCTACGTCACTTACCAACTTGGTCCAATACAGCCAACTCTGTGAGACCTTGCGAATCCTGCCGGGTTGAAGTTGCTTATAGCGAATCGGAATGCTGAGCAATAGCAGCACCGAGGGTACGATCGAAAAGAAACATTCCTCAAATAGCAATGTGAAGTCGAATCCCCCGCGACAATGATGGCTCGCTTGAGGACCGATTTGATTGTCGCCACAGGTGCGAATATTCTCCATGGTGGTCACATACGGGTCTCACAAGAAGTGGGGATGAAGCGAAGATCTCCAGATGGGACGATGATGCTTATCATTCTGAAACGCATTGGTCTACAGCAGGGGTTCGTTCAGCTTCGTGCGCATTAGGCTGAGCCCGTCGGTGTTCCGATTGTCCCTAATATAGCGCCAGCCAACCACTTTGGATCGATAAGCTGACTGGCGCGCCGTGCGTCCAATTGAATGCATGAGGCGCAGGCACGTACGAACTGGACCCAATAGACGCTGGTGCGGAGTTGACCCACCGTAAGTGGCTGACGGCCCTACTCCGTAGCGATGAAACGCCTCTGCCAGGATCCTCTCATCCTGAGGCCATTCCTGAGATAAGAAGCTGAGATGCCTGTCGAATGGAATCTGGCTATGCCATCAGCCTGTCGAATGGTCACGTGCATGAGCTGGACTCCTCGAATAGCAAGCGGTGAATACTGACAGAATACCGGAAGCGGTGACCGAATCGCCAAGCCCGGATGCGGGAAGCGGGATTTCCGAGAGTGGGTCTCGGAATTTCCGCCGCTGGTCTCCGAGAGGAGGGCAAATCGTACCATACACTCTCTCCAGCCCTGTTCCGCTGCGCTGGGCTGAAACAGCCACTATGGCGATTGAAATCACTGAGTTATAGTCAAGCTCTCGACCATTTCGTTCAGAGCGAGTATGCCAAGAATTCGGTACAGTCGAAGGGCGTGCCAAGACCGACCCGGACTCACCGGCGGGCCGGAATCAGGAGGAAACCCGCACGCCAGTATGACTAACTCATACTCAGATCAACGAAATAACTACTCATTAAAGGTTGTGAAGCCCACACCACTCCAGACCTTGTTCTCTCCTCAACAAGAGAAAACCAATTGACCTACCACCTCCACCCCCCCTCAAAATCAACATCAAAATGACCACCCACCCCCAACCCCCAGTACAAACCGTCCTCGACGCCATCGGCAACACCCCCCTAGTCCAGCTCAACCACCTCGTCCCGCCCAATGCCGCTGCGATCTACATCAAGCTCGAATTCCTGAACCCCACCGGCTCGTACAAAGACCGCATGGCCAAGTCCATCATCGAAGAAGCCGAACGCCGCGGCGATCTCCGCCCCGGCATGACCGTCGTGGAGGCCACGGGGGGCAGCACGGGCGCGTCTCTCGCCTTTGTCTGCGCGGCTAAGAAGTATGCCTGTACTGTGGTCTCGTCCAACGCCTTTGCCGCCGAGAAATTACAGACGATGGGGGCGTTGGGAGCGCAGCTGGATTTAGTGCACAGTGATGCCGGGATCACGCCGGAGTTGACGCCGATGATGATGCGCCGGGCGAGGGAGCTGGCTGCGCGGGGCGGTGGCGCGGAATGCTACCTGACGGATCAGCTCCAGAATCCGGACGCCTGCGCTGGGTATGAGGGGATTGGGCGGGAGTTGCTGGAGCAGTTGCCGGGTGGGATCGATGCGTTTTGCGGGGCGGTGGGTGGGGCGGGGATGATGATGGGAGTGTCGAAAGTGTTAAAGGCGAAGCGGCCGGCGGTCCATGTGGTGGTGCTGGAGCCGGACTCGTCGCCAATGATCACGGAGGGAAAGTCGGGGACCCATGGTGTCGAGGGGATCGGGTTGGGATTCGTGCCGCCACATCTGGATCGCAGTTTGTATGATGAGGCGATGGCGGTCTCGGAGGAGGAGGCGCGGATCATGTGTCGGAGATTGGCCAGGGAAGAGGGTTTGTTGGTGGGGACCTCGACGGGGATGAACGTCGTGGCTGCCATCGATCTGGCAAAGCGTCTGGGGCCTGGTAAGACGGTGGTGACGGTGGCTGTGGATACTGGTCTCAAATATATGAGCGGGACTCTGTTCTCTGGTTAGAAGGGCGAAAATTGAACTCCTGCGGGCTATGGAGTAGTAGTACGTACTCGGGGTCACATATGCTTCAAGAGACCTGTATCGCTGAGAGAATACATCACTACTCGAATGCGGATTTTGGTAAGGTGGCAGTGTTGCAGGACAATGCTTGGAGTGTATTTGCAAATATGCGGTAAACATTCTATACTCTAAGGCCAAGGTCTAGAAAGTGAAGGTGAATATGTAAAGGCAAGGTCAGGCAGAAACCAACCAAAGCAGCGATGCCCTCTGGGTACACTTGCTTCGACAATATTCCCGAGAATCAAAAATATGCGATATGTGAAAATAAGGTGAACGAGAGTCGAGAAAAGAAGGATGGAAAGAGACAACAATCAAATAAAATAGTAAAATCGGGTGGGACTGAGGGGAGGATTAATCTCTAACAGTATCCCGCTGCAACTGTATAGAGTGCAGCAGCAGTATGTAACAACAAATGCGAGCCAAGGGGAACGAAGTCCGATCACTCCTTCTTAGCCTTTTTCGTCGACTTGGGAACTCGAGCCAACCAGTAAATGCCCACCGCCGCCACAATGTTGAAGGCGATATAGACCCACATCAGGCCAAAGTTCCGCCACGCATCCTTGTAATAGCTGACCACGGAGGCGAGGAAAGTATCCGTATCGCTAATCGTACAGAATTGACAGTTGGATGTGGCGGAGGGATCTTGCAGGTAGCCACCGGCCGTGCTGATGTACGCCTGCATGTATTCCGCGCAGGTTTCATTGTTGGGCGGGTCGAAGGTCAAGTACTCAACGGCCTCGCAAACCGCGGTCGTCCCGGAGATACCGGTGCTCAGCATGGCTGAGATTAAGTATGTGAATGGGGACACGCGGTACATGAAGATCCAGAATCCAGGCATCTCGTCCGGGGTGGCCAACACACCGCAGAAGATCAAACAGAGGGAGAACAACAGCGTCGCGATGTTACCACCGGTTTCAGCCAGCTCAATGCCGGCAATGACCATATGGGCGAATGTGGACGTGAAGAGGAGGAAGACCCAGATCAGAAGGAACATCAGCGCCGAGCGCTCGTTGACGGCGTGGGTGGGCTTCGCATTGTTGTACATGCCGATGGGATAGTACCAACAGACGAACATCAGCACCGCCATCAAGGTATTCCAGGGGAGTTCGACCAGGATGTTAGCGGTCATGAACGCCTGCCACGAGTAGGTCTTCGAGGGCCGTTCCCTGACTTCATACAGCGACCGTTGGGCACAGAAGTGGGGCATGATTTGCTGACAGAGGTTGCCGAAGATGGTCATGAGCATGAAGATGGAAAACATCTGGTTTTGCATGCCTTGGAGTGAATTGCTGGCGTGGAAGAAAGAGAAACCAATGTAGAGCGCGGTCAGGACCGAGAGAGCCGCTTTACTCCAAATATAGGTCGGAGTGCGGTAGTATTGCGCAAACACACGGACAAGACATTCGTAAAGCTGGATGTGGAACGGAGCAGCAAATTCCTGCAGAGCGGCGGGATCGGAGTCGTCCTTGGGGTTGGCGGAGAGGGTAGATCGAAGCTCAGAGAGGTGCTGCTTGACTCCGGTGTACTCGGGGGACTCCCTCCACACCTTGTGCCAGTCAATATCCGTCTTGGATCCCGGCGCAGCGCCAATGACTTCAAGCATCCATTCGGCAGGGTTCTCCCCGTTCTTGAGGGTGTGCGCTCCGTTTCTCTCGAAGTAATTCGACAGGGTCGTCGAGTTCTCGCCGATGTCGCCAAAGTAGATTGTTTTGCCGCCTTTAGCGAGGAAGAGAAGGCGATCAAACCGCTGGAAGAGCATGGCAGAGGGTTGGTGAATGGTGCAAAGGATGGCTTGTCCATGCTGCGTCAGGGTGTCGATGAGATCCAAGATCGACCACGAGGTCTGACTATCGAGACCTGAGGTCGGTTCATCCAGGAAGAGCAAGAGCTGGGGCTTCGCTGCAAGTTCAACACCAATGGTCAAGCGCTTGCGTTGCTCCACGTTCAAGCCTTCTCCGGGCACACCCACGACCGCATCGGCGTAGGTCTCCATTCCCAGCAGCTTGATGACCTCGTCAACGTAATCCAATTTCTCCTGCCGACTGAGGTGCGCGGGCTGACGCAGCAAGGCACTGAACTGAAGGGCTTCACGAACCGTCGAGGTCGAAAGATGCACATCCTGTTGCTGCACATAACCGGTTTTTCTCTGGAAGGATTGATCGCGGGGCTTGCCATCCACCAGCATATCGCCCGTGACGACGCCCATCGTGACCCGAGTGGCCAGGACATCCAACAAGGTGGTCTTACCGGCTCCCGAGACACCCATCAACGCAGTGCACGTTCCCGGCTTAACCCAACCATCGACATGATCCAGAATCCTTCGGTTTTCACCTTTGATGGTGATATCATAGCACACATCCTCCCAATGGAAGATTGCGGTCTGTTTCTGGATCTTGACGTCTGCTCGATCGCCGCCGGCCTCAGTCTGGACGGCGCCACCGGGACCGGGGAGGGCCTCGGCGTCCCCGACTGCAGGAACACTGGACCGATGGCCTCGACGGAACAAGAGCACCTCTCCCTTCGACTTCTGTTCGGAGATGTATTCCGTGCTGACCAGGTAGGTAAAACAAAAGAAGCACATGAAGCCGATCAGGATGCCGAGATTCCGCCATTCATGGCCGGTGGTGTAATTGTAACTTTCCTGGAGATAAGCCGTCCCTGACACGACGGTCGATCCGGCCGTGGAGCCGACCGTGGAGCAAATGCGATAGTCCATGGATACGGAGTCGTAGGAGCCTCCCGATGGAACGATATTCGAACACTCGAATACCCGGCCGGAGAATTCGTTGATGAGGAAGGATTCGAATGCGTAGGCAACGGGGTCGATATAGTTCATCCAACGAGACCACCCAAGCATGTTCCGAGTGGGAATGACGAAACCGGTGTAGATGACCATACCAAGAATGAGGATCGCAGCGGGCACCAGGGCTTGGGAGAGGGAGCGCGACGTGGCCGCGATCGTTCTGAACACCATACTCATGGTGTAGGTGGTGACCACCGAGAACAGCCAGAAGGTGAACACCGCTCCGGCATCGCGACGCAGATTGGTCATGAAGTAGAGAGGCAAGTTGAACGTGATCGAGTTGAGCAGCTTGTAGGGTGTATCGCACAGCATGGAAGCGACGGCTTCGGCGAAGGGGTGGTAAAATGCATATCGTGCTTGTTTCTCCACAATGGGACGTTGAGCGTACAGAGTCAGAATTTCGAGGGCGCTGGAGAAGGCATTGAGCAGAACCGCATAGAACAGCAAGGCGCAGCGTGAGTAGAAACTGGAGGTGTCATCCGCCAGATTGAAGAAGACGGAGGCCACGATCAATGCGATGATGAAGTTTCCAATCAGGGCGGACAAAGTCAAACTCATATCGCCCTTCAGTCTTTGGAAGCCACGGGTCGTGCAGAGAGAAATCTGTTCCCAGACCGAAATGGTATACGGCGATTTCAAACGTTGATGCTTCGCCTGCATTGCCCGTCGCGCGTCCACAAAGGCATCGTACGATGAACCGTGAATGGGATATTGGCTTTCAAACTCGTCGATTTCCTGCAACAGCGCCGCTCGGGCGCGACTCTGCTTCCAGGCCGCTGCGAATTCATCCGGAGTGCGGGGCACGCGGTTCTCAAAACCCGGGCGAACCTGTCTTTCCGATGGCGACGTCAGGGAAGTGAGGAAGTCGGCTGTGGTCTGGCGATCGGGGCACTCGAAGCCCATATCCACAAAGAATTGCTTTGCTTCGGTGGTGGGTCCGAAATAGATCTGTCGTCCCTCATAGAGCACAGTCACCTTCTGAAAGACGTCGTATGCGCTTTGAGGCGCTTGGTAAATCGCAACACAGGCCGCCATGCCGGTATACTTGCTCATCAAGGCGAGATTCTTGCAGAATTCCAGCGCATTCGCGGAATCCAATCCTCGGGTACTGTTATCCCATGCTTGCAGGGGTGCCTGGCTCAGCATAGCCTCCGCGATACTGACCCGCTTTCTCTCACCACCACTCACCCCACGCACGAAGTCGTTGCCGACACGGGTATTGATCGTGTGAGAAAGACCCAGCATCGCCATGACCACGTCTCTCATATGCTTCGCGTACTGTTGTCGGCTGACGCCTTCTAGTCGGTTTCGGGGGGCTCTAGCCTGGGCCGCAAATTGGAGAGTGTCACCCACACTCAGCTGCGGGAAGTGAACGTCGGTCTCGGCATTGTAGATGGCTTCGCCCCTGAACGCGTTGTGCATCTCCTTTGCCGGGATCCCTAGAGGAAGTCCCCCGGGTTAGTATCGCTGGGGACCACAAAGGCGGTGGGAGAAGACATACCCTGGTAATTGAGCACCGATTCTTCGGACATCTCGATTCCATTCATCTCTCCCGTGATGGTCTTGAGGAAGGTCGTACAGCCCGAACCCGGTCGGCCAAGCACCACCAGCATCTCGCCGGATTTGACCAGCCCGTCGAAATCTCGCAGAATCTGAATCTTCTGCATCTTGGCACCAATGAGCTTGCGGAACATGGTTCCGAATTCCAGCAGCGAATTGAGGACATCCTTTTGGTAGTCGGTGGGTGAGCCGTAGCCGTGAACGCTCAAGTTCTTGAAAGCCACACCGGCAGTTCGGTCGGGGTAGCGCTCGGGATCCCGCGTACGAATGGCGAGGAGCATCTTGATCCAATCCCTGACTCGGAAGTTTGGACTGTGCGGATTCAGCGTCGACTCAGGGTCGGTATTGACGAAGGGATTCTCGAGGTCGGCTTTCGTCGAGTAGCGAGTCGACTGCCGGGTCAGGCGCCGGGCGAGATCCCCGACCCGAGCCTCCATCTTCTCATCTCGTCCTTGAAGTGTGGCATCGTCTTCACTGGCTTCATGGTCGAGGTTCTCTGCTCCTGACGGCTGGTCGTCATGGTAGGTCGGTCCTCCATGTTGTGAAGGCAAGTTGTGACTGACCACATCCTGCGCGCGGCCGGCGTTGGTGTTGGCTGTAGCGACAAACGACATGTTGGGAACACAGATTGCCTATCAGGATCTGGGATTGCGTAGGTTGACCGTGATGGTGACAAGCACCCCGACGAGCGAAAAGGGGTGCTCGAAGGTATGGCGGATGCCTCTGGTGTCCAAGAGGCCCACGTCAGGTGCTTGGTCCTTTATCTTTGCAGATAAGCCACCAATATTAATCTTGAATATAGATCAACTGATTGCACGTTCGTGAAGGATAAGCCAGACCGGTGAAGGTGGGGGGTGGGGGTTTTGCGAAGGGTGAGCTAGATATACATAGTCAAGAGAGGCGCAGATTCTAGAACGGCCCGCTTGCGGAGCGTTGACAACCCGATCGTGTTAAGTCATCGTGCAGGAGGAACCTCCGGGGAGCCGAGCGAGATTGAAGAAGCCGGGCATAATGTCAGAAATAGTGAAACATATTGCCCATGATCAGTGCCAGCAGGGCGCACGCAGTGAGTCTCCGGCATCCGGACCAACCACAAGAAAAAGAACTAGGGTCAGAAGGGGTGGGGAAAGGCGTCTCTAGAACCCGAGCTAAAATTGAATGAACGTCCGGGAGCCGAAAAAGAAAGATGCCTGTCTGTCGGTCGGGACTTGGGGAGATGGTTGGACCCACAAGGCTCAGCTCTTATCAAAAAAGTGGAAGAAGGTATGTAGGCTGAGCGTGCATGCACTTCCATCTGCCGACTGACCATGAGGTTGGTTGGTTTTCCATCAGCCAACGAGGTGGTAATTAGTCAGATGTTGAATGAGAAGACACAGGATGTGGGCCATGAAAGCATGATTGACTGACTGGTCTCATGCAGCAAGAGACGGTGTGTGAATCGAGTGAACTGAGATGAAGGGGGAAGATGGATGGATGGAGATGAAGTGGAGAAAGACGGAGGGAGGCAGAAGATGATCGGCAGCCCATCGGTCCGGAGAAAATACTGTATCATTACCGTACCAGAACCCACCGCCCTGGGGGTTCTGCCCAACATCCGGCCTCCGAAGCACCCATTATGGATTAGTGTAGTGGCCAAGAACTTGAATGATTGGTGTATCCATTCACAACGCTGGCTTAGTCATGCGGGTTGAAATTTTGGATTCCGGGTGATACCAGAGTGTCAATGCTGCCCACTGTTCAGGGGGGGATTCAAGCTGATCAAGTAAAGTAGACAGTGGAGTCATGTTTCTAGCCATGCTCAATGCCTACCATGACCATTCCTTCTCCTCTTCTTCTTCTTCTGCCTCGACCTCCATGTCTTCCACCAGAGAGCCATCCCTCTCTCAATCTCGCCACGAGCATCATGAGTTGCTCAAAAAGCGCAAGGTATGTAATGAGTGCAGATGAGTGCAAATCACGAGTCGGACAACGATAGACATGTCTAATCCTCGATGAACCAGGCATGTGAAGCTTGTCGTCGCAGCAAGACCAAATGCGATGCCTCCGCCAACTCCCGCTGCTCCCGATGCGAGAAGATGGGCATCTCCTGCACCCGCAACGAACAGCGATATCGAACAATCCTGCGACGGTGGGTCGCCCGCCCCCCCCCCCCCGCATCATCATCCGAAAAGGCACGAGCACTGATCGGTTGCATTCAGAGAGGCAATGATCAATCACCTGGAAGGGAAGCTCGAGCGGTTGGAAACTCATCTGAACAGCATTTTCAACGTGGGGGAGCTCAGTCCGATCCCGGACACACCACCACCGGGGGAGACTGGGCCACCGGCTCTGGCAAGCACTGATCCCGGGTCAGAGGATTTCGACGATTCCGAGACTGAAGATCCGTCCGCGCAACAGGAGCCAGCCTCTGCCAGCCTACCCTTGAATCCTGTGGTTCCATCCATGCATGGCCAGTATACTGCCGGGATCCTTGGAGAGACACCGTGTTTCTACATTCCACGGTGCATCAGTGACACCGGTGCAGGCTGTAAGTGGGCAAGCCCGTTGAACCTGGTCCCTTCACTAACCAAGAAGCTCAGGTTTCTCTGTCTCGACGGAGGAAGGTCTGGACTGGGTCTCACGAAAAGCGGGCCCGAGTCATCTGGATCTGCTGCTGGGCAGTATGACCTCCGTACCCGAGTTGACCACGTTTTTGCCGCCCAGGAAGCTGTTCGGCCCGTTCCCACGAGGAGAGCTCTTGACCCAGCTGCTGCAGGATTACATGGAGTACTTCAATGTGACCTTCCCGATCTTCACCCGAGCCGAGATTGACTCGCTGTTTGCCGACAATTACGCCGATCCTCAACTGCACGGCCCCGGCCGATGGACCAGCATCCAGGTGATTTTGGCTGTCGCATATCTGCTCCCCGGCTCACGAGGGCAGCCGGATCATCAGGTCAGTGCGCTGTTCATGAAGGGGGCCATGCAAACCATCAATGAGCTTCTGCTAGCTCCCCCGGATCTATGGGCATGCAAGTCCATTGTAGTGATGGCCGTTGGCTTCCTGGCGATGGCGGCTGGGCATCCTTGCAGTTCTCTCATCTCCATTGCGGTTCAGATCAGCAATCAACTCGGGCTGGGCAAAACCGCCGCACAGGCTGGGCTGTCGCCCGACCAGGTACAACACCAGCGGTTGCTGTTCTGGATGGTCTGTGCCGTCGATATAGAGTATGGATCGTCCTCCTCTTCTCTGCTCTTTCTTCGTCTCGACGCTGACTCCGCCAGAATCTCCTATCGATTTGGACTCCCGCCGGCCCAGAAAGAAGACATTGTTGGTGAGGCGGCACCTATCGACTCCCCGTCAAGCGCCTACAGCGTGCCCATCAAGGACGAATCGGGCACCTTCAATCTGTTCGATTGCTCGGTTGAGCTGGTGCAGATCAGGAGCCAGATCATCCGACAGCTGTATCTAACTTCGGCTGCCAATCAATCGTTTGATCAGTTGCTCGCTGTGGCGGGGGACTTTGACCAACGATTACAGACCTGGCTGAAGAAGATCCCCTACGACTATCGGCCGGACGCGGGCGCGCCTCCACCGTTCCGCAACTTGCCGGGGTGGTCAACCCTGCTGTTCATCCATTACACCTACTATGACTGCATGATCGCCATCCACTCGTTGATCGCCATGAGAGGAGTGGATTCCGCCCAGGATCTGATCAGCACCCACAGCCCCCCGGTCCTCGCCGGATTCTCCAACAATCCTCGGGTCTTGCTGTCGACCTCGCTGACATCCCGAGCCGCAAGAGCATCTCTCGCGCTGATGAAGTATTTGCCTGCCGATGACATTCACCTCGGGTAAGATCGCTCCTCGCTTCCGGTCGTTGCCACCTCCCCGTCTGACAGATGCGCAGGATCGCTTACCACTACCCTTCGGTGGCGATGAAGACGCTTGCCTCGAGCATCATACGCAGCCCTCGGCCTGCTGCAGAGGTCTACAGCTTGCGAATGCTGTATCAAGCGGAGTCGTACCTCTCGCAAAAGGCTCGGGATTCCCCCCTCGAAGCGATCCGGCGCCTGTGGAAGGTCTGCACCGACTGCTGCGCGGTCGCTCAGCGCGCCGTAGATTCTGCGTGATGCGCCGCTGGGCACCCTGCTTACTCCCGGATCATGACATATGCTTGATTCATGGTCCGCTCCTAGCGTGGCCGAGCAATGCCCGGGGCCCCTCAATGGCATTCCTGCGAGATCATGCCGCTTCCATCCCCTGGAGAGGAGAAGCGTCGACAGCCTAGTGTCCGGCGCAAGGGGGCGGGCTACTGACCCAGGGTCATCGACTGGCCTGCGATGGCCCAGCTCCTCCTGCCAGGGACAGTGTCTGCCTCGCTCCCCGCGTCATGTCGGGTTCCTTGTTTATGGGAAAGCAAGGGCAATTACCGAGCCCCACCAGCGCCCATAAAGGGCGCTTTCCCCCCACGCGAAGTGCCCAAGGCTGTCGACCCTCCGGCCATTGCACCAACCCATCCAGCGCACAGATGAAGTTCACACTCCCCGCCTTTCTCTTCCTCGCGGCCGTGGTCGCTGCGGAATCTGTCCTCGACTATAGCGACGGAATTCCTCTCTGCTGCAGCAACACCGACAAGATCGAAGAAGCCGGCGACGATGTCATCCAGCAAGTCACCAGTGCGTTTGTCGGGGCGGGCGGCGGTGCCTGGGACTTGGGTGATCGGGTTGCTGGAGAATGTAAGCGACCCTCGACCTGGGGTGGTGATGTATCAAGGGATGCGGAAGGGGTGCTGACGGAGACTGAATGGATAGGTGTGCCCGCATTCCCGACGGACTGGAGCTACGAGCGTGCGAACTGCACCGATGGGCTGAAGCCTGTCTATTGCAAGAAGCATGCGCACTGGACTGTAAGTGTTTCGGACGACGATTGCGCGAGCGAGTCATGGAAACTAGTCGACTGATGTGGTGCAGTTGACCTTGAATGGGACTTCGGTGTCCCGCAACGTTCACGGCCAGTGTCACCTGTAAGGGACCGGTCGACTTTGCGAGGCGGAGTAAAACGAGTCCTTGCACTCCTTGCTTGGAAACATGTGCATAAAGATGCTTATCAATATTATGCATGATGAAAATCATTTCCCGATGCTCGAGATACTATGGAAGCTGCGTAGGAAACCACCCGCCGATAAAAGGAGAGGGAGCCAATCAGCGGGCGATCAGAGATAAGATAAGCAGGCCGACAGCGGATCCCCCCGTCCAATCAGAGGAGACTCAATCATCTATGCGATAAGCCCAGCATCTGGTCTTTTGCCTGGAAAACAACCATCACTTTGGGCTGGAGTTCATCTACACCGTTGTTTGCACAGATTGACGGAGCATCAACCTCAGTATCCAAGTGTTGTATTCAAAACAAATTCATCTGCGCTGAGCATCCGCAGCATTTGCCGGAGAGCCGATCTGGTGCCAAGCAGCGCTCTTTGCGGGGGTGGGGTACCTTAGCCTTGAGCCTTAAATGGTCGCATTCCCCCGGATTTCTCCTGTCTCTGACTTTCCTCCGGGAATCTCCCAGACCTGCATTGCGAATTGAAAGATCAGAGCACCATGTCGGTGGCTCATTCTACGCGACCAGTCCCACCCTTCCAGCCCTTTCAGTGTGCTACCTGTCACAGCCGTTTCACCAGGCATGAGAACCTCAAGCGCCATGCTGCCTTGCATTCGCGTGCCTCGGGCGAGATCTCGCTCGCCTGTGGCCTTTGTAGCGCGACCTTTTCCCGTGCTGATCTGCGTAGTCGGCATATGAAGCGAAAGCACCCAGAGCACAGCAAGCGACGGACGACGCGAAAACGAGAAGGGAGACTGGATGGAGACCAGCCATGGTCTATGCATCGAATGCAGCTTTCTGGCGATGAGGGCGAGACAGCTAGACGAGTTTCTCAAAAAGGTCAAGTTAATTAGTACTTGAATTATTTAAACTAGACTAGAATATACTATCTAAAGTATTATTCTTAGAGCCTCTATCTCCTTCTTCTCATCAACATAGCCCAACGTCCGAGAAGAAATCACTCTACAGATTAAGCTCTGTTGAGATATCTCTATTAGTCAGCTCACCTAGAATAACTATCAGAGAATTAGTATCTATTGAACCAGTAGATCCGTCACAGTTGTAAACTATTTTTTAAGTATATCATCTACTTTCTATCTTTAACACCACCCAAGCGTCTTTCTATCTAATTCTTAGTATTCTCAATCTTGTATACTAGTATAGTAAGAATCTAGAGTATAATAATCTTACCAGCTTAGAGACTATCTTATCTACATAGTACTTCCATCAGACTCTTCTTCTTAGCTAGAAGACTAATATTCTTGACAACCCCTCACATTTAACTACTATTCAAGTATATTTACTACTCCAACTCTGCATTATGATATATCTCTACAGTAAGACCTCTATCCAAACTCTCAAGATCTATACAGCCATAATCTCCCTTACCTAATTAATAGACCTAATATAACCCCCTATTAACCTCTCCCTAACTATAATCTTTGTCAGTGGACTTTTGCAACTGTGCTGTGGGTGGGTGAAGGCTACACTTCACAGTGGCTTGTTTGATTTCACTGGTGGCGGTTTGGCCGGCGCAGAAGACGAGGTCGGGGACTTTGACTGCTGGGCCTGTGCGGGGTTAGATCTGGGCTTGGGCTAGGGTCGGATTTGGGGTCGGGGGGAGGGTACAGTTGTGAGGTTTGGTGGGGAACTTTGCGCTGGAGATGAGTTGGCGGGACATTTTGGTTGTGGCGGGAGAAGAAAAGCTTATGGCCTTGGGTGGAAGGGGTTGAGTGGATGGGATTAAAGCTTGAAGCATAATGGTTCAGGGTCAGGTACCATCTTGAGAACCATTTAAATGTGGTGATGTTCTTCCCCTCGTGTGCCAAGGGAGGGAGGGAGGAGCTCCTCCAGGTGCCAAGAGTGGGAGGAGCTCCTCCCTCCTTCCCTCCCTCCCTCCCATTCTCTATCAAGATAGGGTTTTCGGTCTTGGCGGAGCTCCGATACTCATGAGGAGCTCGAACAGGGGTTGATAGGTATGATCGGTTTGCGTGATGAATTGCAATTCCATCTCGTATGACGGGGAGGAACCATTCATCTCGACATCCGATCACGCATTATAAAGGACTACCTTGCGGCTGAGAGACCAAACCACCTCTTGTGTCGTACTGTACACCGCAAACTGACATCTCACAAGCTACGAATATCCTATTTGCAGACAAAAATGGCACCCACCGCTGCATTCAACCCCCCATCCCCAACGCTGGCCGGCAAACCGTCCGTGCCCGTTTGGATCCCCCCTCCAGTCACCCAGGAGAAGCACAACTCTGCCGAGCTCAAGTCCATCGATCTGTCCCTGCTCGACTCGGAGGACCCGGCCGTCGTCGAGGAGCTCATCCAGAAAGTCAAGGTCGCCATCCGCGATGACGGCTTCCTGTTTTTTCGAGAACTACGGAGTCTCTCTGGAGCAGGTAAGACGACGACCAACCCACCCCCTCCACGCAGCCGCGCCACTGACCCCCTCCCAGCTCCACCGTCAATTCGCCCTCGCGCAGTACTTATACAACAACATCAGTGAAGAGGATAAAGAACGCCTCCTGTTTCACCCGGAGACGGGCGTCTGGTCCGGCTACAAGCACCCCTACGGCTTCAAGGTAGACATACAACCCCCTCTCCCAAATCCCCCCCCTTTCTCTCCATGACTCAACCATCGACAGCGCCACCGTCGTCCCCCCGACGGCATCGAACAATTCAACTGGTACACCCCGGAGTGGGAATCCCCGAGCACGCGCGTCCCCCACTGCCTGCACCCCTTCATAGACGAAATCTCCGCCTTCTGCACCTACCTCACGCAATCCGTCAACCGACGGCTCCTCACCCTCTTCTCGCGCGTCCTCGAACTCCCCGACGATTACCTGTGGACGCACGTGCAGTCGCATGGCAGCTCCACCGGCGAGGGCTTCTTCGGACATGCCCTCTTCCGCCCTCCCCCGCAGGAAACCCTGTCGCGCTCCAAGGGGATCAAGATGCACGGACACACGGACTTTGGACTGACCATCCTGCTGTTCAGCGTTCCCGTCTCGTGTCTGCAGATCTGGGGCCGCGACGAGCAGTGGTACTACGTGCCCTACCGGCCGGGCGCGCTGGTGGTGAATCTCGGGGATACGCTGGAGATTGTCTCCGGGGGGGCATTTCAAGGCGACCCGCCATCGTGTTTAATAGTTCGGTGGGGGGGTTGCGGATGGGGCCTGCGTCCGGTGAGTTTTTGCCACGTTGGGGGGAGTGGTTCTAGGGTTGGAGGGAATCGAATGTGCTTGCTAATCTTTCCTGGTTGTTGCTTTCTAGAGTCGCCACTAATTCAGCGTGAGGGCTGTGTCGAGGAGCAAGGGGTTTATAAGGAGTTCAAGAACCTCACGGTGCAGGGCAAGTTGGTCCCCACCAACCGCGAGTGGCGGGAGATCCAGATCGCGACGTGTACGGATCCGACGTATTCGGTGCGTAATGCGGTGGGGGCGGAGCAGGTGGTGATTGAGGGGAAAATTATGCATCAGAGAGAATATATGGGGGTCAAGGTAGTTTTGCCGGTGTAGATGGAGCGTGTGAGGAGGCAGATGGAGCTCATACGCAAAAATCCCCTGCACAGGAATGACAAACAGACTGGTGAACCAACCAAGCTCATATATTTCAACTAAACCAGACTCACCCTCCTCCGGAGCCATAGACTAAAGAGCAACCATGTAGCCTGAACATCCAACCCCCAACCCCTTAATCAATCACAGTCACCACATCCGCCAAAGCCGTACAATTCACCGGCAAATCCAACGTGGGCCGCGTCTCCCCGGTCATCAACGAGGTACTATAATTATACGTGGGACTCAACATCATGATCTGCCCCACGGTCGTCCCATACTCCTCCGCGAGATCCTCGTACACCCCAAACGTCAAGGTGAAGGGGGTGATGGCGCAGGAACTCGGCTCGCACAGCGGCACCTTCACGAACTGGCCCACCTCCAGCAGATCGGTCGCGGAGGCATCGTTGCCCGAGGTGTTGCCCATCAGCGCCTCGGTGGTGATGTTCAGCCGCCGCGCGATGACCTCGTAGGTGTCGCCATGGACCGTGTAGTAGAGGCGGGGCCCGCCGTTGATGCAGGTCCTGGTGCGGGTGATGTTGGGGAGGAGGCAGGATTCGTTGTCCGGGGGCTGCGAGGTGCACTCCAGGGGCGGGATGACGATGGTTTGGCCCACGTTCGGGATGATGGTCACATCGGCCATGAGGTTGTAGCGGCCGATGTCGCAGATGCTTCGGTTGGCTCGCTGGGCGACCTCCGCGATGGTGGTACCTTCGACGGTGATCGGATAGAGGGTGAAGTTGGCGGTGGTGGTGTTGCAGGTTGGGGAGAGGGCGGTGGTGGTTTGGGTGAAGAGGGTGGTGGTGGCCAACATGGCCATCTTGGCGAGAGAATGCATAATGAGTGGAGTGATTGGGCAGAGGAGTGAAGGGTGCCACTGGACTGAGGATTGCGAGGAGATGTTTGTCACTGAAGGATCATTAGGTACAGTGCAAGTTGATGAGCTTTATACCCCTTCCAAGCACCCCCCCCCCCGTGTGGCAGCAATCATGCTTGCCCCCGAGAATGACCCCGTAAGCTCAGTGAGGAGTCCCCTGCCCCTAGCAGAGCAGACGCGTCTGTAGATCACACCCCCCGCGACCTGTTCGCACTGGCGAGTATCTGATCCCTTGGGCCCATTGGCCTGCTGCAACGAATAGTTCACAGCAAGCCAGATCGACAGGTCCAGCCGTCTTCATCTCGGCCTTAACATGCGGGGCGAGGGCGGGGCCTTGCCGGTTCCAGCTAATATCCCCGAGGGGTTTTTTGCCCACTGCAGCAGACCCAATTTGTCGATCAGAGCTCCTCCAGGTGAAGACCTGTGAATAGCTTGCGTTTTCTTGCCGTAGATCACTTGACCCATGTCTCGGCTGGGTCCCGGGACGGGGGCTGCTGTGCGGCGTGAGCCAATTGGAATGAGCTGCGCAGTCGATGACCAAGTGTGAAGAAGTAATGCTCCAACCGTGCAGTGCAGGGCCTCTGACGCAAACTGTGGAAAAGACCCCTCTTCAAGTTCACGCAGGGAGGCAACTGGCGTAAGCTGTCCCCACGTCCGGTGGATCCCCAGCGAGGATGAGGCCCGAGTGCGAGATGGCGGAATAATTCAGCCAAGAGCCTATTGGCTGATCATCATTGCAATCAATGGTAGCTGATGCAGGAGACTTGTTCCCTTCTTCAAAGATAGTTAGCACATAAAAGTCAAGACGAGAAGCAAAACATTCGACCGAAGTTGATGCTTGGCAAAGAAGGCTACCCCCGAAATGCGGAGCTCCGAGGAGGGAGACGGCGGAAAATCCATGGTCCGAAGCTCCGCTGTCGGAAGGACAGAATGTCTCCGACCCGCTTGCGCAGATGCAATGCAATGCACTGCTGCAAAGCATCACCGAGGGGTATAGCTTGGGTAAACAGGTGCAATATAAAGCAATCTATTGTCGGTGGCCACTTTCAGCCACTGTTAGCCCACTTGAAACTGTGTCTCCTACTCGACCCTAGCAGACTCAACCTCGAACAGAGCAAATGGCCGACAGGAACGAGCTCACCACCCTCCTACCGGTCGACATCATGGAGATGCAACTCTCGACCGTCGACCTCCTGACTGCTATGTATGCCTCGCCTGAGGAGCTAGAAATTCCTGCTGCCACGGCTGAGTGTATCGATAAGCTGCGCGCCTGGTGCGAGGACCCCGCCACCGGCGCACCGTCGGGCATCCCGTCTAGCATCTCGCTCTACGTCTCGCTGCCCCTGGCGGACAGCGACAAGAGATTCCAAGTCAACCTGACAATCCCACTGCACGGCACTGAGCCGGACGCGGGGTTCGATCAGCCCCCACCACCAATCTACTCGCTGCGCCCGGATTGGATGTCCAAGGCTGAGGTGGCCCGGCTAGCGGCGGCCTTGCCGACAGATGCGGACGTGTTCGAGGCGCTGACCTACATCCAGGAGGAGGCGCTCCGCTTCCTGGACGCATCCACATCTCCGTCGGCTGCGTCGTCGCAAGCAACCGCCCACACTAGCGGTCCCCTAGTGAGAGTGTGGTTCTACTTCCCCTCCCTGTCCACGCGCGCCAAACGTGACGACCTGGTCAACCACGCGCCGGAGTACTCGCTCACGGGCTTCGTGCTGGCCGGAAAGCCCGGCGTGCTGTGTCTGGAGGGGGTGTCGGCGGATATCGATGCGTATATGAAATTCATCAAGACGCATTCGTGGGGTGATATCCCCAGCCACCAGAAGAAGGTCAGCGAGCGGTTCCGCGAGACTCAGGACGTGCAGCGCGTCTTCTCCGGAATGGAGGAGATCACGGACTCGTTGGGCGAACGGAGTGGGCAGAGGGCCAATCGCGGCGATATGCAGGCGCTAGAGCAGTGGCTTCAGGCCCGGGGCCTTGGGGTGGCTTTTGAGAAGGTCATTTTCTGAACGTCTCCGGTTGCCAGTGCCGGGTTGAGGCAATCGGATCTACTGATTCTTCTTGGTTTGGATCTACCGGTGGCAAACTTGCGCGAGAGCGAAGCAAAGTACCAGCCATCTCTGTCGGCTCTGATCAAAGACTTCTCTTCTCATACTTTTGGTGCATCCGCCCCACCCTCCACCTCGAATATCTGTCGATTTGTGATATGTATCGTCACTATCGGCGGGAAGCATAGGTTGGAGATGCCGGATTTCAGACCTTGCTGAAGAGACAATGCCGTCCGACGATTGCAACGCAAGGGGACCCCTTCATCTATTGTGCCTGCGGTAGGCGAGTATTGACTCGTGGATCCTGACAACAGTTCGGACGTTGAGGGCCTGGATCTGCGCGACTTTGAAGAATCAGGCCTCGTGTGACAGCACGGCGAGTGAGACAAAAAAGTCATCCATAGCTGACTGCGCGTGACAGCCTCAAACGTCTCTGAAAAGTAGCTATAGACGAGTTGCATGCGCATTCATAACATGCTCCGCCAAGAACAATTTACAAGGTCATTAGCAAATCATGTACCACAATAGAGCCGCAGTCGGGAATCCAAGTGCGAGCACACTCGGTGAAACATCAATCAAAGGCGCGAAGGTATGAAACCAAAGGTGGGACGATCCCCCTGGGAGCTATTTGTGTCAAAATATCCAATCGCAAAGGAAAAGAAAGAAACGACCGTCGAAATCAGTATACATGCGAATGTTAGACACCAGTCCAACAAAACCAAGCTCAATTGAACCCCACCGTTGGCATGTAGGTGCCTGGGAAGGAAGGCCAAAGAAACCGAGATCGTCAATCATGTATTGCATGATGATGTTATCCTCCATACCCGTCATCACGTCTGTAACGTACACGGTCGGCATGGCGCTAGGTAACAGGACCGACTGCCACTGATCCGGCAGATTGTACTGCGGTGACTCTGGGAGTAGATGTCCCGTGAACTGCATGGATGGAGGCAACTCTACGAGGACCACCACGTGCACGCTCCCGGGGCTTAGTTCGGTCGACAGCTGGCTGTAGATGCCAACGGACAAGCCCAGCTTGCACAAGATCACGATCGCGTACCAGCAGCTGGTATATGATGAGTTTGGCAGATGCAGACGGGATGGCGAGGAAGGTCGCAACAACTATAGCTGATTTATGTCGTGCAGATAGAAAGCGTCCTCTGGCGAGGTAGGAAGTGGCCCAGCATGAAGGTGGGGAAAGCGTCAAGCTCCATGTGCAAGGCCTCTGTGTCAGTCCGATTGAGCCGGGGTATTGGGGGTTTTCTGTCAGGATCTTCACGCAGGAATTGATGGATTTGGTGTGTCGCATGTTCATATATCACCGGAATATCGAGGATCTGCTGTGTGTCAGCTCGGGCGGACCGGGCCATCACGCCGCTATGCAACATTCACTTGTGGCAAAGATAATAGCAACCCAAAAGAGCGCGTTGTCCGGCCGGGGTCTTGTGGTGCTTCTCCCGTCGGGGGTTGTAGATCTGCCCCGACTGCAGGTGTATCTTAACTGCAGGGCATCTGGGATGGGGAATACCGCTGGCACGGGTCGGACGACTCATGGGTGTTGGTCATCCTGATGGTGCTCGAAGCTGTTTGGCCCATGGGGGCTGACCAGATTATCGATCTGTTCCTGTAGGGCATGGATGCGTGTTTTCCTGCAGGAGCTTTTAATCACGGACAGATCAGGATCCTTGAAGTAGATGGGACGATGCTACCGGGGCCGACTGCTGGGCCGTAAGCTCTCTGGGAGCGAGCACGACTGGGCCAGCCTCGGCTGACATTGGACTTTGAGGCAAACGCAGCGAACACATGCATGGCGGCGTGAAGGTTGCCTCCGGTTCATCTTAACAAGCAATAAACAAGCAATGAAGTCAGTCTGGGGGGGGGATGCAGAATGATAAGCAGAGGGGCGCGTGTGCACAATCCATCCGGAGTAATTGGTCGGTCAGTCACATGATCCAGGTATGCTGTACTTGATTCATAGTGTAGGCACCTCATTCATAAACTGGTGATCAGTGCAGTAGTGCTATACTCCGGGGTAGTGGAGTAGTGGACTATTGTTGTTGTGGTAGTTTCCATGGAAGAGGAACAACATGCTTATACAACTATACTGTGTACTCTCGACGGATCATCCAGGAAGAAAATGAATAACAGCAATTGCACAGACCAGATGTGCGGATATGCCACGTGGATACAAGACAAAAACAACCCGGCAAAAGCCAAAAAGAAATCTCCCAGACTGGGAGTCGAACCCAGGTCTCCCGCGCTTGTTCCTGTTCAGGATTGACAAGCGGAAATCATGACCGTTAGACCATCTAGGAATTGTTGTTTTTTGTTTTCAAAATTGCAATAAATGTATTATTAATCTGAATGCACGAAATCCAGTCTTCAATCCTCTTTTCATGAACCTCTTCGTAACAGTCTATCGAAATATCGAATATCAAATTTCAACTTTTGACTTCTTTGCGTGACAAAGACCTTACTTGATTAGGTATTTGGGAGGTTTTGTGGGAGATCTGCTGATGTCTGCTGGACTATTACCGATTCAAAGATTGCACCAGCATATATATATTTTGAGGTCCGCTCCTACCAACCATTCGGCAAATTAAAAAACCACAAATATACAGCAGACCCTACATACGATGGCAAGCATCACAACACTATACTGCAAGATTAATCAGAGTCCCCAGGACATCGATGGTAGATACAAAGTCGTACGGAGAACAGTCCAGATGTCGCCCTGCGGCATCGGCCTCCTGGCAACAGACCGACCGTCACCGGCTCTCGAGACCATTGAGAAGACGCAATGGCGACAAATATCGCCACCAGCCTGCCTAGTCAACTCCTCATAGATACTGATCTTCCTACTGAGAATCCCTGGACAGCGACTACTGAATAGAGCAGGCTGGACGGGCTTGAGGCTATTGACCTGCAGGTAGCGGAGGCTGATTATGAGATACTATGGCTGGATGCACGGAATACTCTTTTATTGCATGTCTGTTCGTGGGAGCAGAATCTCCAGTCCCGAAGCTGTACATGGTGTAAGACCATAGGGTCTTCACACAACCTTCTGCTGCTGCTGTCTAGCTAGCTACCTATTTTCTGGATAAGTGGCGTGTGAGGACTGTTGATAGTAGTCATTCATCAAGCCTCCGGACTGGGGTCATCCATATTGCGTCGAGAGATAGATATCGCCACCTACCAAGGCATTTCTAGAAAACAGCCCCAACACGGTCTGCAAACGCGAGTGAACCTGACCAGTGTGACTAGACATCCATTTGACCTCGTGGCAGACGTAGCCTGCCCTCCTATATGGGTTTCTAAACAACGAGAGGACGCAGGTTCTGTGATGGCGCGTCACTCAGCATCAGTCGTAAGAGGGTGGTAGGCACCTCTCTGGCACGGTATCTCCTTCATCGGACGATGCAGCGACGGTACATGCAAGCTCCTGCCTCTGCGATAGATTATCGATGGACGTAGAACCCCTGCATCAACGCAACCATCCCGAGGATACCCACCCAGCGGTGTACTCTGAGCGTGACGCAAGCCGTCTTGGCTCGTATATTAAGTCTGTCGACCAGCGGCGGAGGTTTGCCTGCAATGAGCAAAAGCCCAACCAGCGATACGAGGTCCGCGTTGACACGCTCTCCTCTCTGCGGGTGGTCCATGCCAGTGTAGAGCCAAGGATGACGTGTCTCAAGGAAGATTGAGAGAAGAAGCTTAATTTGTCTGCCGTTGTTGCAGGGCGACCCACTGAAACCGTTGTCTTTCCGCAATCTCCCCGATATTGATGAGGTTGATGGGATGGGGCTGTTGCGATTAAGCATAGGCCAAGAGGATCAAGCCTACATTGTGGCTGGGGAACTGGCATGATCATCCAACTGATCCCGAGTATCTAGCCCAATAGATAGGAGAATAAATCCGAATCACGGTGTAAATGCTCCGTAGTTTGTGCGTTATTCCGCCCTTTAGGGCAACCCACCGTCACACATGCGAGAGATCTTCTTGACATCGCAGCAACGGCGTGAAACGGACACCTTCAATGTCACGAACAAGGTGATCAACTTATAATCCTCATGCATTATGCATCAAGAAAATATGCCACTATACCGAAGATGGAGTGATCGGCCAGGGGAAGGAGACACTCCCCGCCATTGAACCAACCAGTGCGTCTTTAGTGGAGAGCGGGTGGCCCCAGTGTCTGCCGCTAATCGCAACCGGCGCCCAAGAATGGGGCATTGCACCTCCTGCCGTTCAACCACTTTCCCCAATGGAGCTTAGGACGATAATAAGAGATTTTAACCTTAAGAAAGAGGATCATCGACTGGACTCTGGAGGCATGGTCTCTTTGCGGTGGATGGGGGATTTAATCGCGTGGTTGACGGGGTCATGAACGGTGATTCGCAAGTGCAGTAACACGACAAGCCCTAACCAAGTCTACCTCCCCAGTAGGACGGTTGATCAACCTCTTGCGTCGGACGATTCCCGTCTCACCACGGTTGTTGCTGAGGCTACTCCGTAGTCTCGAAAAGGCTGGATCCTGGCCACGTCATGCAACCTCCTCCCAGAGAAGAAAGCTGGGAGTGCCCGCCCAAGTCCGCGGTTCGATAGCGCTCAGGCTATGAAACCCACACGGCAGCCGCCATCAATGCGAAACGGGTTCAGAAGCAACCCGTGAAGCACCGGCGGCTCCACTACTGCCCTTGGCCGTATCTCCGAGCCGTTGCTCACGATGACTGGCCGTGAATCGGTGGGTGTGTTTCAGGGCCGCCTGTCTTTACGCGGCCGATCCCAATCCAGCTTCCACTGATCGACACTGGCATTACCAGCTTCTGGACCCATCACCTTGGTCTCGCTGGTAAGTCGGGTTGTTTATTCTTCTTTCTGGCGCGGACCCACCCGCAGAACGATTCTCCCACTCCTCTCCCCAGTATCAGATTCCCACTCGTCGTGGACCTGATCGTTCTCCTCCACTGTTGCCAAGTGCTCCAGAGAGCAGAGATTCATCATGGTCGCATGAAGAGGGGGGTAAGAAAGGGAGAAAAGGGATTGGGGGCCATCGTTCGAGGCCTATATAAGGATCTCGTCGCCAGCTCGAGTCATATCCTTTCCGTTCTGGTTCCCAACTCATCCTTTCTCTGTCGTTCTTTTCTCTCCGTCTAGCTTTCTTTTGTCCAATTTTCGTCATTCATTTTCCACAGTCTCAACTTCCAGGATGAAGTACGCTGCTATTCTCACGGCCGTTGCGGCTCTCGCCCAGCAAGGGCTTGCGACCAGCGTCTCCGGCACCCCCGTCGGATTCGCTGCCTCGGCCACCGGTGGTGGCTCTGCGGCCGCCGTCACCCCGACCTCCACCACTGAGCTGGTCTCATACCTGGGGGATGATGAGGCTCGGGTCATTGTTCTCACCCAGACCTTCGACTTCACCGGGACGGAGGGTACCACCACCGCCACTGGTTGCGCCCCGTGGGGTACTGCCTCTGGCTGCCAGCTGGCCATCAACGCGGACGACTGGTGTGACAACTACGAGTCCTCTGCCCCCTCTGTCTCGGTGACCTACGACAACGCCGGTACCCTCGGTATCACCGTCAACTCCAACAAGTCCCTGATCGGCGTGGGCACCTCGGGAGTCATCAAGGGCAAGGGTCTCCGCATGGTCAGCGGGGTCTCCAACATCATTATCCAGTAAGTCCGCACGCATCGATTCGGGGGGGGGGGGAGCGAGGAGGGGCAAAGACTGACTGTCGTCCAGGAACATCGCTGTCACCGATATCAACCCCGAGTACGTCTGGGGAGGAGATGCCATCACCCTGGATGACGCTGATCTCGTCTGGATCGACCACGTGACGGTATGGATATTGTCTCCAACTTCATCCCTAAGCTTACAGTTCATCACAACTGACTTTGCGGGATGGTGCGCAGACTGCTCGCATTGGCCGTCAGCACTACGTCCTCGGTACCTCGGCCGACAACCGCGTCTCCATCACCAACAACTACATCGACGGTGAATCCGAGTACTCCGCCACCTGCGACAACCACCACTACTGGAACGTCTACCTCGACGGCTCCAGTGATAAGGTGACCTTCTCCGGCAACTACCTGTACAAGACCAGTGGCCGTGCCCCCAAGGTCCAGGACAACACCTACCTCCACATCTACAACAACTACTGGAACGACAACTCCGGCCACGCCTTCGAGATCGGCTCCGGTGGCTACGTCCTCGCTGAGGGCAACTACTTCGAGGATGTCGACACCGTTCTGGAGACCGACTCCTTCGAGGGAGCCCTCTTCTCCTCCGACAGCGCCTCCTCCACTTGCTCCTCCTACATCGGCCGCTCCTGCGTGGCCAACACCAACGGCGGGGACCTCACCGGCACCAGCACCACGGTCCTCAGCGACCTCGCGGACGACTCCCTCCCTACTCCCAGCGCTGCCAGCACCGACCCTGCCACCAGCGCTGGCCAGGGTAACCTGTAAGCGGGTTCGCGCTTTCTTGACCTGGCTGTGGAGGGGGGAGCCAACCCGATGGAATGTGCGGGTTTGGCGGAGAGTTGTGTTGAGTTTGCTTCCATCTTAGCCTAGTTCCTAGATAATATCATCCTGAGATGGACTGCCTCGAGATTGTGTGAAGTGTTTGTAATGTGGTAATTTCGTGGGGTAGAGATCGACTAGTAGTAACTGTACCAACTGGTTAACCGGGTTGGCAAGGAGGCAGTGCAGAACCAAATCCTGCTGGAATCACACAATCAATTCTAATTCCTTCGAGTCTTTCCTCCCAGCAAGTCTTCTGGTTGTGATATTCATATTCATGTATCTCTGTTCAATTTCCACTGTACGTACTCCCGAAAAAAATCACGACGGAACTCCGCTAACGACTGAACTCGCCACCTGCATCGAATCATGTCTCATGCCAATCTCTCTCTCCGGTCTGCTCAACCCGAGAGCTCCACGCGCGTGTCCATGGTCCTCTCTGCGGCCAGAACCTGACAGACCCGGACGAGATCCTGCATGGAGGCCAGGGTGAGCGGGTGGGATTTGCCCAGCACCTTTTCGCGACCCCGGGCCGCCCGCTCCGCCAGGGCCTCGGCTTCCTTCCACCTCCCCTGCGACTGGTAGATGAGGCCGAGATTGGTCATGGCGGTCAGACAATGGGGGTGATGGTCCCCCAGGGTCTTCTGCATCCCCCGGAGGGCCTGCGTCGTCAGGGCTTCGGCTTCCCTGGCGCGCCCCTGGCTCTGGAAGGTCAGCCCGAGCTCCGCCATCGCCGTCAGAGACAGCGGATGGGACTCGCCCAGCTGCGTCTTCATGACGGCCACGGCGCGCGCCCCCAGCCGCGCCGCCTCGTCGCCTCGTCCCTGCGCGCGCCAGGTCGTGGCCAGGTTCACCATCGCCATGAAGGTCTGCGGATGGTCGCCCAACCGATCCTGGCTCTGCTCGACCACCTGGGTCTCCAACTGCGCCGCCTCCTCGCAGCGGCCCTGATCGCGATAGATCGCCGCCAGATTGGCCATCGAGGTCAGACTCAGCGGGTGCTGGCCCCCGAGACTCGCGAGGCGGGCCTCCAGGACCTCCCCCTCCAGCTGCTCCGCCTCCGCCAGCCGGCCCTGCTCGCGCCGCGTGACCGAGAGATTGGATTGATACGTCAGCGTGGAGCCATGGCGGGGACCCAGCACGCGGCCACTGCGCTCCAGGACGCTCTGCTCCAGCCGGGCCGCCTCCTCGTACCGGCCCAGGTAGGTATAGGTGGTGGCGAGGTTACTCATCGAGGTCATCGTGGACGGATGCTCCGGCCCCAGGGTCCGGGTCTTCGTCTCGAGCAGCTGCGTCTCCAGCGCCTCCGCCGGTCGCAGGTGGCCTTTGTTGCGATACGCCGCCGCCAGGTTGGACATGGCGGCCAGGGTCTGGGGATGCTCCGCCCCGAGCACCGTCTGTCGCGCCGCCACCACTCGACCCCCCAGCTCGATCGCCTCGCTCCATCGTCCCTGGCCGCAGTACGCCGACACCAGGTTGTGCATCGCCGTCAGCGTGGCCGGGCTGTCGGGCCCCAGCAGCCGACGACGCGCCTCGACCACCGCATGTCCCACGTCGACCGCCGCGCTCCACTGCCCGTGTTCCAGAAAGGTGAGGACCAGGGCTCCGAAGCGCACCAGTGCGGCGCTGGCCTCGTCGGGTTCCGGCTGGAGGACCTGCTGCACGACCGTCTCGATCTGGGCGGCGGCCTCTATTTGTTGGTGGGTACGGTACTGTTGTGCTAGGGTTTGGAAAGTGCTCGCTATCGATGCTGTCGATGGGTCTGCCATCGATTAGGGGTTTGGGGTGGGTGGGTTGGGGCTGGTTGGGGCGAGTCGTGGGGGGTGGGGGAGGAGCCGAGAGCGTTGCGATGGAACTCGACCGGGTGGCAACGGATGTTCGGGACGGAGAAAGAGGAGGGGAGTAGTATCAGGTAGCAGAACGTCAAGAGGATGGACGACGACTGGGTCCGAATTGTTAGGGGAAAAGATGAACGGGGGAGGCAGGGCTAGAGTGGATCGGGTCTGGTGAGTGACTGCACGATGGGAGGATGAACCGTGAGAAGAAAGATGGAGAAATGGGGACCAGGAGAAAGAGATGCAAGTGCAGTGACAGTCACGACATTCCGATTCCAGTATCTCTTGCCAAGACGCTAAGTTCGCAGTAGGGCTGGCTGTCGACAACAGATGGTCTGAAGCATTAGTGAGAGTAAGTATTTAATGATCGGTCGGGGATCTGTGTTTGGCCTGTCTCCTTTCCCCTTCTTATCCCCTCGGCCAGTATGTGCACCTCTTCATCCCCCGTATTAAAAGGTGCTGAGATAATTAGGTAGGATTAGGTAGTTCCCAGCGTGATGCTGTAGATTGGGTTGAGAGAGTGCAATTGAAGATGATTGAATCCATCGGAAGATGCGGAAGATAAGCGGCGGTTCTGCCTTACCGGGAAATTCAGCCCTGGACCAAAATAGTAAAATTACTTGGCATCCGCCGTACATTACGGTACAGTAATATACAGTAATGTAATATAGCGTATCGTGGTATCTTATATCCCCATACAGCACTTATTCATCACTCGATCCAACAATTCTTCTTCTTCTTCTTGCTCTTCTCTCCTTCTGCACTTCTGCTTGCTTCAACTGCAGCACCCCATCATGGTCGCTTCAGTAGGCTCCCCGGTCCCAGTTGAGGATCCATGCCAACCACTGCTCAAAGGCTCTGTCTCTAAGGTCAACACTGCCCACCCCTTGCACCAGAACCCTCGCTGCAAGCTACCAGCAGCCGTGCGATCCGGGGCCTGCTGGCCGATATGCTTGCTCCCCCTCGCGATATGGGCCGGATACCGTCAATGGAGCCCCGTCCTGGTCTTCGTCTATAATCTCTTTGCCATCATTGCTCTATCGGCCTGCATCTTCGACTCCTCTCTGCAGCTGGCGACCCGTGCGAGTGAGCCATGGGGCGCTTTGATCAACATCGGGGCTGGGAATGCAGTAGGGCTGAGCGTGCGTCCCTGCTCTCAGCATTGTCTGTGCGTCGCCACCACAGCATCCACTAACTCGTGCTTGCAGCTCGGAGCCTGGGCAGTCGCCAGCCGCGAGATCTCCGTGGCTCAAAGCCTCGCCATGGGGGCCATTCTGGCGGACATTCTGCTGGTGAGGGTGGCACCAACAAGCCACAGTCAGTTTTTTTGCCAGGGACTTCGGTTGACCTCTTGATCCACAGGTTCTTGGTTCCTGCTTGCTCGCCGCCTCGCACCGAGCCGACATCCTCTTCTTCGACCAACCCGTGACCCGTGCGCTCTCCTCTCTCATGCTCGTTACCGCGATGGTCCTCGTTCTCCCCTCGGTGCTTTCGCTATCCGTCCCTTACGAACTCGGCGACCAGACTGTCGCGGTCTCGCGCGGCACATCGGCGGTGCTGTTGTTCGTGTATGCCGGCTATCTCTACTTCCAACTGGGGACCCACCGGCATCTTTTCCACCACGATGGCGAGAACATGGGGAATGACGCAGACGCAGACACAGAGGCAGCCCACCCCTCTCGCAGCGCACCACAAACTCGAACCCAGGCTTTCCTCACCCTCACCCTTGCCCTCCTCGCCACTCTCCTCTGCACCAAATACCTCACCGAGACCCTCGTCCGAACCGCCGTCCAGACCCATTTCTCCGAGACCCTGCTCGCGACCGTCCTCGTCCCGGTCGCAAGCACCGTGGCGCCCGCCATGGCGATGATCCAGACCAGCGCGACGAGCCAGGACGTGGGTGCAGCCATCAGCGCGGGGGTGCAAACCGTGGTCCACGTGGCGCTGTTCCGCATGCCGGTGCTGGTGCTGCTCGGATGGGCGCTGGGTTCGCCCATGAGCTTGGTGGTTGACCCCTTCCAGACGGTCGTGCTGTTGTTCTCGGTGGTATTGGTCCATGGGCTGTTACATGGGGGGAAGTATTCGGTGATGCATGGGTTGGCTCTGATTGCGATGTGAGTATCCCTCTGAATTTCAGTGGAGGCGGTTGGGCTGACGTGGAACTGTTAGGTATGCAATTCTTGGGCTGGCGTTTTGTGTGCGCTGAGTGTGGTTGATACAATTCTTGCCCTCAATCTAGGTATAAGATGTGAAGCTATCTAAGTGAGTGTGTAATATCATTTCACGGGTGTTTTCAATGGTAGCCCCGCAGCGATGACGTGGCCAGCCACCATTGTTACATTACTGTACATATCAGTCTGACTCGGGGGAGTTGGCAGAAACGCCTTTTTTTCGAGAGAAGAGGGGAAACCTGGGAAAGTTTCGGAGGGAAAACCAGCCGAGGCCGGGATGAAGTATTGCTCAGCCTTACAGGGCTACAGGGCTGGGTGGCAGTTTGTCATTGGCTGCTGCCTCTCCCCTCCCCCGTAGGCACCGAGATTGTCCTCCAATCAATGCGGAAGCTCCACTCCTACGCTGCACTGATTGGTGTAAGTTTGTATTGCGGTTACCCAAGTTGTTATCGTATGGTATTCCAGCCGGTTTGTGACCAGTTGCCTGAGGCTGCAATACCTGTCAGTCGCTGCCATTGTGGAAATTCACTGATGTTTGGCTGCTGTTATTCTCCATGTACTCTTGAGTGAAACCTTCATATCAGGTTGACGAGGGAATCACTCCTCTTATAGTAAATAAGACTGATATTCTGCTCTACAGGCAGTAGCTAAGAGAGTAGATACATGTACGAAATTAGCTTCGTGTGGTTGGCTTAGCTACTGATTCTGTTAGAATTCTAGCCATGGAGAAAAGAAGATCACTCTTCCTATCCTGAGATTGGCGGCTACTCACTACGATAGCTGCAGCTGTGCTTCGATGCGTGGAAGATTGACTCATGGAGATACAACTGATAGTTGATTTGTATGGTAGAAAAGTATGAAGGTCAAATAACAAACACAGCCTAGAATTCATCCTGCGAAAGAATGACCAGGAGAAGCTCACGGGTGTCCATGGTCTATGTTTTGCTGTCCAGGGTGGTGGGGATGTCAAGCAGCCATGGCTCTGGGGCGGTTGATGGGTCTTGAGTTTGAATGTATAGAGAAGTGACGACTATGCTGCATGACACATTCCGGGTGGGGTTCTGAGCAAAATGCAAGGGTTTACCTGAGTTCTTTGTTACTGATTGAATCTTCGCTCAGGTGGCAGAAATGATGGATTGCTGATGACCATTCCCTCTATTACTGAGAACGATAGTTCCTTGTTTGACCATGTTGCATTTGACAGGGGTGTCCCTCCCGGCTATGTCCAAGAGGTTCGAAGGTTTTTTCTGTAAAAGAGACTTGTCTGTAAAAGAGACTTGCAATTGAGGAACATCAGAAGGGAGAACAGGGAGTATATATCAATTGCAAAGACTAATTCCAGTCCTGCATAGCATGTATGGTCGGCGGTTCGATCCGCTATAAGCTTAATCTCGATCTACTCGAGGTCTTCTCCACATCTGATGCTTTCCCCCGAGTCCTTTGACGTGTCAGTCAGTCCAACATAGATCCACCTCGAATCAGTCAGTCATGATCACTCGGTAGAATATCCCATCTCAATAGCCTATCCGAAACCCGATCCATCACCGATGCATCTCCGTCACCCGGCTTGGCATGGCTCTATCTCGGGATTTGATCGGGCTGCCGAACCGCTTCGGCTTTGGTAGGGATCCAACCCACTGGCTCTCACGCACAAACACACAATTTGACTTCCAAAACCACGTTGTCGGGATTTTTTGGTCCACCCCTCATGCACGCCCCACTTGCACGCTTCTCCTCACGGCGAATGAACCAGAACAAGCCTCCATGATCCATGGGCCCAGCAAATTTTTCCTCTTTTCCCCTCACAGGAATACTTTCCCCCTCATGAGGGCTGAAATTGAATCAGCCAATTTCTGTGCGGAATTGGGGTAAAATGGCAGTCGGATGGGATATATACTCAGGCAATGCCTGGTCCAGCCCGGGGTGGGTTCGGATACCTGAAAGGTAGTATCAAATTGGCAAAGCTTCGAGGTTTCCATGCAGAACTAAGTCCTATGATGCCGGTGATCTGCAGTGAATAATAATCCAGCGCACCAACCACGTTCATGCATTCGAATCGATCTGACCTGCATTTCCTTTTTTGGCAGAGAGTTCATCGTCACGTGCAGTGATCGCATCAGGGCTCTTCCAGACGACATTCATTGCATATTGCAATGAGCCCTTCCACCTCGATCGAGGCGCTTGAAACTGGCACTGCAGGACTCGAGACCAAGCATGTCGACGTGGACCCTGCTCATCCGCAGAATTGGACCCTGGCCAAAAAGGTCCGGACCATCATCATTCTGGGTCTGATGAATGTCCTGGCCACAGTCGCCAGCAGCATCTTGAGCCCTGGTCAGACGCAGATCATGCAGGAATTCGACATTAAGAAAGAAGTGGCGATTCTCACCACCACCTTATTCCTAGTGGTAGGAACTTCCTTCCAGCCGAGTTGTGTATTGGACCTCGACTCACGGAGTTAGGGCTACATCTTCGGCTTTCTCACCTTCGGGCCCTTGTCCGAGAAATTCGGCCGTAAATGGCCGCTGATCATCGGCGTCACCGTCTCCTCGCTCTTCGAACTGATGCCTGCGTTGGGACAGCACATCCCCACCATCCTCATTGGGCGCTTCTTTGCTGGCCTGTTTGGGATCTCGCCCGTGGCGGTGATGGGCGGAGTCGTCAGCGACTGCTTTGCCACGGAGCAGCGCGGGAATGCGATGGTGATCGCCGTCGCCCTGATGTTCTCTGGCCCGACCTTCGGCCCCGTCTTCGGCGGGTTCATCGTGGCTTCCTCGCTGCATTGGCGCTGGACGGTGTGGGTGATCATCATCTGCGGGCTGGGGCTATCGCTCATCGCCGTCGCGTTGTTCCCCGAGACCTATCCCCCGGTCGTCCTTCGCGACAGAGCCGATGCAGCCCCTGAAGGGAAGCCCGCAGCCCTCAGCATCACGTCCGCGGTTGTGTCCGCAGAAAAAGAAGGCTTAGAGCTCGCGCAGATCGCGCGACTCTACCTCGTCCGCCCCTTCTGTACGTCCCATCCGAACCGCACATGACCCCCCCGGGGACCACCCACTAATCGATATGCATGGCTGTAGGGCTCATCTCCACGCAACCGATCCTCTTCCTCCTCACTCTCTACCAATCCATTCTCTACGGCATCCTCTACCTCTTCTACCAATCCTACCCCTACTCCTTCGGCGAGCTCCGCGGCTGGCGCACCGGCCTCAACACCCTCCCTTTGCTGGGCATCATCGTCGGGGTCTTCCTCGGCGCCCTCGCGATGATCCTCTACAACCAGCTCTACTTCCGTCACCACTGCCACGACGCCCACGGCCAATTCATCCCGGAATCCCGTCTCCCGCCCATGATCCTGGGCGGCATGCTCATCCCCATCGGCATGTTCTGGTACGCCTGGACCTCCGACCCCGCCATCTGCTGGGCCAGCTCCGTCTGCGCCAACCTGCTGATTGGGGGCGGCATGTACCTGCTGTTCATCCAGGGGTTTAGCTATATTGTGGATTGCTACACGGCCATGGCGAACAGCGCGCTGGGCGTGAACGGGGCCATGCGCAGTGTCTTTGGCGCCTCTTTCCCGCTGTTTGCCAGCGCGATGTTTCATGGGCTGGGAGTGGCGTATGCGACGACGATCTTGGGAGCGGTTTGTGTGGCGTTGGTCCCGGTACCGGTGTGTTTTTGGTACTGGGGGGGCCGGATTCGGGTCTGGTCGGAGGGGAGGGTTCTGGATGGGTAGGTGGGTGGTTGGTTGGTGTGCGAGGAGGAGAATCATGATGTACGATACTACTGGACTGCGAATATACCCCGAGACTATGCAACTACTTTCGGTAATGTGGATGTGTGATGTAGCCATAGAAGTATGGCTACCAACCAGGGAGTTACTATTTTCCTATATCAAGCATGACAGGGCCTGCTCCGTCTGAACGCCTGATGAGTACACATCCCGTGAACCAACCAGGATATCCCATGCAGAGTGATTGTCGAGCTGACACAAGTTCACTCCTTCGTAAGCCCAACTGCCAGTCGGAGCGATGTGGAGCACCCCCTCCGATGGCCCAAATGCCCAACTGAAGGCACCGGCCCTCCGAAGGAATCCCGATTGGATTCGCATCGCCCACCAAATGATCCGGGAATGAACCAGCGATGATCGTGACAGGGATGGGCAATATTAGGTGGCTGCATTCTCCAGAGCCAACTGGGGCTGTATCTACACAGAAATACAGGAGATATTGACCTGAACCCGCCATCGGGCATTGCATCCAGACTCCCCATCAACAATGGGCTCCTTCTTCAGCATTCTTTCCCTCTTCGCGCGAGCCCCGGACCCCCTGCAGGTCGAAGCGCAGATTCTCCGGACGGACGCCCTGGCCGCCAAATACCAGGAAGAGCGAGCGAAGCGTCTCCGGACGGATGGCGTCGCCCAATTCCAAGAAACCGAGGGCATCTACCGCCCCTTCCAAGACGACCCCTGGGCCCCGCCCCTGCAACGCGAGCCGATCGAGTGCGAAACGACGGTGCTGATTGTCGGCGGGGGATACGGCGGGCTGGTGACCGCGGTGAATCTCTGCAAGCAGGGGGTCGAGGACTTTTGGATCATTGAAAAAGGCGCCGACTTTGGGGGCACCTGGTACTGGAACCAGTATCCTGGTATTTTTTCTCTTGTTGGCGTTCTGGTCCTCGCTCCTGACTGAAACTTCTCCCCCTCCCCCCACCACAGGCGTCACCTGCGACGTTGAATCGACCTTGTATCTCCCCTTCCTCGAAGAGACGGGATACATCCCCCAGGAGCGATTCGCCTCCGGACCCGAGATCCGGGGGCAGGTTGCCCGCATCGTCGCGAAATGGAAGCTCGCGGCCAAGACGCATCTGCAGACGGAGATCACCGCGATGCGATGGGACGAGTGTCGCGGCCAGTGGCTCACGAGGACCACCCACGACGATCATTTCAGCTCCCGCTTTGTCGTCCTCGCCACCGGCACGCTGCACAAACCCAAACTCCCCGGACTGCGCGGCATCGAGGGCTTCCAGCGCGACCACTTCCACAGCGGGCGCTGGAACTACGCGGTCACCGGGGGGGATACGACGGGGAAGATGACGCAGCTGGCGAGCAAGACGGTGGGGATCATCGGCACCGGCGCGTCCGGCGTGCAGCTGGTGCCGAAGCTGGCCCAGGATGCAAAGAAGCTGTACGTCTTCCAGCGCACCCCCTCCTCGGTCGCGGTGCGACACACCCGTCCGCCGGATCCCGCCGTGATTGCTGCCCTGCCGCCGGGGTGGCAGCGCGCGCAGATGAATCGCTTCGCCGAGATCCTGCAAGGGACGGTGGTCGACGAGGATGTGGAGTGCTCGGGGACGGAGGGCTTGGATGCGCTGACCATGCGGGAGATCCACGCGGAAGCTGCACGCTTGGGAGTGGACTTGCAGACGCACCCGAACAAGCTGGGGGAGGTGTATCAACTTGTGGACTTCCGGCTGATGGAGAACCTCCGTACGTTGGTCGCGGAGACGGTGCAGGACCAGGCGACCGCGGAGAAATTGAAGCCCTGGTATGCCTTCATGTGCAAGCGGCCCGCCTTCAACAACGAGTATCTGGCGGCCTTTAATCGGCCCAACGTGGAGTTGGTGGACACGAATGGCCAAGGGGTGTCGCATCTCACGGCCACGGGGGTGGTGGCCAACGGCCGGGAGTATCCCGTCGACCTCCTGGTCTACTCCACCGGATTCGAGTTCGAGGTGGGATCGAACTTCCATCGACGGACGGGGATCCATCTCGTCGGCGCCAAGGGCCAGACCCTGGATGAGAAGTGGGCGAGCAACCCCGGTGGGGGGCCGTCCACCCTGTTTGGCATTCATATCCGGGATTTTCCCAACCTGTTCACCATCGACCCGGCCCAGGCCGGGGTTACGGCTAACCAGCTCCACAATATCTATATCGCCGCCGAGCACATTGCCCCGGTGGTCAGGACCTGTCTCCAGACACCGGGGCTCAGCATTATCGAGCCCACGGAGGAAGCCGAGGAGGAATGGGGGAAGCAGATCGAGGCGGGGCGGGAGATGCGGTTGGCTTTCGCTCAGAAATGCCCCCCGGGATATTACAATAAGGAAGGCAAGCCGGAAGAGATCCCGGCGCGATGGGGAGTCTACCCGCCGGGCATCGTGGCATGGGAGAAGGTGCTGAGGGAGTGGAGAGAAGAAGGGACGATGAAGGGAATGGAGCGACGATGAGAATTGCTACGTAGGTAGTCTATATGCCGCATGATAGCTCCGCACAGAACGGTCAGTGCACTCGCTTGGTTAAGCAATAATAGTTCCATGTCTGCTCGTCGAACAGATGGAGCGAGCCTTGCTATGATGATAATGATGGTACAGTACCTCATAGATCGCCGAAGTCCGGACCAGCCACTCGGAGTGTGGACCGAAGCCAAGGCCGAATCGGTCGGCTTCAACCCGCAGCCCTAATCTAAGATTCTATAAGATAAGATCCTTACAGTATTCTTTCCTTGGTCAGCCCTCAAGGCGCTAGAAAGAGAGCAACTGAAATAACAACCCCTGTCCCGAGATGCACAAATTCTTCAAATCCACCTGGCTCGACTTCGAAGTCATCCGGATCCTGGGCACAGCCCCCAACGGCGGGGCCGAGATCTGCGAGGTGCTGGAGGCCGTGGGCAGCATCACAGAAGGCGACGCCGAATCTTGGTACCAAGCCTGGCACGCCCAGGCAGCACGCGCCGAAGCCACTGGCCTACGGTGTCTGCAGTGCAAGCATCGCGAACTCGCGCGCCGGGCCTTCCTCCGCGCCGCCAACTACACCCGGGCCAGCGGCTACATGCTCACGGGACCGACCCCCTCGCAGCAAGACCCGCGCGGGCTGCCAATCGCCGAAAAAGCAATCCAGCTCTTCCGCCGCGGCGTGCAGCTCTCTCGCGCCCCGGTCGAATTCCTCGAAATCCCTTACCCCGGCGGTGTCCACCTGCAAGGCTACCTCTACCTGCCCCCCGCCACGCGACGCCCCGGGGTCCCCCCAAAAACTCCCATCCTCCTCAACTGCGGCGGCGCCGACTCCACGCAAGAGGAGCTGTACTTCCTCCACCCCTGCGCCGCGACGGAGCACGGGTACGCCTGTCTCACCTTCGACGGACCGGGCCAAGGCATGGCGCTGCGCCGGCACGGGCTCGTCCTGCGCCCGGACTGGGAGTCCGTGACGCGCCACGTGCTGGACCATCTCACCACGCTGGCGGCGGCGCGGCCGGCGTGGAATCTGGATCTCGATCGCATCGCCGTCTCCGGGTCGGCGTTGGGCGGGTACTTCGCGCTGCGGGTGGCGTCGGACCCGCGCATCAAGGCCTGCGTGGCCCTGGACCCGGTGCACGACATGTGGGACTTTGGTACCCAGCATGTTTCGCGGGCGTTTATGAAAGCCTGGACCGATGGCTGGGTGTCGAATGCGACGGTGGATGCGATGATTGGCTTCGCCGCGCGGCGCTCCTTTCAGATGCACTGGGAGGTTTCGCTCGCCGGGGCGATTTGGCAGCTCGATCGTCCCACGGATATTCTCTTGCGGATGAAGCAGTTCACGCTGAAGGGCGGGGAGGGCGAGGGTGGGGGGTTTCTGGCGCGCGTGCATTGTCCGACTCTGGTCTCTGGGGCGGCGGATTTCCTCTATCTGGATGTCGATAGCCATACGATGATGGTGTGGCGGGGCCTGCAGCATCTGCCGGAGAAGGACCGGACGCTGTGGATGGCGGAGACGCCCGCCGATGGGGCTTTGCAGGCGAAGATTGGGGCGTTTGGGTTGAGTAACGAGTACACGTTCGCGTTCCTGGATGAGAAGTTGGGGATGGTGAGGGATGCGCTGGAAGCGGAGGCAGAGGTAGAGTCTTGTTGAATTGTCTGTGGAAAGAGTAAAGAATACCAGACAAAGTGGTCCGAGTTCCTCGCAAAATAGAGTATCTAGTAAATATACTATCCCGTGTCATTACAACTTCAGATATTGCCAGAAGACAAGCTCAGGTTATCTCCCCGATAGACAGCCAGGACTCTACGGGGATAACCTGGACAAGACATATACCTTGACATAGCTGGACATATTCATAGTCATATTATTTCAAAAGTAGACAGCTAACAGACATCCAACAACAAACTAAACCTCCTTGACCAACCGGGTCATCAAGATCCCCGGCCCCCCCGCAGCCCCCTGCAAGAAGGCGGCAACCATGGGATTCAGCCCTAAGACCAGGGCTCGTCGAACCCACTCCTCCATCGCCAACCCCACGAACCTCTCCCCCGTGAGCTTCTCCATCCGCGGCTTCAGCTCCTCGCTCGCAATCTGCAGCTCCCCGCTCTCGAACACATACTGCACATCCACATCGGTGACCCCCGCCTGCACCCGGTCGACAATCTCCGTAGCCGCGCGGTCTACGGAAATGAAATCGAGATATCCGCGGATATACTCGCCGTGGGGCACCGCCTGCATCATCGTCGAGTATTTGAGCAGGGCGCCCATGACATCGGTCTCGGCAGCCCCCGGTCCGATGATGCTGGCGGGCCGATGGACGACGAGGGGCATGCCGTAGCGAGCGCTGAGGCGCTCCAGATACACCTCGGAGGCCCATTTGGAGGCAATGTACCCGTTCGAGCCGTCGGTGGGCGGCGGGTAGTCGCGCACACTGATGGCAGGGCACTCGGCCTGCCCCGTGAGCGCGGTGACCGCGCCGGTGGAGATGTAGTGGAACTGGAGCCCATGGCGCACCGCCCACGCGGCCAGTCGCTTGGTCGACTCCACATTGACCGTGCGCAGGGAGGCGTACGACTTCAGGAAGGAGACGTCGGCGCCGTTGTGGATGATCGCGTCGGCGGAGGCACAGATGGTCTCGCGGTCGGACGGCGCGAGTCCGAGGTCCGGCAGGGATTGGTCGCCGTGGTAGAGGACGACCTTGGGGGAGGAGAATACGGGGTCCGAGTGCGAGGATGTGGCTCGCACCGCGATACAGGTGACCTTCTCGATCGAGGGCGTCGAGATCAACTGCCGCAGCAGTGCTCGTCCGAGGAAGCCGGTGGCGCCGGTCAAGACGACGGCGCGGGGCCTTTGCGCGCCGAGGAGGGTGAATGGGGGGTCTTCAGAGGGTGTCGTCGTCTCGATAGCCCAGTCAACTACCGTGGTCTGCTCCGGGGCAGCCGGGGGTGCAACCTCTGGTGGAGAAGACGTAGGTCGTCTACTTTCACCTTCTTCGATGAGAGAGTCAACACGAGTCACCGGTGTCTGGTCAGGGTACCGAAGCGAGTGAATCTTGGAGGTCATTCCGCCGAGGGTGCTGGCATCGAAGAGTTGGGCGAAGGGGATGTCAACCGCAAAGGCGGTCTTGATCAGCGCTTGCAGACGCATGAGCAGCAAGGAGCTGCCCCCGACTTGAAAGAAATCGGATTGAGAATCCACCGGAAAGTGATCCAGGACTTGCGCCGTCAAGACCTCTTCCCACAGCTGCAACAGCCGGGACCGGGTATCCTCGACTGGCGGCGGCATATCCGATGCCTTGGTCTGTCGGATCTGGGGCAGTGAAATCTGCTGCACAGACCGTCGATCGATCTTGCCCGACGGTGTCCGAGGCAAGGACTTCACGGGGAAGATCAATGCCGGACGCATGTACTGGGGTAGAGGCAGACTCGCCACCAACTGTCTCAGGGACTCCTGTGTGGCCGCGCGATCAGCCTGTCGAGACAGTTCCACATGGGCAACCAGGAGGTCCGGGTCTTCGCGTCGGGTCACAATCGCATGAAGAACCCGACCCGGCGAGGATCGCACGATTGTCGCCTCGATATCCTGCAGGTCGATGCGCAGGCCCCCCAGTTTGATCTGGGTGTCTCCGGCAATCCGTCCCTCCAGGAGTAATCGTCCATCGGGCTGCAATCGGCCGCGGTCTCCGGTGAGATGCATCTGACTCCAGCCACGTTCAATCCAGTCCTCCGGGGCAAATTGATCTGGGACGAATCGCTGCTGAGTTGCGTCCTTGTGATTGAGATAGCCCGAAGCAACAGCCATGCCTCCGATGGCCACCTCCCCGGGCACACCCACCGGCAGGGGCTCCCGGTTGGCGTCCAGAATGTAGGTAGCATAGTTGGCCCAGGGCGCGAGAGAGATCTGGGCATCTTTTGCATGCTGCCAGTCCAACTCCGCGATATGCGAGAAGAATGTGGTCTCAGTCGGGCCGTAGCAGTTGATCGCCCGTAAGTCGGCCTTGTTCACTTGTCGTAAAGCCGCCAGCAGGGCCGGAGTAACCTGCTCGCCCCCCACAATACTCAACTTCCAGGCAGACTGTCGCAAGGACTCTGGGTCGCCGTATTGGACCCAGCTAAGGTATTCGGTTGGCGTTGCAGCCGTAAGCGAGAGTTTCTCCGATGAGATAATGTGAGACAAGGCGAGCGGATCGCCCCGGGCAGACTGCGGCACAATATACACGCTCCCCCCAGCGCAGAGCGGCCAGAAAATCTGCACCAGAGACATGTCGAAGCTGAAAGACGACTGCTGCAAGCCTCGCACAGGGGCGAGCCCCTCTATCCACGCATGGTTTACCGTTTCCACATGGTTGCGGAAGATAGCATGCTTCATCACCACACCCTTGGGCGTCCCGGTGCTGCCACTGGTGTACAAAATAGCCATGATGGAATCCTCGGTGGACATGTCAGCTATATGGGGCTTTCGGTCAGGGGCCGGGGAGGGGAGACGGGTGATGTCAATCAACTGCAACTTGCTGTCGAAGGACTGGAGGGTTGGATGAGTGGTGGTATCGGTCAAGACCACACTGGGTTGGCAGTCGTTGATGATTGACTCCAAGCGATTGGTCGCGACACGAGGATCGAGGGGAATGTATATTCCCCCCAGGCGTAGGATGGCCAACATCGAGCAGATCCACTCCGCTGAGGGCTGCTGGAAGACGCCTACCTTCGACCGGTCACCAACCCCCGCCTGAGATAGCGCGTGCGCGATCTTGTGGATACGATCGCTCATTTGCTGATACGTCCAATCATTTCCCACGCCATCCTTGATCGCCGATGCCTGCGCTGAGTGGATTGCTACCTCGTCGATACGGTGAACGAGGGTTCCGCGCCAGTGGAGCGGAGTGGCAACCCCTGGATAATATGTGAGTGAGTGACCAGCGAACGCAAAGATGCGAAGGGAGATGCATAGGTACTGACCACGACCAAGGGCAATTGCATGCTGCGTGTCTTCTTTCGAATATAGGGCTGGTCGGTTGACGCGAGTGGCGGGGTTCTGGGAGAAGGCATCCACGAGGTTCACCAGACATTTCAAAATAACCTCACCATCCAGGGCATTATACAGACCCTGCTGGACCGACAAGCGGAGAAGTGCCTCACCACCCGCATTGTCCACGATGTCGAGATTGAGGTCGTAAGCCGTCTGTCCACCGTCAAAGTTGGTCCATTCACACGCGCAGTGGCAAAAATCGCGACTCTCGGCAACCCCTTGTCGGTAGTTGAGCAGAACTTGAAACAGGGGGCTGTGACTCGAGGAGCGGGGCACATTGAGCTCATTGAGCAAGACATCGATGGGCACTTGGGAGTTCGCAAACGCTTGCTGCGCTTTCGCCTTGGTGTCCCGCACGACGTCGCTGAAGCTACTCGTCGCTGAGGAGGAGTCGAATCGAACTGGTAAGAGGTTGAGATAGCAGCCCAGGCTCTGCTGCACATCACTCTCATTTCGATTCGCATCTGCCACCCCAATGCACAGATCGTCCACGGCGACAAAGCGAGAGATCAACACCCGGTACACCGCGAGATAAAATTGGAATGGGGAAACCTTTAATCTCTTGCAAATAGCGTGCACTTGGGCCGAGAGAGTCGGTGACACCCGATAGGAGGACAGATGAGTCGCATACTTGGCCAGGGTTACTCGACCAGAGGACGTAGACAGCGGGAAGAGAGGCAACGGCGCAGGAAGAGTCGTAAACTCGTCCCGCCAATATGCCAGCTGAGTCTTCCATGCACCGTCCAGGTACTGCTTTCTCTGGCGAGCGGCAAAGTCGGGGTATTGCAGAAGCCCACCGTCATTGGGGAGTGTGCGGTCGTAGGCCTTCTGCAGATCGGAGAAGAAAATCTCAAAAGCAACTCCATCCATGTTGATATGGTGATATCCCAGGATCAGCTCGTGAACCGTCGGAGACAACGACAAGAGCACAATTCTCATGGTCTCCCCGTTCTCCAGGTCATACACATGGTTTTTGACACGATGATACTCCTCCTGTGCCTCGGACAGGTCAGTCATGGCTTTCTTCTCGAGTCGAAGGACGGAGGACGCAAGAACCGCTTGCATGGGCTCGTAGCTCGGGTTGGTGAAGAACCGCGTGCGCAGCGACTCATGACGCTGGCCAACGGTCGCGACAGCCTGCGCCAGGTCGTCCACGCGGAGCTTCCCTGATAAGCGAATGGAGACGGTCACGTTGAACGTGGTTTTCTCTTCCAGGTAGGATCTCAAGAACCAGAATCGGGACTGCGAGAAGGAGAGCGGCAGCACTCTCTGCTCGCCATTCTCGGTCCCAATGGGTTGCGCAATGTCCTCGAAGGAGGATTCAGATGTCTCGGACGGAGTGCGCTTGGATTCCGACGGGGTTCGGGGTTCCGATACTGAAGCCGAACTGGACAGAGGACCGTCGTGGATGGCCCTGGGAATCGAGGAAGAAGTAGATCGCGGGTGGTCTGCCATTTCGTTCTTAGAAATCTCTGCGACCCTCGCCGGGGTCGCCGGCTCCGTTTTGGGGACTGGTAGACTGGGGGTAGGATTCGTGGGTGCTGAGGTTGGCTTCGTCTGCCGGGGTTGGGGTTGCTGGGGCTGGGGTAGGGCTGGTGCGGGCACGACTGGCTTCGTCTGGATCTTTTCAGTCGCACCAGAATCCTTGCCCAGATCGGGCGTCATCGTGGACGGCAGAAGCTCGCCAGCACGTTCTAACAGGTCGCCCATGGAGGCGCCGCTGATGATTTTCAGGACCGGTAGATCGACGTTCAGCTCCTTCAAGAACCATGACCGCACGTCCAACGCAACGAGGGAATCGATGCCCAATGCATCTGCGTTCAGCCCGATCACATCGAGATCGGGGGGCGTTTGCAGGGCGGATTGCAGTTTGGCAATCAACGCCGCTGGAGACCGATGTCAGTGCGCGTTGGATCAGAAATGCCAAAGATAGGGAGTGACCTACCCTTCAAGACCGCATGGACTTCATCCTGTGTGGTGGCCTTCGCCAGCTGAGCTTTGACGGAGACCGTCGCACCATTGCCGCTCGCGATGCTGCCCCCGACGTTCCGGTACTTGGTTAAATGGGCGAAGATGGGGTTGTCGGCGTACTGGGGCTTGTCTTCCTCGTCGTCGTAGAAAACCCGCAAGCCGGTGAAATACTCGGGATTGAGCCCTGGACGAGGAGGACTGGCGACAACCGCCTCGGCGAAGATTTGGTAGAAGTCCTGCTCGGACATCCACATATTGCCCACTTTCTGCAGAGCCACCTGTTGGGCGAGCGTCAGCTCACGGGTTACATAGCCGTTACCCACAATGGCACCGATGTGGACTGTCGAAGCCGCCACGCCGCGTTGTCTTCGCTGCGCCGCGAGTCCAGCCAGGAACATGTTGGCGGCGGCATACGCTGCCTGACCGGGGTTGCCGGTCACCGAAGCCATGGAAGAGAGAAAGACGAAGAAGTCGAGTGGGGTGCGTGAGAAGATCTCATCGAGGTAAATCGCCCCGTCCATCTTCGGCTTGAGCACCTTCTCCATGCGCTCCATCGTCAGATCCAGGAACAGAGTATCGTGCAAGACCATGGCGCCTTGACAGACACCCGCCACCGGTGGAAGAGACGCCTCAATCTGCTGGTAAACGGAGCGGACGGATTGGCGATCGGTAACATCACTGACAATCGGATTAGCAGCATGCCACACGGGTCATGAGAGTGGGAAGAGAAGAGCTATACTTGGGATATATCTTGACTGTCGCGCCCAGTGCGCTGAATTCTGATATCCAACGCGGATCAACCTTAGGGTTTCGGCTCGACAGCACAAGATATCTTGCCCCCCGGGTGATCATCCACTTGCAAAGAGAGAGTCCGAGTCCCCCCGTCAAGCCAACCAGCCAATACGTTTTGTCGGCCTTGAATAAGGGTCGGGCGTCGACAGGCTCCAACTGCACTGGAACCGTGGTGTCTGCACCCCAATTAACGAGGAACACTTGGCTGGTGTCATTTTCGTTCACCATGTCTTGCAAGGATCGCATCGACATCTTGAGTGGATCCACTGGAAAAGAGCGAGATAGCACTTGCGATAAACTAGTCTCGAGTGCCTCGGAGATCCGATGATCGGTCACAGCAGCATTCAGCCGTCCGGTGAATGGTACTAGTGTGTCCTTCGTTTCAACGGGATAGCGGGCATCCATGCACTCACGAAGCAGAGAAGACCAGGGATTCTCCGTCCAGGAAAGGAGACGCGAGATTCGTCCGGGAAGGGCAGTGACCAGATCCCTCCTCGAAGCGTGGGCATGTAGAATGGTCCACGGCCCTTTGAGGGGAGAGGTATCAGCAGTCACACAGTGGAGGGAGACACCTTGCGACTGCGCTGCTGGCTCCAAGAAGGCTGCCAGAGCTGCGTCAGGCTCCAGAACCACCAGCACGTCATCCGGGCCCAAGTCACTTAGGGCTGCATTGCCCAAGAGGAGATGAAACAATGTCACCAAGTAGTTCACAGCCTGCTGCTCGGGCACCAGACAAGGCTGCACCCAGTAGTCCGGAACCGTGATTCTGGATGATAAGCAGGTGGATAAAGCGATGACTTGGAGGTTGGTCACGCTTTTGGTGCCGAGAACGACAAAGAATTGTCCCAGATGACCGATCTTGACGGACCTCGAAACCGAACATTTGACATCGATCTCCACGGAGCGATAGGTGGGCGATGAACCCCCCGCAGCGTCGAGCACCTGATCAGAACCTGACCGGATGGAGTAGGTCTCATCACGATGGGTCAGGGTTACAGGTTCCACCTGGAGATTGACCGGCTGCGTGATCAAGCGACGAGAGGAATTGTACCGACTGTTCAGACGCTTGCTCAACTTGACCCGGGGTATCCATGCCTTGCCGTGTTCAAAGGCGATCTCCGGCTCGAGGGTCCAGAGTAAATCCTTCAGCCGTCCCTGATCTTCCCAGACCTCCGTGGCTGCAAAGCGGATCATGGTCTCGGAAATCAACTGTGAACTGGGCAGTTCACACTGTGGGAAATCCAAGACTTGCAGCCGGAGGTGCTGCATTTCCTGCAGAAGGCAGCGGCAGAATCCCACGATCATCTTGGCATAGGGATCGCATTCCTTGTATCCAGCAGTGACCCAGATCACTTTCTTAGACCGTTCAAATAAGCATTGGAGACCCCGCAATGTCGAGTCGGACAGCGACTTGAGAACGGGCTCATCGTGGTCTTGAAGGCAGATCACGCTTCCACCCAATGGAAGACTGTTGACATTCAGATCCAGCAACGAGGGTAGCCTTCGGATCTGCTCAGCGAATGGCGAGAGCTCTTGCACAATGGATGATATGAGAGTGGCTGTTTGAGGTGTGGTGCCTCCAATGATGGTGAGATCAGGGATGGCGATACTAGTCTGTTGAGGGCTGGACGAGAGCGGGTTTCGAAGAAGCTCCATTCGATCATCCACGGCCTGGGATAGAATCACGCAGAGGGGGAGTGGTTCCGTTGTATGATGCGGGACAATCGACTCGATGCCTGCGAAGCCCGTCTCCTGCAAGAGCTTCTCCCACTTGGGGGGCTCAATGCACGGCGATAATCGTCTTCCATCGTCTATTCCGAGCCACCAGCCAGGGAGGACCCCAAAGACAAACCCGAATCGCATGGGCTCGTTGTCCGTAAGCTCGACCATCAGCAAGTATCCGCCGGGTTTAAGCAGCTTGCGGACATTCTTCATGGTCTCCTCCAACTTGGTCGTCGCATGCAACACGAGAGAGGCTATGATCAGATCAAAGGAGTGCTCTGCATATCCTTGTTCAAGGATATCCTTTTCGATGTTGAGCGTCTTGAAAGTCATCTTGGACTCGTAGGCTTTGAAGGTCTGCACGGCCTTTTCAAAGAACCCGCTGGAAATATCCGTGAACGTATATCTACGAGGCATATAATTTATTAGCAGCAACGACGGCGAAGACCTGGGGAGTGCCACTCACGAGGCGAAAGCGTCATCCAGCTCTCTCAGGATCGACTTGGTTGCACCGCCTGTTCCAGCCCCTGTACCAGGCGTTATCATCATCGAGTCGTAGCTAGTTAAGAAGGGGAAAGGATGCCACATACCAATTTCCAGGACATTCATCGTTGGGTGCCGGTGTCCAATCTGCTTCGCCGCGCTGGTCAACTTGTGGAGATACTGTTCCATGCCTAAACCTGTGACGTAGAAATCGTTCAGCATATTATCCTTGATCATAGCCTCCAGCATCGATGCCTCTCCTCGGATCGCGGAGACCATATTCTCGCCAACCGCACGCATGATGCGAAGACCGATATTCTCCGGATGACTTCAATCCAGAACCGGCGATCAGCTTGATTCCCTGCAGAACATGGATGTCGACACCATACCTGTCAATGATCGAGTGGATCTCCGCGTGTGTATCCAGATTCCATCGCTGTTGAGCAAATGGGTGATGGCCAGTCGCAACGCGGTCCAGCATGTGCTCTGCATACGCGAGAAAGTGTTTGTAATGCCACTCACAGTTCTCGCGATCCTGCGGGTTAGTCCTGTCGACGAGCTGGCGAAGATAGTAGTAAGCGACCCTTTCTAGGACGAAGCCAAACTCGAAGCTCTCCCGCTCGTCCGCTGGAGCGTGCATCGCGTTCGGAGAGAACACCTCCCAGTACGGCTCCGAAAAGATATGCACATCCGTGGCTTCAGTCGGGGGAACCATGGGCCTGGTATGCATGCCTTCCACTTGAACCATCGCATGCTGACCACCAATGGGATACAGATCAACGTCTTCATCCACTCTCGACCCATCGTCCCGACCGATAGTCGAATGGAATTTCCAGGGCTGACCGGACGCGGACTGGGCAGCGCATAGGGCGGGATTGATGCGAATCCGGGTGATGTCGGTGGGAAGCTGGATGGCCTGAAGTCGACCGTCACCTGGAAAGCAAAAAGCCAGCAGAACTGATTGGATAGCGGCATCCAAGGGTGCAGGGTGAAGAAGTAAGGGCTTCCCCGGCACGGACGGTTCAGGCACTGAGATCCGGCCAGTCGCGACACCGGCTTTCCTGGCCATCGACGAAAGTGCCTTGAAGGGACCGGTGTACTCATACCCATAGCCTGCAAAGGTGTCATAGAATCGGTCAGGATCAACATCCATCATAGCGAACTGTTCTTCCGGCACCGGAGGCAGTAGTTGCACATCTGCATCCCCAAAAGTGACTTCCAGCCTACCATCGGCATTGAGCAGCATAGGCCCTGTGTCCTGGCCAGTAGTCGAAAAGAAGCTGAATCTCCCCGTCAACATGTTTCCTTGCCGGTGTAGCTGCGTGACGGACACGAGGATCTCCACCGCAGAGTCTTCGGTGTCGAAAACCAGAGCCTGCCCAATCGTGAAATCCGTGAGCTCGATCATTTTCAAGGATGCGTTCCCAGCAATCTGGCGGACCGCTTCAACCGCGGTGGAGATATAGCCAGCAGCAGGGAACACCATCTGTCCTTGGATTTGGTGGCCTGGAATCCAGGGTAGCTCCTTGGGAATCAGATAATTGCTCCATCGGACTTCCTTGTCGGAGGCATCCGGACACCGGGTCCCCAGAAGTTCATGTGGAGGATACTTTCGTTCGCGGAAGATTTTGGATGTACGTGACTCGTACCAGTACGTCCTGTCATGATCCCAAGGGTAAGAAGGGAGTCTCTTCAGAGGCACCTGTACGTTCACCGGAAAATTGAGTAGGCGATCATATCCCACGAGATCGATGGCGTTGGGCCCGAGCGTGGTCCAAATGTACCCGAGCCCGCTGGAGAAGGAATTGATATCATTAGTACCCCGGCTCAGCACCCCGGTGTACGGGATGGGATCTCCGATGGCCTCTTGCATGACCTGGCGGGCAGGCCCTTTCAAGGCAGGATGAGGACCGATTTCAATCGCGAGGTCAAAGCGGTCTTCGCCCAGCGCATATTGCAGGGCTTGGGAGAACAAGACCGGAGACACCAGGTTGCTCACCCAGTAGGAGTCCGCGAGACTATCCTGGACCTCATCGATGTTTTTCTGATAAACACTCGAAATCCACAGGCAATCCGAGGGTGCTGGCCGTTGCGGTTGAATGCCACAGGCGCGCAGAGCATTCGCGTAGGGTTCTGCACAAGGAGCCATATGGTGCGAATGGTACGCCTTATCGACCTTCAATACCCGAGCAAATTTCTTTTCTTCCTCATACACAGCCCGGACGTAATCAATGGCTTCGAGATCGCCAGATAGCGTCACGCTTGTCGAAGAATTGCAGGCCGCGACGCCCACTTTGCCCTTGAAGCGTCTTAATTGGCACAACGCCTGCGCGTCTTCGAAGGACGTCCCCACCGCAATCATCGCTCCAGCTTGGTCCTTTTTGCCTTGGGCAAAGTGAAGATTTGCGCCCCGGTAGTGCGCAATCCGAATTGCGTCCGTTGCGCTTAAATATCCGGCCGCGTATGCGGCCCCAATTTCCCCAGAGGAATGGCCAACAACCGCACAGAACTTGATGCCTGCTGCCCTGAGAAGATCCACCAGAATAATCTGAACGGCGGTACATAGGGGTTGGGACAGGGCAGCTTCGTCCACCCGCGATGACTGCTTGTCTGCTAATAGCTCCTGTTTGAGAGACCATGTCGGGCGATCCAAGGGGAGCTGGGACAGACTGTCTTCCAACCGCTCCACAATCACTTGCGCCGCGGGAAACTGCAGCAGCTCTGCCCCCATTCTGGCCCATTGAGCACCCTGGCCGGTGAAGACTCCGAGTACGCGTGGTGGACGCGAAATGGATGCAGACGCCGAAGAAACCATGGGGTTTTCGCCGTTTCCATCTGTGAAGAGATCAAGTTTGGGGAGAAGATCAGCTGCACTTGTGGCTGCAAAAGAGATGCGTGTGGGAAATCCAGTCCGTCTCGTCGCTATAGTGAGCGAGAGGGCGCGAAGATCGATGGACGGCTGCGTCCTCAGCAGCTCCGAGTACGAGGACACGAGAGCCTTGAGCGAGCTCTCGGAGGTCGCGGAGAAGGTGAAAGGAGTGCAGACTATGCCCCCTGACTGGGTTCTAGTGATGCCAGCAGCCCTGTCTGTCGGCATATAGCTTTCAAGGATACAGTGGGCATTGGCGCCCCCAAATCCGAATGAGTTGACACTCGCTCTCCGTGGCGCGTTGGGTTCGATGGCAGGCCAGGGTTGACTCTTGACCGGGATCCGCAGGTAGTTGTAAAATGGCTTCACGGAGGGTGCGAGCCTCTCGAATAACAGATTGGGAGGGATGACCCCGTGCTGTAAGGCCAAGGAAGCCTTGAGCAGACCAGCCAGCCCTGCAGTCCCTTCGGTATGGCCAATCACCGTCTTGATAGAGCCGACAAATAACAGACTGCGAAGATTCTGCGGAGGAGGGTTGTTTTGGAAAAATGCATTGTGAATGGCCTCCGCTTCCGTAGGGTCACCTGCAGGCGTGCCGGTGCCTGATGAGATGTGACTTGAAGTCAGTATGGCTCTCTAATAAGGAAAAGCTCCGAAGCCAGGGGGTAGAGAGGGTTCACTGACCGTGTGCTTCGAAGTACTGGGGTCGATCTTGCGCCCGTCGCAAATCCAAGCCGGCTTTCGCGTAGGTAGCCTCGATCAAGGCGGCTTGGGCGACGGGGCTAGGCATGGTGATACCCTTGGTTTTACCGTCTTGATTGATTCCAGTCTCTCTGATAATACATTCAATATGGTCCCCATCGGCAATCGCAGCGGACAGGGTCTTGAGCACCACCGATGCCATTCCCTCCCCTCGCGCGTACCCATTGGCCCGGTCATCCCACATGTACGACCGGCCGTCCGGCGACAACATCTTGAGATTACTTTCTGCGATGTACTGCTCGGGCCCCAGGAGAAGATTGGCCCCAGCCGCAATCGCCACTCGAGACTCGCCGGAGCGCAAAACCTGGACCGCCTGATGCACAGCGATCAAACTGGATGAACACGCGGTGTCGATCGTCATGGATGGCCCCCGCCAGTCAAAGAAATATGAGATCCGGTTGGAGATGATGCTTCTTGCCGTGCCGGTGGCAAAGTAGGTGGGAAAGAACGACGTGTCGCGTCCGAGCAGGTCGGCATAATCCGCCCCCATGAGGCCAACATAGACCGCGGTTGATGAGCCTTGAAGCTGCTCGATGGAGATCCCGGCAGCCTCCAGACTCTCGTAGACGGTCTCGAGAAGGAGCCGTTGCTGGGGGTCGATGGAGTGTGCCTCGACGGGTTTGATGCCGAAAAATTGGGCATCAAAGAGCCGGTGATCCTCCGAGAGTAGGTATGAATGACGCACATTGCTGGTCCCATGATGGGTGTTCTCCGGGTGGTAAAACCCATCCGGATTGAACCGAGCAGCTGGAATCTGAGCCTGTACATCGCGTGGCTCTCACAGCAGCTCCCAGAGCTTAGAGGGGGTGGTTGCGGCACCGGGGAATCGACATCCACTGCCAATGATGGCAATGGGCTCGTTCAAATAAGCTTGCGACGGGGCCATTCTCATCAGTATGCCCTATTTTGATCACAGTAATAGGTAGTAAGCAGGTGGTATACAGCGATGGCCGTCCGGGCTGCGAGGTACGACTCTGTAGACTTCAGCTTCAGATTATTTTTGCACTTGTCATTCGAAGTATACTACTGTATTCATGCATAGTTCATCCTTTAAGCCAATGAGATACATGACCAATTACTCACGTCTCCGATAAGCCGAACTGGGGTCCATCGGGGCTGACGCCGATAGTTTAGGTGGCCAAAAAAAAGCAGTCTCTCCGAGTCCGGGGCACCGATACGCTTCTTGCTGCCGAATCTCGCTGACAATCAACGACTGAAATTTACACCAAAATTGAATGAGCGGAGATGATTTACCGCAACGCTGAAGTGAGTGTTGGTTTGCGCAAGGCCTTGATGGGAGGCGCCAAAATGCTTTCCAGACAATCTGCAGAGGCTCATTATACATATCAGAAGCAGCGACTTCTTTCTTCACGTACGAGATGCAAATATCTTAGAGATAGACATAGTTTCATCGATATCAGATTTTATTCTTGACAAGACCGGAGTCAAAGGAGCAGTAGCCTTTACAGTAACTCAGAATGTACCCTTCTTATTCACGTAGTCTAATGCCAGCCCAAAATACTGCTAAATCTCATCGTCACATTAAACATTCTCCCCCACTATTCAGATATTATCACACAAGCATAACTCAAATATCATTGCGTCAGATTTACGTGGCCAGGAATGATGAATGACAGGACCCGGGACAACCGACAGAATTGTCGTAACTACTGGGACATGACAGTCGCTCTCCCAACTATTGCATGTTTCGATCAACTCTGCCCTAACGACTGCAGCCACTCTAAAGGCTCGCTCTACCACACGATTCACCCTCCACCCAGTAGTTCCTCCATTCTTCCCCAGTCTTCAGTGTGAACATTCGCCCTTAAGCATTCCATTTCCGCGACTTGAACATAAACCGGACATTGAGTCCGGGGTTCCATGAACCATTAGGCAGGGAGGTCTTGATGGGTTTCCCTTCACCGTCCACAAACTTGAAGTCGTAGTGCATGATCAAATGCGCCAACGCGATCTTGATTGTGCTATTCGCAAACAGACGGCCGGGGCAAGCCATGGCGCCATCGCCCCAGCCGGGCGAATCGGCCCCCGTACTGACGAACTGATACTTATTCTCTTTCCCGGGCTCCTGGCGAATCTGATAGTACCGGAGCCCCTGGAACTCATCGGGCTTGGACCAGAGCTCCTCCGAATTGTGGATGTGATGCACGTCGACGCATATTAGGGTGCCGGCGGGTAAGACGGGACCGGTGGAGAGCTGCGTCGGAACCCCAAGGAGTCGGTATAGACCCACTAGGCATCTTGATTAGCATACCCGAGACGCAAGTGTCCAAGGAAAGTAGCACGTACGAAGGCTGAATGGATTGGCTCGCGCAGATTCCCGCATCACACTATCCATCTTGCGGAGCTCAGCCAGATGCGTCTTGGGCAGTTTCCCATCCACCAGGACTTCCCGGAGCTCTTGCCGGAGGATCTCCACCAGCTCTGGCCGGGTTGCCAGCTCCATCAGGATCAGATACAGGGCGGCCGTGCTCGACGGGGTGGACTCGAAGGAGACAGTCACGTAGTCCTGGACCAGTTGACTGAGCGTGGCCTCTTCGGGGGTGTATCGGGTCATGAGCGAGGCCGTGAAGGGGACCTTGCCGTTCTCCTTCAACTTCAACACGGACTTCTTGTCCGCGGCGGCGAGGAACTCGTGCATGTCCTGCTTGATGACCCCGCGCAGGGCCCACTTCATGCGCCACTTGGTCACGATCGCCGGCAGGAAGATCAGCGGGGCCAGCGCGGGCTGCATGATCCGAGGGAAGACGCTGATCACAAACGTGCCGGCCATGACCTCGAATGGAAACCGGCTCACGAGCTTGACCCATCCAGCACGACGCGCCAGCGGACGGCCCACCAGGCTGCATGCATTCGTCATGGCGATCATCCTCGTCACCGCGGGGAAGAGCTTCACTTCCTTCCACTCGGGACAGTAACCCAACACCTCCTCTGCCGCGGCTTTGGCATCTTCCTGCCGCGATACTGAGGTCAACGGGATGCTACGGGCCAAGTCGATGCTAATCGCCTTCAAAAGGGCGGGAGTCTCCGTTCCGGCCGTGGTATATTGACCAAAGTAGGTCTTGACGAAGAAGTCCTGCGCAGAGGCGATGTGTGGCGGAAGCTTCTTGATTTCATCGAAAGACTCCGGGGGGAACACGACGTACTGCAGGCCTTGCGTCTTGATTCTGTAGGGCGTGTGGGGATACTACCGGTTGCACATGGTCAGCGTACCGGTATAGATTCAGTCCGGCAGGAAGACAACCTACTCGGTAATGACCCTCCTCCACTAGCTGCTTGAAGTCCTTTTGATGCTGTTTGCTGCCCCCAACCAGGGGGATTCCCAAGTTCTCAAGCTCATTCTGGCCCCTCCAGAACTTCCAGACAAGCAAAATTGGGATCAATGCGGTCACTCCAGACACCACCAGCGAGACGGTGGACATGCTGCGCAGGATGCTGGCTATCATCAGCTTGAACAGTTGCCATCTGCTGAGCTGTAGCGGTGCCAGCGTCTGGCGGATGATGGTAAATTGTTCTATGATATCGAAGTCCAACATGTTGGCTGCGCAAATGGATGGATGAACAATCGAGAAAGCTTGGGGCGTAAGTAAGTATAAACCAATTCGATCGGAGCCGTTTCTCTGCGGGACATCCAATTTGGGAATCACGCTATATTGCCTCAGAAATTATTTTAGGACCATCCAACTCTCCATGTCGTGAGGGCAGTCATTATGGAAGGGAAGTACAGGATCGGTGCTCCGAACTCGGCTCCGACTCCGAGCCAACCGTACCGAAGCGTCGCCTCAGCTTACAATTGGACCCTCTCGCTAGAACAACAATTATGGAACAGGCCCTCAAGGATCAGGATTATGGAAACAGAATCGAGGGTCTCGAGGATTACACCACGAAAGCCATTTTTCGTCTGGATCAGGGCTTCGTAGAAGTAAGCTTGAAGTAAGCTTAAAGTAAGGGTGGGATGGAAGACCGGGTATTTTATCGGAATACTGATCGAAGAATGTACATAATCAATGACATTTGGTTCTAGCTCCGATTACCTCGTTTACACGTACTGATTCTTGAAGAGAGGAGAACTATCAGGAAAGTTGAGAGCCTCAGTCAACGCCACTCCTCGAAACTGCTCCAGCCCCACCGGTCCTCCACTCGAACGACTCGAGAACCCGCTCCCTCCACGCCCCTTTCCGACCAAATACTCGAAGGCAATATTCTGATGCTCGATGATGAAGGTCCAATGCTTGTTGCGCCGGGGCGACACCAGCTCGAGCTCATAGCCCGTCACCTTGTCGCGCAAGGTCCCCGTGACAGCCCCATCGTACATCTTATTCATCAAAACGTAGTCGTCCACCTCCGACGCTTCGCCGACGGTGGTGGCAAGGATCTTCTCGGAGCCGTGCATGAGTAAAACCGAGGTAAAGTCCTTTCCTCCGGCGATGCGCGAGGTGAACCGCATGTACGAGAGCGAGTAGGGCCCCGCCGTCATGCGCACCGCATTCATGGCCTTGAGGCAGGTGAACCAGTTGAACGGCGACCACAGCCGGTTGTGGCCGCCGAGGCCCTGCCAGACAAACGGCTGGTCCTTGGCCACCAGTTCCACGCGGACATCGCCCACGGGGATCGGTTCCACCCAGTGGAAATGCGGCGCGATCGCGGTGGAGGCATTCTCCGCCGGCCAGGTGGCGGCGTCCGCGTAGCGCGGCAGCGTCTTCGACTGCAGGTAGATGGTGCCCTTCAGATCCGGAGTGTCGACCTCCAACTTGACGCGACTCATGTCCTTGGCGATCTCAAAGGCGTACCGGAACCCCTCGCCCTGCCAGACGCCTTTCGTGCCATGCGGGCACGACTCCACGATCGAGTCGCTGGCATAGTCCACCCGGCCCCAGCGCGTCCCGTTGGCGTAGGCCAACTCGGCGGAAATCCGCAGGTTGCCGGTCCCCATCAGGGAGAGTCCCGGGTCCCGGTAGAGGCCGAAGATGAAGGCGTTCATGCCATCGTCGGAGACCCCGTCGAATTCCCACTGCTCTCCGCTGCTGGCGTTCAGAGGTCGGATCTTGGGGGCTTCGAAGTCGTCGAGGGGGCTGGTGGATAGCCAGATGTTGGGCCCGGACCCGGTGGTCTCGTACGCCGTAAGATGACTGGTGGTGCAGGTTTCCGGGGTGGCTGTCTGGTCTTGAAGCTGTGGAGTCCAGTTGATCGGCCAATTTTGGGGGAAGTTGTACTCCCAGCCCTGAACATGGCTCAGAGCCGGTGCGAGGAACAAAACAGAGAAGAGTGTTCGTGCATTAACCATGTTTTCTGTGCTGGCTTTATCAGATGATTTCGTGAAGCGTCGAGATTTATTTTGCTCAAACGAACAAGTCGAGGAAAGACTATAGCGTGAGGAGGTAAGGTATTCGCAACGATGGCGATCGGTGCCAGGTGTTTAGTGTATAGTAGTGTAGTAAATAACGAATCGGCCTCGGGCATCGCCCCGATTGACCCCCGAGCCCTAATCCCAGTCTTTCGGTCCGACCCTCCATCTGCCTATATTTCTCCCAGAACTCGACGCAGGGAATTCAGTTTCCCATCGCAGCCATGACAATCACCCAGCTCCCGTCTAATCTTCCTCGATCTCAGACCGCCATTCTGCAGACGGACGGTGGGCGGCTCGAGATCACCCACAATGTCCCGCTGCCCCATGTACCCCCCGATCGCATGCTCGTGCACGTGATCGCCGTGGCCCTCAATCCGTGTGACTATAAGATGCCCTCGCAGTTTCCCTGCAAAGGGGTGGTGAATGGGACCGACTACGCGGGGATCATCGTCGCCATCGGGCCCGAGGTCGCCCGACTTCCTTCGCGACCGCGCTGGAAGATCGGAGATGCGGTGTTCGGGGCGTGTCAAGGGGCGAACGCGATCGACCCCGAATCGGGCTCCTTTGCGCAGTACGTTCGTTCCGATCCGGAACTGCTGTTCAAGAAGCCAGAATACATGGGGTGGGAGAATGCGGCGGCGTTCGGGGCCAGTGGGATCGCCACCATCGCACTGTCTCTCTTCTGGGAGGGGGGCATGGGACTCGCTGGCAGTCCGGACGAACCGGCGGAGGAACCGGAGCAGGTTCTGGTCTATGCTGGAAGCACTTCGGTCGGTACATTGGCTATCCAGCTGTTGAGAATGTACATTGATGCCCCCCTCTTTCCCTGTGATTGCGGCCTACCCCTTTCTCTGACGCAGTGTGAATGTAAAGATATGGTCATACTCCGATTACCACCTGCTCTCCCCGGAACTTTGATCTGGTACGCTCCTACGGGGCAGAAGAAGTCTTCGACTACAACCTCCCAACCTGTGGCCAGGACATACAGAACTACACGAACAACAACCTAGAACTGGTGCTCGACCCGATGACGGAAGCCAAAACCCAACGGCTCTGCTACCAGAGCATTGGCCGCGGCGGGGGCAGATACATCGCACTGGAGATGTGGCAGCCCATGAATCACACACGTCCAACGGTCGAACCGACCTTCATCATGGGATCCGCGATCATCGGCAAAGAAATCCCCTTGGGCAACGGATATGGGAGTGAGGCCGACCCGGGAAAACGCCAGTTTGGGATTCAGTACTATCGGCAGATCCAAAGACTCTTCGATACGCAGCGGCTTAAATCACACCCCATCACGGTGGTGGAGGGCGGTTGGCAGGGGGTCTTGGACGGGCTAGAATTGCTACAATCGAGGACCTTGTCGGCGCAGAAATTGGTGGTATTCTTGGGAACTCCATGAAAGCTGCAAGGAAAGTAGGCACAGGCTGTTAGCATTTGGCCAGAGAGAATACAATGCAGACCCTTATACTCAATGAGATATTTCCTTTCCCCCTAGGCCGGAGTACATACCATGAATATCAGTCGTAATAGCCCAATCGGAGCTGGGAAGATGAAATCGGTGGACAACCGAAACTTGTCGGAATCCCTGCCCGAAGCCAGAACGCTACGCAATCGGCTTGATCTGGCGTGGTAAGGTCTGTTCGTGAAGTCAGGCAAGGGCTGAAAGATAGATATACCCGAGGTAGTCATTGATGACGTTCAACCAGCCTACCCTCCGGCTGTGGAACCATCTCACTGCACGGAATATCGCCATTAGACACCATGACGTGGACAATCTATCTCAGCCTCGCTGTAGCAGCCGGCATTCTCTGTCACTCGTTGATCTCCAGCCGCATCCTGCGACGCCAGCGAGACCTGTCTCATATTCCATTGGTCAGATTCCACCACGATGATACGCAGGCGAGCTACATTGCGCGAACCAGGGAAATCATGCACCAGGGTTATGTGGAGGTCTGCGTCGCTCTCTCGTATTGTCCTTTCCCGCGCTAACGCACCAGGCAATCCTAGTATAACAAAAAAGGCATGGCGTTCCGAATCCGGAATCCCGTGGATGAGGGAAGTCCCCAAGTCATCATGGCCAAGAGATACTTGGACGAGGTGAAAAATGCATCGGAGGAACAATTGAGCTTCCCATTATACTCCATTCAGGTGAGATAGGAGCCCTCGCATTTCCGGATCCACTGAAGGAGCGACCATGTTGAGAATCCGCCCTCATAGGCATTTCTCCTGAAATACAGCGGGTCGGTACTCCCATCAGCTGCAGCCACGCATGTCACTCGCATTGACCTGAACAAAAACCTGGGTATGTGCGGAGTATACATTCCCCACATACATGGATACTATACTGACGGGGTGATCCAGGGGAATTGGTAGAACCCATGAGAGAAGAATGCCTTGACACCCTCCGAGTCGTCATTCCCGAAAGCAAGGGTGAGTCAAGTCTACAGTCCGGGAAGAAGAATAAAAGGATATGCTGATTCTCTGCCAACCCTCCAAGACTGGACGCTTCTAAAACCTTGGGACACGTTCGTCCCGCTCATCTCGCGCATGACTGGCCGGGTTCTGGTCGGCCCTACGCTCTGCAGTAATCCGGAATGGATCCAGCTGACGATTGCCAACACGGCGGGGATCATGAAATCGGCGATGGAGATTCGTGCATCCTACTCCGCACGGTGGCAGTGGCTCGCTCCCTGGACCTACCGGGGGCGAAATGACCTCCGGAAGCTTCGCAAGAGGGCGACAGAGCTGATCGAACCGCTCTACCGTGAGCGCCTTGCTGGCAAACAGCCTGCCGACCCCGAACAGAAACACCGGGATGCGGTGCAATGGCTCATTGAGGGCCATCAGACCGAGACCGAGAAGGGGATCACCTCGGCTGAGATCGCGGACGGCCTCTTATTCTTGTACATGGCCGGCATTCACAGCACCAGCGCCACGGTCGTCTCCATCATGTACGACTTGCTGGCCCACCCGGAAGTCATCCCCGAGCTGCTGGAGGAGATCCATCAGGTACAGACGGAATCCCCGCAATGGTCGAAGCAAAGCCTGGCAAAGCTACGCAAGTTGGACAGTTTCATGAAGGAGAGCCAACGCCTTCACCCGGCCGGGTTCGGTAAGCGACCTCGTTCCCTCCGCAGGAGGTGGTCCGGAAAGATCCCTGATCAATGACATGAACAGTCACGGTCCAGCGCTCCACGGTTCGGCCCTACACCTTCCAGGATGGCCTTCAACTCCCGGCCAACACCTTCCTGATGTTTCCGACGTACGAGTTCACCCACGACGGCGAGACGTACCCGAATCCGGAGCAATTCGATCCGTGGCGCTTCTACCGCATGCGGACGGAAGGCGATGCCACCAAATTCCATTTCGCCACCGTGTCGAATGATTCCACCAACTTTGGGGCGGGGTTCCATGCTTGCCCTGGGCGCTTCTTTGTGGCGCATGAGCTCAAGATTATCCTGACCGAGCTCCTGCTGCAGTACGACTTCAAGTTTGCCGAGGGCACTGCACGGCCCCCGGATCACTACCATGATTTCACCGTGATTCCCAATCAGCAGGCGCAGCTGCTGGTTCGCAAGAGACAGGAGCGCAAGCAGTGAGCATAAGTGCAAGTATCTATAGTTATGCTTCCCGGGTCCTAAGCAACTGCGACGGGCAGTGGGGGGAAAGATCGGCGCATGCAGGGTTATCGTGTATGTAGTTTGCTTGTATCCGATTTCAAATCATCTCGCCTGAGCACGGCTCACAGCCAACGAGTGGTTGGAGTAGGCATCGTGGGCATGCAATCGCGTGACGTACCGCCTTGACCTCGGTCTCTTGACCACGTTCATCACAAACATCTCGACCCAGCGTAGGCAACGACACAGGCATCACTGCGCAGAGTCGCATCGCATATCTAGTGATCCCTGCTTCAAGAAACATTAGTGAATGCCGGCATAGCCGTGGTGCTGTAGTGCGATATGCATGACCACGTAACTGAGGCCGTAGGTTCGACGACGTCTCGGAACAGAATACTCATTAGAGCTATATCAACTTCTGATATTAAAGCTTGATGATCAGACGGATCTAGTCAACTAACCTTTGAACCTTTTCCGTGAACATGAAGGTGGAATGGTTGGCTCGTGCGGGTGGCTGATTGGCCTTCTCTGGAGACAAGGTAGTAATTCACGGCCTTCGGCAGCTCTGGAACTCCGGAGTAAGAGGCAAACATCGCGTAACAACTTATCGTAAGGCTGTCCGGGGGGCCAAATGAGGGGTTTCGATGAGTCAGACAGGATCCCTGTGTCTTCCATCCCCCATTATTGGAGGAGGAGGAGAAACCGAGTCCCTCCGTACCTCCACATCCCAGCTTCACAGTCACCGTACGGGATGAGGGTGAATGAAGTATGATAAGAAAGTCAACCCCGTTCTGCATCCTCTAATTTTGTAATCTCCAGCGCTCGCAGCTTGCAGATAGTGGCTTCGAGTGAATGGCGAGTCCTACAGAATGGAGCGATCCGGGGATGAGGAGGGGGGATTGTGGGTCACGACCTGCAGTAGCCCTAATTTAGTGCCTTTAGTGTCTGCCTGGCAATTATGTACCAGTGAAGGAGGGGGTCCTGCAGGCTGCACAATCCATTTCTCTTTTTTTTTCTTTTCTCCCCAGCTCCCTTCGCCCTCCTCTCACTACGCACCACGCTTTGGGGCGCTGGACAGCGTCTATCATTTCCATTGATGGACCTCACTGCATGCTGACATACAGTATACACGGTACCCTCGATTTCGAGCTCCCCATCAAGGCCCAGATGCGGCTGGAATCCGGAGATAGCAATTAGCTTAGCTACATGAGGAGCAGTGCTGCGGAGTAGTCCGCCAGTGAGGGCGACGCCCACGCCACGGTCTCTCACCTCGGGGAAGAGATTCCTACTTAAGTCGGGACATGAATGCGAACAAGCCAGCATCTCCAACGGGACTTGAATCCGTTTACCTAATCCCCCCTTGCGCCGTGATGAACCCTGAAGCTCGTCGAATTGCGTGCGACCGATGCAGAGGCCAGAAGCTGCGGTGTGTGCGCTCGTATAGACCCGGGGTGCTCAGCGCCTGCGAGCGCTGTCTCAAAGCCGGAGCCGAATGCACCAACAGTCTGTCGGATGCTCAGCGCAAGATGCTGGAGGCCCGGCAGCCCCAGTCCTTGCGTCTGCCCCCCTCCTCTTCTGCGACGACTTTTCTCGATCCGCGATCAGTGGTCCCCGAGGTGGACACATCCCCGGTCTATGAATCCATTCCATCCGTCCCAGCCAAGCGAAAAGTAACCCAGCCTCTCGTCCAGCAGGCACAATATCTTTCGGCAGTTCATCCGGCTGCAGATTACAGCAGCCGTCACATATCCCATTACAGACAACCGCCGTCCGATCCGGCCCGGACGGTGGCTGGTCCAAACCCAGATGCATCGAAGCCGACAACCATGGATTTTGGGGTAGAGTCGTTGGTGGACTTCGAGCTCAACGATCAGGGAAATGGACATTTCATGGACACTTGCATGCTCTTCGATGACCCCAAGGGGATCACCACCCCCTCGGGTCCGAGTGTCGCTCCCTCCTCCAAGGCAGGATCCACCTCCGCCAGCCAGGAAGCGATCCAGAACGACACGACGAGCTCCCCAGCGGTGCCGCTGGGAAGTCGAGAGGATTGTCTCCATTGCCTGTCGGAATTGAGCTCCCAAATCCTGCGAGACTCCAACAAGATGAGAGGGATGCCTCTGCCCGACATCTTATCGTTCTCAGCGTGGCCGGACAAGCGAAAAGGGCAGACCCAGCCCGGGTTACAGAACAGCATCGGACGACTCTTTGACCTGACCCAGGCGTTTGTGAACATCCTGCAGTGTCTCCAACTCACCATCACCATATCTACAGAGCCCCCGTCTCTAACATCCGCCACAGCTCCTGCCTCCGCCGCATCTTCGCTCCCTGTCCAGCCGCGCTCGCCGCACACCCCGTCGAATGATTCAGACTGCTCCTATTCGGAATACTGGGAGGAGCCCATGCACCATAACCCCAGTGGGCGGGCCGGCAGCACGACGAACTCGATCTCGCTGCTGGGCTCGCTTCCAGACGCTCCTGTCCCAGAGGCAGGGGGGCCAGCCTCAGTCCATGTATCCACCGCCGCTGCCACCAACGTGGATATGCCCACCACGTTAACGATTCTCACCTGCTACATCTGGCTCCTCCATGCGTACGGCACCATCTTCCACCGCATTCACGCGGCCTGTCACGCCGAATTGCCCGCCTCCCTGTCGCCTTGCTCTGTCTTCTCGTCCTTATCTTCTTCCTCTTCCTCCTCGTCCACCACCTCGTCGTCCTCCTCCTCCGCGCCGCAGCAAACCCAGAGATCGGCTACCACGTCCTCTTCACCCAATTCCTCCTCCGGCCCGGGACCCAGCAGTCAACTCGTCCCCTCGGTGCTCCCGGGCCTCCAGATCGGCGGGTTCGACCTGCACAGCCACCGCGACTTTCAGCTGGAGATCATCCTGCACCTCAGCGCCAAGATGCTGGGACGGATAGAGAAATTGCTGGGAATCTCACTGGTCTCCTCCCCGGCCCCGAACGCAGCGCCGGAGGAGAGGTTCCGGACCGGAGACACCGGGCGGACAGGCCCGGGAAGCAATGAGGGAGGGAAGACGGGGGATCGGGGCATTCTGGATACCGCCTCGGCGACCGCGTTGCTCGAAGTGATGGTGAAGCAGAACGATCAGGGCTATATGAAGGAGGTTAATGGTGGGGCTGCCTCCGTGAAGCAGACTTTAGATGACATCCGGAAGATCTTACAGCGTGTCCCGTAAGGGGAGGAAGGGGGAGGTTGGGCACATAGTGTGCTGGAGGCGCTGTGCGGTATTTGCTGACATTCGTAGAAAGGGTGCACACGCCTGCAGGGCACAGGCAAATCGAGTACTCTATTTTTATGCAGCAGGAATGACTTGATGTGGTCTAGAGAGAAATTACAGGATGGCATATATGGGTATGAAGATTGCCAAATCCAAACTGATTTAATTTGACGAAGTCTGAAGCATTGAATGCGATTAAAACCCCCCGGACATCCATGAACCCCAGGTTGAGCACCTTTCCAACACGTTATGCAAGCCCCCCAGCTACTCTCCTTTCCTTTAGTCCAACTGTGCCTTGCAGAACTCCTTAATCTCGGACCAGACCCGTTGTTGCAGGATCTTGCCTTCCTCGCTCGTGACCATCACGCCGGGTCTATCACAATCAAGCCCATGACCATCAGCAAACAGGCCTAATATCTCGATACCTTATACGAGAACAACAAGAGGGGATCACTCACTCAGCCAAGACATCATTCGACCAGAACTTCCCATGGCCGTCCCGGCCCAACAAGGTCGAGCTGACCAAGGCGCGACTCCCTTCCTCCGCGGATCGCGCACAGTACATGTGCATCAGCTTCGTCGGCAACACGACATACCAGGGGAAATCCCTCCCCAGCTCCGTCGAGCACAGGCCCGGACAGGCGACATTGACCGTCACCTCGGGGTCGGTCTCGCCGCCCGCGTAATCCCGGACCAGACCCTGCATCACATACATTGTCAACAGCTTCACCACCGCGTACGAGGTCTCGACATTGAAGAACTGCGGGGAGTTGATTGCCGCCAGCACGCTCTCGCCCGGCCCGACCGAGGGCAAGTCCTTCGCCGTCAGGTACAGGTGGGCAAAACTGCCGGTCAGGGTCAAATGCGCCGGGCGGTCCCCGGGGTTCGTGGCCGCCGCGGTGGTGGCCTTGAGGATGGGCATGAGGAGGATCGCGAGCAGGGCAGTGGAGAGGAGATTGACCTGGAGGGCCGCCTCCCAGCCGGTGGAGGGGTTGACATGGTACGCCGAGGGGGCGATGCCTGCGTTGAGCACGGCCACGTTCACCGTGCGGATGTTCGCCTGCGCCAACCGGCCCGGGAAGGCCTTGACGGAGGCAATGTCACTCATGTCGAGCGGAAGGACGAGGATCTGCGTGCTCTTTGGCAGGGAGGGGACGGTTGCGATGATCTGGCGTTTCGCTTCCTCGCCCTTGCTGGGGGTGCGGACTGCGAGGATCAGGCGTGAGGCCCCCATGGCGGCGAATTTGACAGCCGCCTGATACCCCAACCCCGTGTTCGAGCCGGTTATCAGCACCGTCTTGCCGACCAGGCTGGCCTGAGGGTCTTTCGGGGGATTTTTGGCGGCCCAGCGCATGGCTCCCATCTTACTGAGTCCCTCGGGAGGGCCAGGGCCCAAGAGGGCTTGGACTTGCGGGTCTGTCGGAGGCATGGCGATGATGATGATGAACAGGAGGTTTGTAGGTAGCTTAGATGGTGGAATCACACTCAGGTCCGGCTTTATGAGAGCTCGTAGTCTATGTTTTGAGGGAGTGGGTTTCACTACGGTCTAAAAAGGGGGGGGGGGGCAGGGGGGTAAACCTGGGGGGCTATGAATTCACGTGGCACACAGAACAAAGAACAGTCTCACAGTCTAAGCCTCGCTCCTCCTGACATCTCTGCAAGTGGCTTGGCCATGCGTTAGCAACACCATCGAGTGGTTAAGTAGCACGGTGGTGTGAATTCAACCTCTTCCATACAAGACCAGCTGAGCCGCACTCCGATTCGTTGCTCCGAAATCGGAAGTCGGGCCGAATAATTCGGAGATGCCAGTCAGACCCCGGTTTAGGGCTCCACCAGCCATGCAGGGAGTCCCCTTCAGCTGCAATCCTCACCTACCCTTACCACCTGGTTCGTCTGATTATCACGATGGAGGAGGCTGTAGGATCTCACTCAGACTCAGGCCTGAATCCTGGGAGAGAACTGCTCTTTTCGCCCCCAAACCACAGCCTGATGACGGAGGGAGCACTGTTGAGGGAGGAGTATATATAATCTTGCGTAGATGTAGAGCATGACTTTGTCGATTCTATAAGCTATCGATGCAAGATAGACGGAATCCCGAACGCGCAGCGATGTCATCTCATCTGTATCTCTTGATGTTGGCTTTGTCGGCTCTTCCTAGTCCAGTCGCGGCCGACAACAAGACCCAACCCTGGACCTGGACCACGCTTAATGCGACACTGCAGGGTCGATTGCATACCGCTAGTCCTCTGGCACGACCCTGTTTCAGCAGGTATAATGGTCAACCAATCCTCCCCGAGCCTAGCCAGTGTTCGGAGTTGCAAGCCCACTACACCTCGTCGGCGTATCGCACCGAGTTCTACAGCGGCTTCATGCACGACCAGAACGAGATCTGTGCTGCCTCAACCCATGCGAATGCCAGCCAGTGTCTGCTGGATCCCTCCGATCCGACCGATCCGACCGCCGTGAGCGCCCACGAGTGCGGTCAGGGCAGCGTGTCGCGCTTCTACATCCCTGTCACCGAAGCCGCCGATGTCCAGGCCGCGTTCGCCTTCTCCCGCCACACCGGGGTGGCGCTAAGCGTCAAGAACAGCGGCCACGACTACAGCAGCCGCAGTAGTCTGCGAGGATCCCTCGCCCTGTGGACGCGTCCGTTGCAGAAGCTGGAATTCCACCCCGCCTTTGTCCCCGAAGGCTGCCCCTCGTCCGCAGCGGCCGCCGCCATCACGGCGGGGGCGGGCATCAACTTCGACCAGGTCTACCGCTTCGCCCACGACCACAACGTGACCGTCCTCGGGGGCTCGTCCCCCACCGTGGGCGCATCCGGGGGGTTCATCATGGCCGGCGGGCACGGGCTGCTCTCCGCGCAGCTCGGACTGGGGATCGACCGCGTGCTGGAGTTCAAGCTTGTCACGCCCGACGGGGTACTCCGCCGGGCCAACGCGTGCCAGAACCGCGATCTCTTCTGGGCCCTGCGCGGCGGAGGGGGAGGGAGCTTTGGGCTGGTGTTGGAGTCGACCAGTCGCGTCGAGCCGCGCCTGCCCATTGTCTTCGCGTATCTCACCGTGCCTGCCAACGCGACACAGCTGGACGGCTTCACGACGCTGCTGATGCAACATGCGGTGCGCTGGGCGCAGGACGGCTGGAGCGGGCCCAACGGGATGGACTATATCGCCATGGCCAACCCGGTCCTCGACCTGGCGGCGGCGCGGGCCTCGCTGGCGAAGGCGATTGCGTATGTGAATGCGCAGCCCGGGGGACAGGTGGTGGTGGCCGAGTACCCGGATTTCCTGTCCGTCTACGAGGCATTCATCCTGCCTGCGGCGAATGAGGGCATCGGCGAGGCCACCTTCGCCACCAACCGGTTGATCCCAACCGCGATGTTGCAGGATGCCGCCGGCCAGCAGCGCATTCTGGAGACCTTGAATCAGTTGATTGCCGAGGGGTATACGCCCACGCTCTTCGCGACTCCGCCGTCGGCCATCCATCCCCCTTATGTGCCTGGGTCGACCTCGGCTACGCCGGCCTGGAGGGACAGTACGTGGATGATTTCCACCGAAGCATCCTGGCAGTGGAACAGCACGGTGGCGGAGAAACGGGCCTTTGTGCAGCGGTTCAAAGCTGTCACCCGACGCCTGGAGGCGCTCGCGCCGGGGAGTGGCGCCTATTTCAGTGAGGCAGACGCGTTCACGGAAGACTGGCAGACGGCCTGGTGGGGGACCGAGAATTATGCCCGGCTGCTCCGGATCAAGAACCAGTACGATCCAGAGACGCTGTTACGGTGTTGGCGCTGCGTGGGCTGGCGTGAGGAGTGGGAGCAGCCGGGGGGTCAATTCGAGTGTCTGGGGGGACTGGACGTCTGATAGAGATGATGATGATAGATAGATACATGGATCGATAGATAGAATGTAAGGTCGATGCGCGTGCATCAGGATAGATAGCACTTTTTGATAGAGCCCTGGACCTGCCATGATTGGTGGGCACCTCATCGCTTTGGCATTATGTGCAGTGAGTTATTCAAGATAGACATAAATCTTCTTTCATACACTTGTCAGATTATGAGCTCTTTACTTAGTTAACTCTCAATCTATTCATACAAATATCGATTTTATTACTGTCTGATTCCAAATAGTCTTAAGAATATTATAGTTCTTTTGGTTATTTTCTCAATAGAAGATATGACCGACGTGAGCAGCAATTAGGGCTTTTCGCAAGATACCCCCGAATCTGGCCAGTCCGCTCGCAGACTTGACGATTCCACCCAGTAACATGGGTCAACACACTTGATCCTGTTGTGAAGCCAGTGCGATTGGCGAGAATGGAGAACAGATGCGATGATCTATGACATCTCCAGCACTGTTCTTGCCAAGTACAGTATCAATTGAACAGCAGGTACGTACAGACTTTGTAGTTGTCATATTGGGCAGAGATTGGGTACTTGGCGCATTAATACCGAGATTACTGCCACGACTGAGCCAAATTCGCCAGAAAATCTTCGATCAGCCTTGAATCATCACCGATCATAATATACCCGGGCTCTGGAGGAGTGGACGCCGCCGGGATCAACAGCCAGGCATGATTCGGCGCGCAAACTCGACTGCTGCTCGTACCCTGCTTCACAGACGGAAAGCAGTTCTTGCAGATGTCTGCTGCACAGACCCGACACTTATTGCACGACGCACAACTGTCATACTCTTCCGTGCAGACATCACAGTACCAACTCCACCTACCAGGCTCGTCGTCCGAAGATTCAAGTCCGTCGACGCTGAGGTGGTGTGCATCGCTGATGGCGTGGAACAGAGCAATAGAATTGGCATCATCCTCCGCTGTGACTAAGAATGTGGTCAGCTTGTAGAGTCTATTTGCGCGCCACTTGAAATCGATTTCCTCGATGCCAGCAAGAGATATCTTGACATAAGGCCTGAAATATCGCCTGGCCTGCTCGGTATCTCCATGATCCAGAAACCAACGCCCCAGATAAAGGCCCGCTCGATTCGCGATAAATGTCTCACTATTTAGCGGGGACTCGAATAACCATTTCGCTTGAGTTGTGGTTTCATGTAGAAATGTTTCAGTGTTGTGATGATCTCGTAACGCATCCATAAAGAGTTGATAGGCATAGCAGGACTCAGCCCTCTCTCTTGCATGCGTCATCTCCCAGTGACCGTCCCTGTCCACCTCCACTCGTGGCAGAGCCAAAATCCTTTGCCAAATCGCCATGGCCTTGCGCGGTTCATCCCTGAATCGACTGTAGAGCTCAGCTAGGCAGAGGTCGAGACTCACCACAACATGAGACCGCAAGTCGCGAACCCCGATAGCCCTGGCACGAAGAAACTGATTCACCAGCCAGTCTACCTTCCCCGTGGCGTGCGCGGCCGTCGCAATAGCCGGGAAAAAGCGACGGTGAATCCCCTGATCCTGAGTCAAACAGAAATCCAAGATAGTATCCTCGTGATCGCGAGCGGTTCGATCCATCGCTTGTAGAAGCTGGATGATCATGGTGGGATTGCGGTGTGGTGCTCTACTTAATTTGCCAGACAGTCGCTCGACCAGGATTACAACTCGTACACTGAAGACTTCCAACTGTAGTGCGGAATGAAGCCAATGCGCCGACTCCAGGGGGTCGTCCTCTGGTTCGTATAGCTCCGCCAAGGTCAATCGCAGGCTAGCAAGTTTGTATGGCGATACCATGATGGGACGATCTGAATCCGGGTATTCGGGCTCTTCCTTGGCCAGGAACAGTCTCGTGTATAGTGCCTCGGCTTCGAGATGCATTGTGATTGCCTCGTCTCGCTTGTTTTGTTTCAGGTAGATGCGAGCGATATCCAGACTGGCCCCCACTGATTGGGGCTGCAGACGTAGCGACATGTCGGCGTGATATTTCGCCTCGTCGAGATGGCCGAAATCGGACAGGCAGTTCCCGACTCGTTCATGCCACAATGCATTTTCTTCCACTTTCGTCCACCGCGCGACCTCCAGTACCGTTTCTGTATTCGGTATCTCGTGCAGGATCTCGAGATCCTTTCCCTCAGATATCAGTTTAACGGCCCACACCAGACGGAAACAGTTCGAGGCAGACCATATGGTCTCCTCCAGCCACGACTCGGCGCCATACTTGGCCAAGTCCAAGAACAAGCCCCCCGAGGTTTGGCGAGCCGATTTGAGCCAAACGCACATCTCATCATCTGTAGGCAAGTCGGAGCAGGCATCATCATGCAAAAGCCTCTCAACGAGTCGAAAGTCCCCGGAGGCGAAAAACTCCCAGTGGATGGGGTTCAGACAATGCACAGTGTCTGGACTCGCGAGCGCCCTGCACAGCAATGGTCCCATCTCACGCTTCTCAGAGGCATCGATCAGATCCTGGCTCATCAGCTGCCGCACATGTTTCCGCCAATGATTATGTGCATAAATGATCAAGGATATTCGTCCGGCCGGGTCTTCGTTCTCGGCAGAAACTTCCTGAAATAGCCGTAGGCAGTGTGTTAGAATGTGTTTCTGAGCCTCAACGATATTGACACCGACAGGCATGGAACTGGAGACATCAGACACTTTCCCATACCCAGGATTGCGCAAGTATTCGCCAATCGAGGCGTGCCGGAACACCACCCGTGTGGTGTCCTTGTTGGACTGGAACTCAGATATGATCGCATCGCTCGCTGGGCCCTGCAGGAAGTAGGCTGCAGCGTCCGTACCTTGAAGGTCTGCCGTCGTGAGGCCGTCCTCACGAAGTACCAGAAAGAACGAAGCATACTGAATTCGCAACATCGTCTCCAGATCAAAGACCCCATCGCCCCCCAGCGAGTCATACTGCAGGATGAAGTCCAGTTGGCGCAAGGTTAGTGGGACGTCGGAGCAGGCCAGCCAGGCAAGCATCGTATTCAGATTTTCCGCTTCTTCTTTCTCCAGCTTTGAGCTGAAGCCCCTGAGGACATGCTCCAACATTTCGTCCAGGCCTTTGGGCGCTTTTGTCAGGCTCTCCAGCATGCTACTCGCTCTTGTTTTGCGGCTCAACTCGCGGAGCATCAGATCTGCCCACAGGAACATCCCCTGGGATTTCTCCATCAGTTTGTCACGAATCGACGATTCCAGATCTCGAGGAATGCGACTCAAGACACGAGACTTTTGCATGGTGATGTCTATGAATGTTCGGATGTCGGCCGAGTTCTTGACTGCGTCTACCTGGATGCAGGGTATCTGTCCGATCGCGTCTGCGAGCTCTGCGTAGATCTCAGGTCTGCCCACCAAGAGAACCTTGATTGCAGAGCCTACCACCCATTAGTTGGACCTACGCGAAGAATTCCTTGAGCACTGACCACTGCATGAAGCTACATCCGAGAGCAGCTCAAAGAACTGCTCCCGATCATCCTGAAAAGCTTCGTCCAGACCATCGAATACCAGAATCATGGTTCTATGTGCTCTGTGCGCCAAGGCGAAGCACTGGGAGTAAAGCGTCCTCCATGCACTGCGGATGGTCTTGATTTCATCGGCAGAGCTGATCTGAGCTTCGAGGTACGCTTGATAAGAGGCGTCAACTTGGCAAACCTGCCAGGCGCAGTCCCGCAATGCCTGACTCACAGACTTCGTTTCGGTGTCGCTGTTACTGAAGAAGAAGTACGCGACCGAGCCAGTGTTTCCCTCTCTCGTTTTCTGCAGTTCGTTCAGCTGGTGGATGACATGCTGCGAGAGAACCGACTTTCCACATCCCGGGCTTCCACAGATCGCCAACAGGGGTGCCTCCCCGTCCACAGCCATCCACTTCCGGAACAAGGGCTCAGCAAAAATCCAATCCGCGGTCCCGGATACTCTCTTCTTTGCCAGGCTTTGATACGCATCCAGCGGATGCACTGAGGGCTTGAGAATCTCCCGGAGTCTCGCGATCGACATCTCGCCCTTGGCTGAACCCGCTGCTATCGTCTCCCTGACCTTGTGCATCTCTTGCTGGAACTCATTGCGAAAGGTTGCCTGCCCCAGAACCAAAGTTCCCAAGTCCTCGCTGACCTTGTCCATCTGATGCGCTGTACGCTTGGTCTCCGCCCATGTCTCCGCCGCAACCAGTCGATTCTCGCTCTGGCACAGCTTCTCCAGCTGGTCCAGCAGTCCTTGCAGCTTGTTGTCGCGACCGAGGAGCGCGTTCTTCGCGAACGTCAAGGTGCGCCCCAGAGTTCCACTGCGGATGACCTGCGCGGAGCGACCGAAGACTTCTAGTAGTATCACGAGGACATTCATCAATGTGGTGCGTAGCTCAGGTGTGACTTGGTTCACGAGGTAGATCTTGAGCCGCGCTAGAAAGTCCTGCGTCTCGGTTCTATGTCAGCATCACATTCGAACTGTCTTTCAGCGCGGAGTTTGTTCGAGGGACCTTCAGAGTTTCTAAAAGATCGACGATGGAATCATAGAAGGAAGATACCCCACGCGCCGCATCAATCAGTAACAGCAACGCGTTGAAGCATGCGGAGCTGGGCGCGAAAACCAGCGAGGCGCCCGTGGAGACAACATTGCCGACCAGCTCGATCGGTGTACACAATGCCTTGAGATTGTGAAATAGCACGGATCTCTTATCCCGAAAAGATAGAAAGTCAGAGTTTCTCGCGTCCAGCAGGGTGAGCAGCTCGTCAGCTGAGGCGGGGCTGGGGACTGCGGGGCTGTCGAGGTTATGGCCGGTCACGGACTTATAGCGCACTTTGGCCTGATTCCAAAGGTGATCAAAGTGATTGGGTTGAGCCATGAATCGAGATTTGTTGAGGAGTTAGGGCTCGCGAGACCGGGGGAAAGAGTGGCAGGTGGAAGTGCGCATCAGAAAGCTTCCAGGGAGTTTGGGGAATGAATGAATGCGGGGTAGGAGAATCAAGAAGTGTAGAGAAGTGACTAAAAGTAATTAGAGTAACTAAAGTAACTAGCGTGACTAGATGGGATAATGCCATGCACATAATCCTCGCTTATCCTGCACGGGACCTACATACACATACAATCACAGAAATACATCGATCGTGCACTCGCTTACAACAAGCTCATCCCAAACACTGCGCACAGCTGCGTACGATAGTTTGTGGCCCGAATAGCACACATGCATCTCGGAGAATCTCATGATATATGCTAATAGATTCGAGATTATAATATAATTGATAATACTGGTGTATTGAGATAATATCTACACAGATATTTCAGATTCAGTAATACACCTAAATTTTAATAGTTATAACTACAATTATAAACGGTAAGTATTGAATAATCTATGTATACTAAACAAGTTTCATATTCTAGAGCTTAAAAGTTTTCTCTAATAGAATACAATTGAGGCTGTGCTTATTGTCACGTGAGGCTGACATGGGGGGATGAGGGGTTGAGGTTGAGGTTGAAGTCCATCCTGAAGCCATATTTCAATCTTCCACATGACCAGCAACAGTTCAAGGCAACGTGGTTTAGGTGCATGAAACAAAGAAAAGGAAGAAAGAAAGAAAATAAAACCAAATGGCGGATCCCATTTCCATAACCTCGATCATCATTGACATTAGCGACCTTATCTCTCGCCTCTTAGCCTATGCCAAAGGAGTCCGCCAAGCGGCTGCTGATATCCGACGATTGAGCGAGGAGCTTTTTGCTCTGAACGGGGTTTTAGAACATCTAAAGTCGCAATATGAGGGGCCTCCTACGTTGATGAGATCAAGAGCCTCGGCGGATATCCCAGAATCGCTGAGAAACACCCTCAGAGAAACCAATGAGTCCGTTCAAATGTTGCTTGACGACCTGAAGCAACCAACAACCAGACTCAAAAGAGTCAAGCAGCAACTGGCGTGGCCATTCACCCGGACAGAATACGATGCCCATTTGGCCCGCCTCGAAAGGGTCAAATCGTGGTTAATCCTCATAATCACAAGTGATAGCCATTCAGTTCAGAGGGATTTGCAGGCCGATATCGCAGACCTCGCGAGGACCCTAAAAACAGACCTCCACCTACGTAGGGACGAAAAGTCCAGCGCTGCGCACAAAGATTTGCTTCAGTGGTTGGTTCCTGTTAGCCCTGTTGATCTGCATCATCAAGCCTCCAAAGCGCGAACGGATGACACAGGAAGATGGTTTCTCGATCATGCCTTCAAGGACTGGCTTCAATCTGATGTCCTGAACCACAGACTCTTTTCTCTGTTGGGTAAATGTACGTATCAGGCTCTATCACCGACAAGCTCTGCTAATTCGGATATACAGCTGGCATCGGAAAAACGACTCTATTGTAAGTCTTCACACTAGTCCAACGACCCTGTGCTGATATACATCAGTTCCCACATCGTCGACGAACTAGTCGCGCTCTCTGCAAAAGACAACAATCTGATCTTCGCCTATTTCTACTGTAAATTCGGTGATGCTGCTTTCCAGGAGCCAGTGAATATCTTAGGATCGCTCGTGGTGCAACTTTCGACATGGGATCCCTCCGTATTGGAGACCATCTGGCCACTATACGAAGCGACAGCAAAGTCGCATCTGCACAGGCAGCCGATTGCCATTAGTGCGCTGGAGGATGCTCTCATCAAGCACACATTTGATGACCGACGTGTCATTATCCTGATTGATGCAATCAATGAGAATCCACATCACGAACAGCTGATACATGCGCTAATGAGGATTGCGACTCATGCCAAAGACTTGCGAATTCTTATGATGAGCACAACAGACCTCTTGCCTGGAAAGACTTGCACGATACATATGAACGCCAGTCTCGTTAGACATGATATTGACAAGTTCATACCGTTAAGGCTTCAGCAAGACAACATCCTCAATAGTCTCAGCCAGAAAATGCAGCATCACATTTGGGAGACTCTTCTGGCAGGTGCCGATGGATCGTAAGTTGCAGAAACTGTGACTGTTCCACGGATGCTAACCGATGTGATCGCAGCTTCCGATGGACCCAGCTTTCTTTGGATAATCTCTCTACACTTAGGACTGCAAAGGCCATTCGGGAAGTACTGAAGTCGTGGCCGATGACTTTACGTGAGACCTACGTTTGCATGCTGGGGCGTATATCCCCCAATGACTGGGAGCTCGCCCGCAATGCTCTCTTCTGGCTCACCTTCTCGAAAGATTTGCTCACCCTACCAGGGCTCAACGAAGCCGTTATGCTAGACGAGGCATGCACGGAGCTAGACGAAGACTCTAAGCCAATCTCGCCTCAAATTCTGCTGCATATTTGTCAGGGTCTCATTGCCGAAGATGAGTTTGGACGGGTCAATCTATCCCATGCATCCGTGGCGGAATTTCTGACATCGGACTGGATCCGCTCCTCCAGCGTGGGATACTTTAGCCTGGACCCTGGAACAGCCGAGCAAATGATGATGCGACTTTGTCTGACATACTTGTGTCTCGACAACTTTCGCACCGGATATGCATCCTCCCATAGTTTGATTGCTGCCTGGGAGCACGAACACCCATTCCTAAATTACGCCGCCCAAAATTGGGGGATCCACGCTAGAGCATGTAGCTTTAACGAGTTGTGCGATCGATACCTTGTGAACAAGTTGTTCAGTTCTCGATGCTTGCCTAATGGCGGCAACTATGGTACCTGGCTGCAAGCGCTTCTGCCTGAAGCCGAGATGGAAGTTATCCAAACAACGCATCCGCTGTACTATGCCGCATCCTTTGGGTTGGTTCCGATTCTTGAAGAAATGCTTACATCTGTGCCTGCGCCAGACGTCAATGCTTGCGGCGGACGCTACGGATCCACACCTTTGTTTGTGGCATGCTGGCGAAAACAATTCGAGGCGGCCGAACTTCTACTCCAGGCGGGAGCAGATCCATATCTTTTGGACGAAGGTTCGGATTTGACGATACTTGAACTCCCTTTGTCGGAGAAATTCGCTCATTTGCTGAAGAATCCGCCAAGAGAACCGCGAAGAGTGGAGCGCGCGTATATAATGACGCCAGAAACCAACATCGTACAGGGGGTAGAGCTGGGACTGGAACAAGGCCAGGAAGCAGGACAAACGGCAGCAGATCCCCTCAACGAAGAGACTCACGGCATTGCTTCCGATCAGCAGAAATCAGGGAGATGCTCCATCACGTCCTCGATTGATCGCCCGCCTCTAGAAATGCTTGAACAACACATTCGGCAGCTCTTTCCTGCGCTGCAGCCTAATTCTTTGGCCCATCGCTTTGCCCACGCGCAGCTGCATCAATTCGACCACCTTCTCACCCTTCAGATTGCTCATCTAGAGGCAGTCTGCAATCAGTCATGTCAGTCAGGCGAATACTGCCTGGCTGCCCGCGCTCAAGAAGTAAGACAGACTTTGTCCTCTGACTTCGACGACCCTACATCAGCCTCACAGCTCTTTCCCTCTCAGTTCGAATGCTGTATGTGTTTTCAGCTCCACCATTTTCAGACCCGGTCAGCTTGGTTGGATCATGTCCACGCAGATCTCAAATCATACATCTGCACATTCCACGACTGTACTATTTCCAGGCCATTCAACCGGAAATCTGAATGGATACGTCATGAGACGCAAGCACACTGGGCACCAGAGTGGTGGGAATGCCCCCGCGCGGGTTGCAGCCGTCGTTTCTTCCGCAAAGACATTTTTTACCAGCATCTACTCCGAAGCCACGAACCGCTCACCTCAGATGACAAGGAGGCCGTCAAGCGGGTGCGGGAACTGATTCAGAAATGTCGCACCAAATCTCAACCCAGTCTGCAGCAAATCGCGTGTCGATTTTGTGGAGTGACTTTCGACGAGGTGAAGAGACTATTGATGCATGTGAGCAGTCATTTGGAGAATTTGGCGTTAAGCAGCTTTTTGTTGGTCCAACAGCATGGTACCAATGGATATGAGATATCAGACGAGAATAATCACGTCTCAGCTTGAGGGGATATATTGTCAATTAGCGCATTGTCCAAGATAGATGATGGCCAAAGGGAGAATGCAAGAACCCGGAGGATCCAGCTGAAAGGGGAAATCCAGACCGTTGACTGGGTCGCGGTAGTTGGTCTTACGGAGGAACTCGGGGATTTGCTGTGATCGCGCGCTGCGTGGTTCCGGTTCTAGCGTGAGGAAATGGTCAGTCAGGGGGTCTGGTGCGATGGGTCGAGTCCTTTGAAAAGAAGCAATACATTACAGAAAACGCATCACCGTAGCGAGTGCGGGCAATCGTCCGCGAAAAATTGTTGCAAATGTATTCGTCCTTGCCGGTTTCTGTGACGGCGTGCACAGCGTTGAGTTCATGATTCGTTGGAGCAGAACAATCTCAGCCCCCGTGGCCGTGGCCAGCTCGGCCACAGACAACGGTCGGTCATTTTGGGAGAGATGGCGGAAGATTCCGAGATCGATGGCGGGCTCGATCACGGCGAAGCTGGTGGTCTAGTATCCTGCGCGTCAGGGGTTGTCTTTAACAGCAATGGGCGTACCTTTCAGGGCAGCGACTCACGTTGCGCCAGCAGTATCTGAAGATTGTCTCGCAGGGCGTTTCAAAAGATGCTTGCAAAGAGTCGGCGACGTTCAAGAGTTGAAGTCGAGCCGCGGTTTGGTTAGACGTGAAGGCCTTGCTCAGCAAGTCGATCTTCTGGGCCAGGCTGGCGACTTTCTCAGGGGTCACGGGGCTTACAGCAATGCGATCGAGATCGGCGTTATGGACCACGTGAGAGCCCACTGCCGGATCAGAATGTTCGTTGGCTTCCACCGTGGCTACTAAACGAGAAGCACAGAGCGGGAAGCCAGGGCGAGAGAAGATTCGGAATCGTTTGGGAGCATTTTTGCTTCTTCCGCACCGGAGTATATATATGTAGTCTTTCAAGCTGCTGCTTCCGCGTCGAACCATGATCCCAGACACTCCTGGCTCAGATAATAAACCAGGGCTGGGGAATTATTGCACTACCTAAGCGGAACATGCCTCGTATGGGCAGGTATAGTTTTCCGAGACGAGGATTTCCGGCAATTGTATTCCGATTGGAGAAAAAGCCACCAAGCTTCACTGACGGCGGATCCGGAACGACGGTCCGGCAGAGAAGGGCCGGAGGGGCCACGGCACGGTTCCACGGTTGAGACCCGTCAATCCAGGGTATGTGCCACGATTTGGCCCTTAACGCCAAGTTTCGGATTGTAAGCCATAAGTTAATCTGTTGTGGATTCGAGGAGGATGGGGTACAACACATCCTCGTGCAGTTCACAGTGACACTTGATCCAGGGGTAGCAAAAGTTCCAACAAGTACCGAACCAATCAAGCCCAAACCCACTAGCCCTGGTTGCGATGGTTTACCTCATGACGCTAATCCCAGTGCCACCCACTACGGCCAGGATCATGCTTGAGTTGCACATTAGGAACCGCCCACTGAGTTGTCGAAGAGGAGTACATAGACCCTGCACTTGTGCACGAGACTCTCTCTCTCTCTGGCAATACCATGTCGTGGGGTCCGAAACCAACGGCTGCCGACATTTCCTGCTCTTATTTGACGGAACCGGCAGCCGGGGTTCGTCTTCATTGACGGGGTAGTATGTGAAAACGATCTGGAAATCTGCTGGTAACATTCTCTCGTCCTGCCTCTCCTCTTCTGGATGTTCCCGACTGCCCGAGTATGAGATGGAGGTGAAAGATGGAGATAGATAAAATCTGCGCAGAACAGCATACCACCAGAAGACTTACTGAGCAAGCAGCAGGCCGGAGCTGCACCGTGTGATTTGGGTGGTGAAGGTAGGCCTATCGCGAAGCTCCAGCTGCTGCCATCACCAATGAGCAGAAAGGAGCGCAAGAAACTTGACACGGAGCTCATCCGAATTAGTTTAGCAATGTAAAGTACAACCGGTATGTACAAACTCCTCAGGTGTTTATTTGGTCCGGTTCACAATGCGGAGGGGGAAACGACAAACAAACACATTGACCGCCACCGTGTCATCCAGAGTCAGCACAGAATTGATAGGCGTCACTTTTGCAATGATAGGGTAGTTGTAGTGTCAAGATGAGTCGGACCCTGTGCATTATCTGAATTGGGAGTAGTGTGGAAGAAGTCTTAGGTATAAATAGCCCTACCCCGGCTCAACGATCAATCACTCACAAGTTGGGCCGAGCACCGGCAGATTCATCTGTTTGCCTTGCGCTAACCATATCTGACTAAAGGAAGAGTTGTGACCCTGTGATAACTAACTTGAGTTAACTGGTCATCTGACGTAAGATTCACTATCTTCCCCGCACCCTGTCTCTCTATTCCTTCTCTCTCTCCTCTTTTCAGCTGGCCACGCGTGAACCCATCAAGCTACTCTCCTCGATCCCCCTGAGCGTGAAATATTGTGCATCGTGTTGAATCCAAGAGAAAGGCCAAGCAAAATGTCCTCATCCTCCTACCACAACGTCCTCTTCACGTGGGCCGAGAGCATCGACGCCAAAGCATGGTCGCAACTGCAGGACCTATTTGCGCCGACCATCTCAATCGACTATGGCGCGGTTGGAGGACCCAAGGCTTCAGAGGCACCCTCTGCAACGTTTGTGGATTGGGTTTCTGATCCCACACGGCTAGGCAACCCAGAGATCATCACGCAGCACTTGCTGGGCGCCTGTCATTGGACCGAACCATTTGAAGATACAGCCGGCAGGATGAGAGTCACGGTCAAGTTTCAGATTCGCGCTGCCCACTGGAAAAGGACGTCATCGACGTCCACCAGCAGTGCGACTGGCCACGGAACCAATCTGATGGAACTCGTAATGGATCAGCAGGGGCAGTGGAAGATTGTTGCGGTCACGGTGGGCATGAAGTGGTTGGAAGGAGATCTCCAAGCGGTTTTTAGCCAGTAAATTTGATCTCCTACTCTCTGCATGATGTACACAGATCCACTGGCAATTTTCAGAAGGACGGGGGAGACAGAGAAATAAAGTAACAGTTGGTGTCGCGAGCTTCCCCCTCCCCTTTCCCCCCCACTTCTAGTACATGACACCCCGGAAGCACAGAAACAAGCAATCTTACACTTTTGCAAGGCCTGCAAGAGTGCTCCCCGCATATTGCAGTCCAAAATTCACGCCCTGTCATTCCCGGAGAGGCCTCTGAAGGGGCCCATCGTCGTCTAGAAAACTACTAGCGAATAGTATTGCTTGTGCTTGACCTGGTGGGCCAGTATGTGGCGGTTTAAAACATACATATCAGGTCCGTATAGTATGCACGCAACAATGTGATCTGTTTTCACTCCGAAGCACGCCTACACAAGCTCACACAGAAGACATCGCCGGGTTGCACATCGCTTGTGGAGCTCATGGACCCGGGCCGGGCGGGCCTCCAGGGCCTCCTCCTCCACCCCCACAGCAGTCACAGCAGTCACAACAGCAGTCGCAGCATGAGAAACATTCGAAACAGCTTACACCGGCACACCTGCGCCTATTTAGTCACGGTGCATCATGGCGACACTCATGCCCAGCCACTCACAGTCCACAACAAATATCCTCTCCCTCACCACCACCTCGCAATTGGAGCATGGGCTCGCCGATGCGCTGAATGCGTTAACCGGAGACACGAGCTGGGAAGAAGGCTCGACAGGGGGACCTACTGGTTGTTCCGTGATAACACCCGTATGTGTGGAAGCTTCCATGCGCCTGGGATCCTGCATCTCAATGCTACTGGGATTCCAGGTGCTCTCGGTCACGGGCGCCTCCTGCAAAGGCCGCAGCCAAGTGGGTAAGATCGTATGGAACATAAGTGATTATTAGATGGTGGTATTCAAATGTTTGGAGGATTGCTCTGAGAAATTGTCCGAGTATGAAAGAGAAAGTCGCTTGATATAAGCATTTAAATAACCGGCTGGGCCTTGGCCGTAGGGCTGGTAGGGCTGAACTACTTTCGACTTACTTAGTCTCCCCGACGTCATCCTGGCACGATCCAAGACCCACCCGGAAAAAGTCACACCATGTAGGCAGCAGAATTCGACCGTTAGTACTTCCTCCAAGCACCTCGTCCAATTCCTGCATGGTCTGAATTTGTCAGGACCATGTTGATAAGTGTGCGAGCCAACCGGGACCGGTTTCTGTCTGTCCCCCATTCTGCCAGAGCTACGCAGACAAGTCCCACTATATATTGAAGCATTTCGTCATCAATTCTTTCAGGCATTCAGCTTCGACTGTACTTTCTTTGAAGCAAGCCTCTATTTGTTGCTACATATCAGTCCATTAGACTCTTTCCCAAGGCTGTTGATAACTCAACCGGGTCATGCACATGACATCCGTAGCCCTACCTTACCTCAAAGAGTGAAATGAATTCACAACGTCCACGAGTCACACACAAGACCGTGCCCTGTCCCGCCGCATTACACAGGGAATTGCGCCACGGGCGCTGGCAATCCTCGTGTGTGGTAAGTGAATGAGGAGAAGCACCGGGTAAATCTGGGTCGAAGGGACCTAAATATAGTATAGTACATACAAAGGCGGTTTGAAATCTGTTCTGGTTTTGCGCTCGGATCTCAACTAATCCTCTCCAGAATCTCACGAATTTCATTACAGACGATGTCTGGGTTATCCTTCTGAATGAAGTGACCAGCCCCGGGAGCCTGGAGGGGACCCTTGCTGCGCTCCGGCTCAGTGAGCTGAGCCAACCCCTCGTTGAAACGATGCCAGTAAGGGTTCATGTAGACCTCAGTAAGTCGCGGGGGAGCACCACCCATTCGCTCGAATTCCACCTCGAACGCCTCAAACTCGTGGCCAATCACGGTGATTCAAGGGCCGCAGCCGTCTCGACCCTGAAGTCTCGGTCCATCACTATCCGGCAAGAGTTGCTTGAGGTTCTTGCGGCTCAGCCCCTCGCGACTCCCATTGCTGGGATGGAACACGCGTTGCATGTACGCCCGGGCTGCACGGAGAGCATCTGCCGTCACCCCTTCGGGCAAGCTGGCCAGATCAAACCCAGACGCGTCTGGGTCGGGGTAGATGGAAACAAAATCGGAATTCGCGAGGACACTGTCCAGGAACAGAAGACCTGCCACAGTGCCGGGATGCTCTTGGGCATAGAGCCGAGCCAGGGCGCCGCCGATGGAATTCGAGACCACAACGAGCGGTAGGCGGCTAAGCTCAGTACCCATCTTATCGGAGGCGATCTGGGTGAGTAGCTGGTGTAGATCCCGCACTACAGTCAAGGTATCATGCCCGTGCATGGGATCCTCGGCGCGGATGTCGCCAGGATCACGGTCGGTGGTCTGGCCCTGGCCATAGCGGTCATAGGTCAACATGGCGGGCAGCCCCGAGGCGGGAGGCTGTGCCTGGAGACGCTCGATGACACCCTCCCACGAGCTCTGCGGTAGCCCGAGGCCGTTGACAAACACTACTAAGCAAGAGTTTGCCGCGCCTACTGCCGGATAGAAGCTGTAGCAGAGCTGGGCGGATGGCTTGGTGGCCAACGAGATAAATTGGTAGCGAGACATGTTGTGGATGGAGGGTTGCCAAGATGGGTGAACGAGGAAGAATAGCAAGTGAAGTAGAAAGAACGTGTTCTATTGCCAGGACTTCAGATTGTATCACCTCAATTTATACCAAAACAACAGTAAGCGTAAGTGGAGACTAAGTAGTCGACTTGACGACCACCAGTAACCGATCCAATTAAGCGTTACTGCTCCTGATTCCTCCTTCCCGCCTCTTCCTAGTGCTTATCTCTCAGCGTCAGCTCCGCCGGAACTACTGCAACTGCCCCAACGCATGCTCAATTCGCCGGATTCCCCCGGCTAGGGTCTCATTTACCTGTGATCTGACTACAACGTTCCTGTTCTGAGATGAGCGAGGCTGATAGAGCGCACGTAATATGCGAGGTTGAAATTCGCAGACTCCCAAAGGATCGTTACCATTCGGGTCAGCATACGAGTACTCTATAGCAGCCATGGTAATTCTTGATCTACATCTCCAGTAACCCACATGGGTAACTCAAGATACAGCTGTGAGGTAGAACACTTCCAACTGGACCAGCATCAGGGCCAAACTAAGTGCGTACAATAGGATGGCCGCGAGCGCGTGTTGCTGCAGCACATCTTCTCCTTGCCTGAGGTGGAAACCGGAAGTAATGTTGGCAGAAATCGACCGATCTGCCCAGCAAAGGTCCCACTTATATAAGTACAGGGCGTGTTTGGAACTGTTTTTATGGTTTATCTTGACATCTTTGAGCAGGTAAGTACTAGTACTGGGTACAGTTTGGGAAGCTATTCCCGTGGTTTATAACAAATACTTTGCGAGAAGTCAGACCGAGAGCAACCGTGGGGGAATTTAGTGTGGGGTGCGGGGAGTAAGTGAGTAAGTGGTTCACTCAGCGCATCGGATGACTAATCGCTAATCCGAAAGCCACTCCCCCCCGCAGCCTCGGAAAGAAAATACGGTAGATATCAATCCCTTCAATTCTCCTCTGCGTACCTGCAATGAATCCCTTCCAACGACCATCTCAAACAGCTGCCACCTGGCGGAAGGTGGGCCTGACCTCCGACTTCCCGGACGTGGACTCCGAGGATGCCAAGTCACGGATCAAAGCCAGCTGCAAGGCATTCCATGTCCCCACCGCGGCCACCGGCTGCCCGTCCGAGACCCCCGTCGAGGCCGACTTGGACATGCCGGGCAACATCAACGAGCAGGTTCTCGTCTTCAAGTATAAGGGCAAATTTCATGCGATTGATCACGTACGTATACTTCTGGATGAAAATGTGGATGGCCAGTAGGGATTGATTGTTCTGGCAGCAATGTCCACACGCATTGTATCCACTGTCCTGGGGCAGCGTGTTCGATATCGAGGACTTCGGGGTCACGCTGAGTGCGGGAATCACTTGTCCCAAGCATGGCTGGTCGTTTGATCTGTTTTCCGGTCAGGCAGACCGCGGCAACTACAAGCTCAAGGTCTGGGAGGTGCAGTTGCGCGATTCCCCATCTTCGGAAGATGGAGCTGCAGGATCTGCAGATCAAGAGGTCTGGGTGAGGAGGAAGCAACGGATTGGATAGATTATGTTGCAGGTCGGGGGGACTTGAGCATCACGGAGAGGTGGTCTGTTCTTGCGACTGAGGACTGTGTCACTACGGCTCTGGGTGGTTTTATAGGTATGTTCCGCCCTGAATTTTGGTCAGTGGACCGGATTCAGTCTCACACAGTGTATATAGATTTAGAGGTATTGGAACTTGCCAGCAACGGTGTTTTCAACATTAGAGGTAGACAGTGCACTGGGCGATGTATGACTGAGACTGGAGTTGAAAGAGGGGAGAAGCCGACCCATCAGGATTTCAGACGACACAGACTTTAGTGATAGATAACTTGAGCGCACTCGAGGCCGCCACCGACTTGCTTTGAGCGGATGCACTGCCAGAAATGACTCTGGAGGACAAAAAGATGGACTTGGGGGGAATCGAACCCCTGACCTCTCGCATGCGAAGCGAGCGCTCTACCACTGAGCTACAAGCCCAATTGCATGTTAGGTGGCAAAGTCTGAAGCTGTATGAGCAACTTTGATGATTTGCTAGGCAGCACTATTTTTAAACTGCCATCTCCCCCTGTCGCAACTCGAGACTGCAACATCGTCTTGGCTGCACCGCCAATTGGCGCAGGACGAGGGGCGGAAACCTGCCTCCATCCATCAATCCAGCCTTAAGAGGCGAAGCGCCGTCTTGGCGACTCTCTCCCTCTTCCTCTACCGCTGCCGATTCCTCTCCCTGCCATGACCCTTCGACCTTCAAGTACGTGGCCAAGACAATGCACATGGGCACAAATTCATTCTGTGCATTCGACAAGCCAATGAGTCCGGTTAGCGACGCCTGAGGTGACTTCCCTGTCGCCATCTGATTGCAATGCAAGCGCCCAAAGACACGGTCCTTAGTGTTACCTATCTCCTCCAGCCATCTCAACGTGTAACCTACCCACGCGCCAACTCTGCCATGGAGAACCACTCGAAGCCCTCTCCTTCAGTTCGGTTACCGACTATTGATTACTGTCGACGATGACCCTGTCCATGGGTCCAATGGCAGCCAGGAGGGTGGAACCATCCCCAGCGGCGACTGCAGGGCCAAGAAGAACCAATTTGCTTTCCCTTCTCGGCAGGGCTGAGGTGGTCAAATGCCAATCCCTTCTGCCTAGGCGGTTCCTTTAGAATATAATAGTCTGGCTTGTGTCCTTTTCTTCTCCTGGCTCTCTCTCGCCCTTGGCCAGTCAACTCCTCTCTGTCGTCCGCTCGCCCATAACCCACCATGTCATACTACGGGCAACAACAACAACAACAGCAGCCCCCTCCACCACAGGGATAGTACGTGAGCGGCGCAGTAGACTACCTTGCAGGAAGGGAACTCATTGCTAATGGGGTCTTCTAGTTACCCACCGCCCGGGGGTCAATATCCCCCGCCCCAGCAGATGCAGTATGCTCCACCACCAGCGCAGCCGCAATCCAAGGACCGTGGGTGTCTCACAACCTGGTACGGGCTAACTTCTGATGACTCTTTTCAGAAAAAAAGAAATATGGCTAATTGCAATTAGTCTTCTGACAATGTGCTGTTGTTTCCTATGCGAGGAGGCTTGCGAGTGCTGTGTGGAGATTTTTGAGTGTTTATGTTGTGGATGCTAGTTGCAGCGCTGTATCATATCATTCTTGCTTGTTCCAATCCTGGTTTGATTGGTTCTACCTGTGGCATATTCATAGTTGACCGACCGCGTCTTACTCCTCGTTTCTTGATCATGATAGCTTGTATAGATCAGTCAGTCCTGTTTCTCAATTACTGACTGCAGCCGCTGCGCCTAACTGGCTCAACGTGGTCCGGGTTGGCCCGACAGCCACCGCAGTTGCATGTGTTCTAGTATGCTGATGCCACCGTGATACTCGACCTGACATCACTGATCTTGTCCAGCGATCATTATGATGATACTAACGTCCAAGGGATCTCTTCAGCTGTTGCCATTTCTGGGTAAGAGCGGAGCATAGCGCGTATCCACCTACCGTTCAGCATCACGGCGACAATACATTGGGCAAATCTGTCTCTTCGTCCGTGGTTTGTCGGGAATTGGGTTGACTAGGGCTCATTATGATGGGAAAATGCGATAGTCCAGGTGAAGTGATGGTAATCGAGGAAAACAAAATGAAAAAGAAAGTGGCGCTGCCCGGAATCGAACCGGGGCTGGCACGGCCACAACGTGACGTCATACCACTAGACCACAGCACCTGTTGTTGTGTTAAGGCCCTTGGTTTCATGTTATATGTACCTTAAACACCACGCAGCAATATTCTGGCTGGTTGGCATTGTTTCTGCACCAAGAGAGTATCTGACACTTTTATCCTCCCACATTCCCATCAGCAGTCGTTTAGCAGGACCTGTCGATATGGAAACTTGCTTAAGCTTCTGGGTCACTTCTCGAATCAGTTGAATATACCTCATCGTCTGGTGGCCCTAAAAATATATATTCCGGTGAACAGGAAAGCACGGTTATGGACAGACAAACCACCCACTGATGATTCTCTAGCCGGGAAATATACTCCCATCCTAGACGGTGGGGATTTGGTGGCCTGGAGGCCTATTCGGCAGCGGCGGCGGAAGACAGTCAGGCGTAGTCTTCCTCTTTCTGTGATACACAGATCCAGAGGTAGGGAGGGGTTATTGATTCGACACTGCTTCATTATCCTTGAAAAAACGACCACTACGACAGCGGTCGGGATTTCGTTAACGGCAACATCAATGAGCCACCTATGATCGCTACTACAACAACTGCTATCTCATCGACGGATCAGCCGCAGTTAGGGCCAGCTGCGGACATGAGAGCCCTGGACCCCACTTGACCGTATCCTGGAATAATGCATTGATCCACTTGATTGTAAGACCACGGGCTTATCTCTATGGTTGCTCCTCCAGAGGAGACGCTGTAGAGACGGTGTTTGCACGCCCGCTTGGACTTACCATCACGCATGGCCTCATTGCGCGGACGTGAGGGTCTGGCTAGCACCACCAGCCACAAGGTCCATGCAACATTTGCTGCACCCAGTGAGGGTCGAGCCGATCCTTGCATTCGATGCACTGTCGTCGTCGTCATCATCATCATCATCATCATCATCATCTGACCTGGCCAGACGATATGACCCTCAACTACAGGCTAAACTCCGGAATTCCCCCGTGCAACGTGGGGGTGGAAGACATGAAACCGAAATGACGGGGGATCGACAGCGGGGAAGTTGGCCATTAGGCATTTCCCAAGTCCCCTCGACTTGGACGGCAGGTCTGCAAGACTTCATGTCGTACGATCGGCTCAATTGAGGATTGTGGGGGTGGGGGTGGCGCTGGGCAAGTGCTGCACACTGCACTATCACAATCACCCCGCATTTTTTATATATGGGGTTGATCCTCTCCCCAGCGCCCCCTTCCCACCCCAGATCTTCCCTCCACACTTCTCCATCCGACAATATGGAAAATGACATGAAACCCACTGCCCTGCACGTCGAAGGATCCTTTGCGGAATCCCCCGACTTTGATCCCATCCCTCGTCAGCGGATTCCCTTGACCGAGGAGGACAGCAAGAGAATCAAGCGGAAGACTGACCGGGCCATCTTGACGATCCTGATCTGGGTCTATTTCCTGCAGATTCTGGACAAGACGGTCCTGGGGTTCGGAGCCACCTACGGACTGGAGGAAGATACTCACCTCACGGGCAACCAGTACTCGCTCATCGGCTCCATCGCGCCTATTGCCCAGCTGGCCTGGCAACCATGTTCCTCTTGGCGTGAGTACCCTGGCTGGCTAAGCTGGATGTCTGTGACTTTGGGGGAAGATTTGGGGCATGATGATCTGATTGTTCACAGTCATAGTCAAGGTCCGCCCTCGCATCCTCATGCCTACCCTCTGTCTCGGATGGGGGATTGCGCAGACATGTATGGCCGCGTGCCACAACTTCGGGCAGCTGCTGGCGGCGCGATTCTTCCTCGGACTGTTCGAAGCCGGATGTCTACCTCTGTTCTCGATCCTCGTGGCACGATGGTATCGGCGCGCCGAGCAGCCCATTCGCGTGGCCGCCTTTTACTCCACCAACGGCTGGGCAACCATCATCGCGGCGGCCCTGTCCTACGGACTGAGTCAAATCAAGTCGGATGTCTTGAAAGGATGGCAAATGTATGCCCCCAATCATTCCACGCAGGGCCGACCCAATCCAGACTAACCGCATCCCCTCCCTCCCCAGTATCTTCTTGTTTGTCGGTCTCCTCACCATCATCACCAGCCCCTTCATCTACTGGCGTCTCGACGACGACATCGACACCGCACGATTCCTCCGTGAGAGCGAAAAGGAGCAGGCGGTCGAACGGCTCCGTGCCAACCAGACCGGCACCGGCACGCGGGAGTACAAGATGAGCCACCTCTGGGAAGCGGTGCTGGAGCCCAAGACCTACCTGTGGATCGGGCTGGGGCTGCTCCTCAACATCGGGGCCTCGGTCACCAATGTCTTCGGCCCGCTGATCCTGAAAGGCCTCGGGTTCGACACCGACCATGTGACGCTGCTGAACATGCCGTTCGGGGCGGTGCAGGTGATCATTATCTTGTTGGCCAGCTACCTCGCCCAAAAGGCCAAGATGAAGGGGGTCATCCTCGCGGGGCTGGCGCTTCCGGTCGTCGCGGGGCTGGCCTTGCTGTACGCCCTGCCCCGGGATCAGAGCGCCAATGGGGGCCTCATGGCGGGGTTCTATCTGCTGGCCTTCTTGTTCGGGGGCAACCCGCTGATCGTGGCCTGGATTGTCTCCAACACCGGAGGCACCACCAAGCAGAGTGTCTGCATGAGCTTCTACAATGCCGCCACCTCCGCGGGGAACATCATCGGGCCCCTGCTGTTCAACTCCACAGACGCGCCGACCTATCGTCCGGGGCTGAAGGCGTGTCTGGGCATTTTTGTTGCCTTGGTGGGGGTGACCCTGCTGCAGTGGGTGAATCTCATCGTGCTGAACCGCATGCAGGCGCGCCGGCGCGTCCAGAACGGGAAACCGGCGAAGCTGCAGGACCGGTCGATGAGGAGGAATGGGGCCGGGGAGAGCGTGATGGTCACCGAGGAGACGGGCCAGCAGGGACTGATGGACTTGACGGACCGCGAGAATGACGAATTTATCTATGTATACTAGAGATTATCTCACTCAAATGACCGCTTATGACGATTTCTTCTACTACCACTACCACCACAACCCAGCCATCACACACCTCTCAAGCATACCCAATCGGCCTCTCATTCTTAACAAAATCCACCACCCCAGCATTCGCCAATGCCCGACCCTCCCTGCCCGACACCCCGGGCTCCTCCCCGAGCATATTCTGCGGAAACCCGAGCTCCAGGGGCCTCACACCCTCCAAGAACCGGATCTGCGCCTCCGTCAACCGCAGCTCCAACCCCTGGAGATTCTCCATCAGGTGCTCGACCTTCCGGCCGCCCACGACGGGAAACACGTTCGGCGCTTTGGCGAGAACATACGCCAACGCCACCGCGGTAACGGAGGTCATCCCATGCTCCTTGGCCACTTGACTCAACGCCTCGCTCATCCGCACTTCTTCCTCCGTCTGGCCCCCATCGCCCCCCATCATCGTCCGCAGCGACTCCCCCCGCTTGCGCCGCGCCGCCATGGCTTCAGCGGTCTGGAACTTGCCCCCACCGAGCACATCCCACGGCGCCACCGCCATCCCGAACCGCCGCGCCATCGGGAGCACCTCCCGCTCGAGATCCCGGTGCAGCACGTTCCACCGGCCCTGGTAGATGCTGAACGGGGTCTTGCCCTGCAGGCGCGCGTAGGTGTTCGCCGCGCTAACCACCCAGGCCGGCGCGTTGCAGATCCCCAGGTACATAACCTTGCCTTGCTGAATGACGGTGTGCAGGCTGTCCATGATCTCCTCGATCGAGCAGGTGCTGTCCCACCAGTGCACGTAGAGGATGTCGATGTAGCTCGTGCGCAGCTTGGTGAGGGAATCGTGCAGGCTGAGGTGGAGACTGCGGCGGTGATTGCCGGAGAAGTTGACGAGGGGGAGGGGGTAAGGAGGGGTGGTGGTGGTGGTCGTGCTTCTCTCATCAGTTGCTGCCATGCTCCCACTACAGCTACGAGGCTTATACAACCCCGTATACTTCGTCGCCAACACCAAATGATCCCGAATCCCCCCGCGCGCCGCCATCCACTCCCCAATCCACCGCTCTGACTCCTCGTTCTGGTAGTTGTTGGCCGTGTCGATGAAGTTGCCCCCCGCGGCGACATACGCGTCCAGCAGCGCGAACGCGGCCGCTTGATCCATCGCCCCCAGTCCGCCGGACCAGGCGCTGCCGATGGACATGGCCCCCAGCTGGAAGGGGGAGACGCGGATGCCCGCCGTGGAGGAGAGGGTGCGGTAGCGGCCGAGGGGGGTGGGTGGCGGTGGGGCGGGGGCAAAGCTGTCCATTTTTCTGGGGTTCTTTGACGGGTATGTGAGGGTGTGTGTATGTGTATGTGTGGTGGTTGTGGTGGCTTATGGGTCAAGGAGAAAGAGGGTTGAACTTAGGGCTGAGCTGCGTTTGAGAGAGGAGAAAGAGAGGAAGAGAGACTGACTGGGGGACACAGCCTTTATATCTTCTCTTACCCCCCTACTCAGCGACGATCGCTGGCTCGCATCCAATCAACGCAACCATGGATGAATCAACTGGTCCTACGCTCGCTGAGCTGGAAATAGCGCATGAGACGAGGTTCAGCTGCTCCACTTGCTGGCGATCCAGTTGTGGTCGATCGGGAATCAACCCAGCCTGCCTGCCAGGATATCGACGGAATCACGGATGATGTACTGTAACAGTTGCTATTATTATAGTAATACAATCCCGAGCCAACGCTAACTAAACATACTAAACCGAGCATTCAAGACTAAGCCAACCCATTAACCATCCCCTTCACATTCTCCCACACATCCCCTGACCGCTGAAACACCTTCTCCGCCATGTACCGCATCTTCTTGCCCGTCGGGCTCGCAAGAAACCCCGCCTCGACCAAGAACTGCACGTTGCGACGCACCGTCGCCTTGACGTGCTGGCGCTGCGAGGGGGTGACCACGCTCGCGTCCGGCAGCACATCCCCCCCGCCGAGACGACCGTCAATCGCATCGAACACCTGCATGACGGGCCACAGCGGATGGCCCGCCGCGTCCTTCTGGATGGACTGGTGCAGGGTCTCCAGGTAGGTCGCGTGGTCGACGGCGCGCAGCGGGTATTTGAGCTCGTGGTGGAAGATGTCCCAGAACTCGCGCTCGGTGATGCCGTCCGTCATGAAAGTGACGGTGCGCATGGCGTCGGCGGGACAGAACGCCTGGTGGATGGTCTCCTCGGCGACGCGCGTGCTGCTCGTCACGAACATCCACGATTCGCCCACGTCGCGGCTGTAGCAGCGGGCGTCCACGACGGCGGACGCCAGGCGCCAGACGAAGTCGTCCGTGTTGGCCACGCCCTCCTCCGGGGTGCCGAGGATCAGCCCCGGCTTGACGATGGCGAATTGACTCGAGTAGCGCGCCGCGAACTGCTTCACCAGCAGCTCCGACAGGTACTTGGTCTGCGCGTAGCCGTTGGCGTGCGCCACCTCCGCCGCAATCTCGCGGTCGTCCTCGTTCGGGTGCCAGCGGTGGCCGCCAGAGACATACACCAGCCGCGGCCGCGCGGGCGAGCTCACGGCCGCCTTGATGAGCTCCGCCGTCGAGTCGACGTTGGCGGCGCGCAGGATCTCCGTGCCCGCGTTCCAGTTTACCGCGGCGCCCGCGTGGATGATCGCGTGCACCAGCCCGTCGTTGGGGCTCTCGCCCGTCAGCGATGCCCATTGCCTGGGCTTGAGGCCCAGCTGCGGCTGGGCGAGGTTGCCCGCCCACACGTCAAGTTTGGTAAGGTAGTAGTCCGACCACCACTGCGCGCGCACGGCGGCGTCCTTGACGCGCATGAAGGCCTCGGATGGGGTCGAGGCGCGCACATGAGCGATGACCCGCCCGACGTCCGGACGATCGCACAGCTGCCGCAGGATCTGCGTGCCCAGGAAGCCCGTGACGCCGGTAACGAAAACGGTCTTCTTCATGGGGCTGCGCTTGATGATCGCCTGCATGAGCGCGTTGGCTTCCTTCATCGCGTCGAAGGAGGAGGTCGCGACCTGCGGTGAGCCGGTCAACTCGCTGTCGATGAGCGCAGCCAGCGAGCGGACGGTCATCTGCCCGTCCAGAATGCGAGACACATCGACCGTGACGCCGTAGGTCTGCTTGATGAAGCTGGCCAAGCTGATGACCTGCACGGAGTCGATCCCCATAGAGGAGACGTTGAAGTCCTTGCCCTGCAAAGGGCTGCCCTCGCGATTGACCAGGCTGGCAATCTTGTTGCTGATAGCCAGGGCCTTACCCTCATCCGGTCGCAGCGTGGACACCGTGGGCTCGTTCCGTTGGAGACCCATGGTCGGCTGGAAATCCGCTGGTAGCTGCGCTAGCCAGGTATCCACTGCCTTGCGGTCGATCTTGGTGGACGAGGAGCTGGGGATCTTCTCTACCACGATCCAAATGACCGGGACCATGTGCACGGGTAGCGTCTCGCCCATGTACCGGGACACTGTGGCCAGGTCGAATCCGGTCTTCTGCAGCGTGGTACTCGGGACCGGGACCAGACCATCGCCGCTGGTTGCGGTCAGCTCGAGGGTGGCAATGAGCTTGTTCGCGTAGATGCCCTTCTTGGGATAGGACACGATGGCCTGAGACACCTCGGTGGGCAGGCAAAGGTGGTATTCAATCTCTCCGAGCTCCACACGCTGCCCGCGGATCTTCACCTGGGTATCCTTCCGGCCGATGAAGAGCAGCGAGCCGTCGGGGCCGTATTTGACGAGGTCGCCAGTCTTGTACAGCCGGTCGCATCGGGTCCAGGGAAGCCAGGAGGGTCGAGAGATAAAGGCAGCAGCGGTCTTCTCCTCGTTCCGGAGGTAGTGACGGGCCAGGGTATGACCTTCGACCAACAGCTCCCCGATGCATCCGACGGGGGCCAGCTTGCTGTGGTCGTCCCGGTCAACCACCCAGCAAGCGCCACCGACAGCGGTCCCGATGTCATTAGGAGCAGTGCCGGGTACGACCCGTCGGTTTGAAGAACTGCAGACACAGCACTCGCTCGGCCCGTATCCGTTTACCAGTCGGACATATGGAGTCCAGGTGGCAACGTGCGTGGCGGTCATCGCCTCGCCTGCCAGACAAAGCGTCTCCAATGTAGGCACACTGGTCGGATCGATAGTGCTCACAAACGAAGGCGTCAACACGGCCCAGTCCACGTTCATGCGAGTGATAGCTTCGGCGATGTTACCGCGGCGTTCAGACTCAGAGGGAACGCAGACGCAGCCACCTTGCACCAGCGTCGACAAGATCTCCAGGACACTGGCATCGAAGGTATACGAGGCAAACTGGAGAACGCGACGACCCATCTGCAGTCCTTCCTTATGCGACAGAGCACCGGTGCAGAAGGCGCGGTGCTCGACGACAGAACCCTTGGGTGTACCGGTACTGCCAGAGGTGAAGATGACATAGGCAGCGTTGGACGGCGAGACAGGCGTCTTCGACATCTTCTGCAGAGACGCTTGCGCCATTCCAGGCCCCACAGCAATGGCCTTTTCGACGAGACCAGGGCAGCGCCCCAGCTGCTCCTCTGAGCACAGCATAACATGGGCACTGACCTCTTTGACAACCAGCTGCATGCGGCTCGTCGGCTGCGAGGCATCCATAGGGACGAAGGCTCCGCCAGCTTTCATGGTGGCGAGCATCGCGACGATAGTCCACATGGACTTTTCGAAGCATAGAGGAACGAAGACTTCGGGACCGACACCAGCATCCATCAGGTGAGCGGCGAGTCTTGAGGAGATGTTGTCCAGCTCGGCATAGGTGAGGCTGCCGTCCCAAGCGCAAACGGCCTGGGCTTTCGGATTCAACAGCGTGTTTTGGGCGATCAGATTATGAACACAGTCTTCAGTTGCCTCGGGAATCCTGCTATTCCATTGCAGGAGATCATTCATATCTCGCGGGCTGATCAGTTCCAGCTCCGAAAGAGTGCCTACGGGCTCCTGGGCAAGCTGCTGCAAAACATGCTCTAATTGTTGTACGATGCGCTCGACCTGTCCGCGAGGCAGGACCGCATTGTCAAAGTGGACATGGACGAGGATGTCACCCTCGGCCGACAGACTGCACTCCAAGGTCAGGGCCACGGTGCTGAAACTTGCACGCGGTGCAGAGAAAGGTAGGATAAAACTGGCCTCAGGCACCGAGCTAGCCGGCTGGATGACCAGCAAGGTCTGGAAACCGCATGCAGAAGGGGCATTGTCGCAGACCCTGGCAATATTCTGCAGACCATAATTCTGGTAAGGAGTCATTGCAACCGAGTGAGCATGAACTGCCTTGAGATACTCGGTGACCGACTGCTGGGGCTCCAAGTGCGCTTTGATGGGAACCGTGGCAATGACCGGCCCAACAACATCTTCCACCCCCCGCACGGATGCATTGCGGCCGCTGACGGTGCAGCCAAACACGGTGTCAGGGGAGTCACAGTAGCGGGCCTGGAGTAGCGTCCAGGCAGCACGGATCAGGGTTGCGGTAGTGTAATCAGAAGGACCACTCCGGCTGATCTTGAACTTTTGAATGAGCGCCTCGTTGGCGAGAGGTTGATACGTGGCTGAGGGGAGCGTCGGGAACGCGATCAAATCGCCTTCAATCAAATCGTTGCGCCAGTAGTTCTCCGTGGTCTCCTCGTGGTTCTTCTCCATGACGTGCTGGACGAAGTCGCGGAACTGCGGCCGAGCTGGAGGTACGCTGCCCTGCAGAGCATCCAGCAAATCATTGAACAGCATCTCCAGGGAAAGCCCATCATAGATGGCGTGGTGAATGGTCAAGACAAAATAGGTCTTCTCGGCAGTAACAATGGCGTGTCGTGTGAGAGCATCTCCCACGTGCATGGGGATCGCTTCGTCGGCCTGAAGATACTCCTCCAAGTCAGATCCACGACCCCATTGAATGCGGCCACGATCGACCATCTGCACGGTCCCGTACTGGTCTGTTTCGACCATTCGCGTACGCAGCACGTCGTTGTTAGCCACGACAATCTCCCACAGCTCTTTGAAGCGGTCAATGCCAAGGTTCGCAGGCAATTCAAGGGTATGACGGGCTATGTATGAACCGGCGATCTTGGCCGACAGAGCCATCAAACCGGTCTGCAGCGGTGTGCAAGGGTAGGCGTCCTGGATGAGATCTGGGTCCTGGAACCCACTTGCCGTCAGCATTTCGGAACGGATGCTGTCCTCGTCCTCACCGAGCAGCTCGAAGGGGCGAGCACGCGGGAGCTCAGACGAGGAACGACCGGGCACCATCACCTTGGCCATATCTCGCAGCACCAGATTCTCCATGATGTCGCTGACCTGGAGCTGGTAGCCCTCGGCACGGCATCTCCGCACGAGGTTCATGGCTTCGATGGAGTCACCACCCAGATGGAAGAAGTTATCTTCCACGCCAATCTCCTCTGGTGGACAGTGCAAGATCTCGGACCACAACTGCTGCAGCTGCTTCTCATCCGCCGTGGAAGGCATCGTGCGCGTCGTCGTTGCCGCCCCTCCAGCGAGCGCCGCCAATTCCGACAAAGACAGGCCGGTCCCAAAGGTGGTGATCATACGTCGGTCAGTCTTTCCCGAGGCTGTCAACGGCATGTAGGCCAGCGGAATGAACGCAGAGGGAATCATGTATGGCGGTAGCCTCCGGACCAGCTCGGTGTTCATCTGCGAGGCTGCGGCCGCAATGCTGACTTGATCCGCGGGCGTCGCGTGGAACGCGTGCTGGAACTCAGGGCCAAAGCCACTCTGGCGGGAGATGAAAGCAACCAGCATAGCCTTGCCTTGCGGATGCACCATCGACACCGCCGTCTTGACCTGGTTGTTGATTGCGCGCATATGGGCCTCGATCTCGGTCAGCTCCACTCTCTGGCCTCGGATCTTGACCTGCAAGTCCTTGCGGCCGATGAGATGAATCCTGCCGTCATCCCCGTAGCGAGCGAGGTCTCCGGTCTTGTAGAATCGATGGGTGATGCCCTTTTGCTGAGCCCACTTTGGGTCCTGGATGTAGACGGCCTGTGTCCGCTCCGGGTCCGCGAGGTAGCCACGCGCCAAGGTTGGACCCTCAATGATCAGTTCTCCGGCTGCGCCAATCGGGACCAGTCGGTCGTGATCGTTCGCATCGACAATCCACGAAAGGGCACCGACCGCTCGGCCGATGCAGCTGCGTGGCGTATCCGTGACCATGGGCCCGACCATACATACCGAGCACTCGCTGGCACCGTAGATGTTGATCAAGCGAGCGACCGCAGCCCACCGGTCGATGATGTCCTGAGCGACTGCCTCGCCGGCCAGGAGGAGTGTCTTCAAGGTAGGAGCATCTTCAGTGGTGAGCGACCGAGCGAAACTGGGTGTGAAGATTGCCCAGTTCGCATTCATGGAGCGGAGTGCAGGGCGGACGTCCGTGTGGCGGTCGTGATCTGACGGAATGCAGAGACAGCCTCCGAAGATCAGTGTGGTGAAGATCTCAAAGGTGCTGATAATGAAGGTATAGGCACCAAACTGCAGGGCACGGGTATCTTCATTGATGTTCATGGCAGGGCCGTGGTGGAGGGCGCTGGAAGCGACAGACGCATGTTCATGCACCACACCCTTGGGCTTGCCGGTACTCCCAGATGTGAACATAACAAAGGCAACATCATGGGGCTGCGACTGGGACACGAACTCAACATCCGAGCTCTGCTCAATCACCTGGATCAGAGTCTGGTCTAGTGTGATTACCTGCGGGGCGATGCCGGCCAACAGCGCCTGGTGGGCTTCAGAGGTGATGACTGTCGTAGCCTCGATGCTTTCAACGATCGTCTCAATGCGTTGACGTGGATGCCGCGGGTCCAGAGGCACCCAGGCCGCACCGACCTTCCACAAGGCAACCATAATGATGATAGTCCACCGGGACTTTTCGAAGCACACTGGGACCAGCTGTCCTCGGTGCACCCCCACGGATTCCAGATACTGCGCTACATGGCATGCAGTCTGGTTGAATTGAGCATACGTCATCTGGCCGTCCCAGGAGGAGATAGCCGGCGCATTTGGGGTGCGCTGTGCGGCAGTTTCGATTAAACGATCCACGCACACGGCACTGCCTTTGGGAAGAATGCGATTCCAGGCTCCAATCTGGAGCGTGTCTAGCTCACTCGGGTGACACAGGCTGGAGACTGATCTGTGCGGATCAGAGCATACATTGTGCAAGATATCGGCGAAGGTATTAGCGATGTATTCTGCTTGGGCTGAAGAGACTGTCGGCTTGTGGTATATTAAGTTTAGTTTTGATAACGAGGGGTCAATTCGTAGCACGTAGTCGAACTAGAGAGAGGGAGGTTAGCCGCAGAGTGAGGAAGATGCAGGACAGAGGGGGGAAGAGACATACAGTCTTCTCGGCGACAATCTCATTTTCGGAGATTTCTGCCTTGGCTGTCGAGTCCCGCAGCCAGATTGCTGTATTACCCGGCTTGGGGTCCAGAGTCGAAAAGACCTGCAAGGCCTCGGGGACAGAGACCAGTAGGTCCGCTTCTTGCAGCCCTTCTTTCAGGGTCTGCTCAGCAATCGAGATGACGGACAAGTCGGGTTCCAGCCGTACTCGGCACAGAGCTGCGTCTGTCCACTGCGACTTCTGACTGTGTGGTTGCAGACCGATGCCCCCATATGTAATCTCATCGGAGCTGGAGTATGCGCGCAGCATGGCAGCCCAAGCCGCTTGCACCAGATGCAAGGCCGGCACATCGTGTTCTTGTGCGCACGCTTGCATCAAGGAGACATCGAGGTGGACGTCCACCTTCCCTACGGGAGCCTTGGTCTGACGTTTCGAGAAAATACCCGTAGGGAGGTGTGACGGGGTCACGTCAGTGACCAGCTCCGTCCAGCGCTGACGGAGCCGGTCCGCATCGTCCAGGATGGTGGACGGCATATTGTATACGAAGATTAGGAATTAAGAAAGAAGAGAGTGACCGAATCTAGGGACAGCAAAAATGAACAGCGGAGGGAAGAACGGGCGCAGTAGACACAAGACAAGTAGCAAACGAGACGCGCAAAAGGATGAGAAAGCAATCCATCAGTCGTGGAAATTGAGACGATGAATAGACACGAACAGGAAGAAGAGAGAGAAAATCCGGTCAGTAATACTATTATGTGCGGTGATCCGTCGACCACGCCTACGACCTTCTCAGCGCCATTTGTCACAGACTCTAGTCGTCAACTCTCCTCTTCAGGATATCCCGTGGGAGGAGCCCGAAGCGAAGCAGCCATGCTGGAGCCGACCCAGCAGGGCGGAACAGCAGGAATCCAAGGGGAACTCCAGTTCATCCTCGTCGATCCAACCAGCCATCTCGAAGTCTTGCACTAGCGGGTTTTCGAAGGCAGCTAGTCTAGTATGAATGGCGCTGAACCCTCGATCGGACCATGTGGGTATAGTGCTTGCTTCAGAGTTGACAACATGGTGATGCCGCGAACAAGGTCGATGGGGGTTCCCCAAAGGGTAGACGCCCGGCTGGCTGGCGTCTGCGCGATGCAGTGGATGTTCGATCATCCTGACGTGGGCCGTGGGCCGTGGGCCGTAAAGCGTGGAGTCTGCGAGAAGCTGTTCCTGATCCATTCAGCGGCGAATGGTCATGATCAGCGATGGAGATGGAGACCCAGTCGGCTCCAGCCGTGTGTGCCTGTGGTTGGTTCTCGTGATGGAGCACGAACCACCATCCGCCAGTCAACAAACACGGAACTAAAAGACCATTGTTTCAGCCCATCATCGACAGGGGGGAGTACCACGATGGCATGCGAGAGCCATGGTTCATGAAGGCATAGGGGATGGTTGAATGGAAGATGGAAGATGGAAGATGGAAGATGGAAGAAGGTGAGAAGGTGAGAAGCAGCCACTGCAAACATTTCCGGCTGTAGTGCAGCGATCCCTGTTCTTTTTGGGTTTAGCGCAGTGGGGGTTGGCTGGTATTTTTGGCAGGGTATTTTTGCCCACATGAAACAGACCCTGTGAGATGAATGTACTGTAATTATTCATACACCCTTACCGTACAATCCATCGTAGCGAATATCAAAATCCACTGGCAAACCCACCTTTACCCACTGGATCACGCCAAACTTCAACTCGGAAAATGAAGGAACTTCTCACTCTACCTACTCTGGGACATCCTTCCCGACGATCATCGGAGCACGTCCTGACGCTTTCTGCTCGGCTCGGATTGGCTCCCACGCGGCCAGGGAAGAACATAGCTCTTTCAAGATTTCCTTCCATCTCTCAATTCATCTTGATCGCCCGTCCCCGAACTGTGGACCATTGCAGCTGCTCCTGCTCGTAGCGAGCTGAAGCACGAATTACCCAATACGTAATGTCCTCCGAAGGCCCGATGCACGGAGCTGATCGGGCAGTGACGATTCGACGACGTATCGTAGCGTGGGTGGACCACGACAATCACGATGGAATGTGCGATCAAAGTTTTCCCGTCTCAGGAATCGTGGCAATGGACAGACAGACCAGACACGCAAGGTCGGAGACTGATCGAGCCGCGCTGGGCCGGAAATAGCTCCTGTTCAGTTTCGGTGAGGAGGGAGGGTCGAGTAGGGGCAGGCGGGATATAGTAGGGAGTTTGGGGGCGTGTGTGAGTCGCCAGAAGGGTATATAGTTAGCATAGTTAGCAAGCAAGCGATGATGTGTCAAGCATCTGCGAGGAGCAATCAGTGTATCTTGTTCTTGTGGTCCATATTCCCCTATCCAAATGCCCAGCCTCACCTCCACCGCCGTCCTCGACGCCACTAACATCGAGCTGTTGCGTCAGAAGCTCGCGGAAGATGTTCGAGGTGCGTCTCCCCCCAAGCCCCCTACCCAGTCCTAACTATCCACTGACCCTCTCACCCCCAGTGGAGAAATACACCCCCCTAGCCCCCCCGGAGCTAGTGCAATACGAGATCGGCCTCAGCGCGCAATCCCTTCGCACCGTACTGAACAGCCGCATCGAAGCCCGCAACATTATCCGGCAGGCCTCCGATCGGCTGCTCGTACTCGTGGGCCCATGCAGCATCCACGACCCGGAGAGCGCGTTGGAATACGCCACGCGGCTGCGAGTGCTCGCCGGCGAACTGCAAGAGGAGCTCTGCATCGTGATGCGGGCATACTTGGAGAAGCCGCGCACGACCGTCGGGTGGAAGGGGCTGATCAATGACCCAGACGTCGACGACTCGTACAACATCAACAAGGGGGTGAAAGTGGCGCGCACGCTGCTGGCCGAGATCACTGACAAGGGAATGCCCGTCGCCTGCGAGATGCTGGACACCATCTCGCCGCAGTACACGGCCGACTTGATCAGCGTCGGGGCGATCGGGGCGCGCACGACGGAGTCGCAGCTGCATCGCGAGTTGGCCTCCGGGCTGTCCTTCCCGGTGGGCTTCAAGAATGCCACCGATGGGTCGGTCGGCACGGCGGCGGACTCGCTGCAGTCGATGCGCGGCAAGCATCACTTCATGGGGACCACGAAGCAGGGGATGATTGCCATCACGAGTACCCGTGGGAACCCGGATGGGTTCGTGATCCTGCGGGGTGGCAGTCGTGGCCCCAACTATGATGCGGAGAGCGTCCAGGCGACCAAGAAGATCCTGCAGAAGAAGGGTGAGCGGGAGGTCGTTATGGTGGATTGTTCGCATGGTAAGTATCTTGCTGGATCCCTGCGAAATGGTCCCCACGGTTGGCTTAACTGCGCGGTGGTGTTAACGGAATGACCAGGGAACTCCCAAAAGGACCACCGCAACCAACCCAAGGTGCTGCGCGCCATCGAGGAGCAGCTCCGTCAGGGCGAGCGCGGCATCATCGGTGTCATGGTCGAGTCCAACATCCGGGAGGGTAACCAGAAGCCTGCTGCGCGTCTGGAGGGCTGTGAGAAGGGCGTTAGCATCACGGATGCTTGCATTGACTGGGAGACCACGGAGGCTTCGTTGCGCTCGCTGGCAGATGCTGTGCGCGAGCGTCGGGCTCGGGTGGCGCCTGGGACGCCGTGATTAATATTTTGGTGGCTGTTTGGCGTATGGTGTCTTCTGTTAGTAGTAATAAGTAATCGAGAACCGTTATGTTTGCCTGCTGAATTGTAGTCACTACATATGTGTGACTCTAGAAGTAGTTGCCCCAGCATCATGGCGGTCTATATTGTCTCCTGGTGGCCCCGGGTATCAACCTGCATCTCTCATCCATCAAGTCGTGACCGGGGTATTAAATTGCATTGATGAAGCTTTCATGTCCGAAGTTATAGTCTCAGTAACGTTGTAGCTGGATCTGATATCCATACTTCGCACACCGACAGTACTGAAGAACCATACCTCTTTATACGACTAGAAACTTACGCCCAGAACTATCAGGCAAGACATCAAAGTCTCGCATGCGTCATAGCCCAGCCTCTGCATGGCACACACTTCCTACGGGGACATTCAAATCTAGAGCTACAGCTTTGTGGATAGAGACGGGACAATCGGAAGAGTATGACATGCATTACCCAAGGAGAGACAGATAATTAGCTAGACTCCCAGTCCACCGCAGCAACTCCTCCTCGGCCAGCCCCATTCGTCCCGCCATGCCCTGCTTCCTCCGAGCAACCCCCCGTCTGTACCGCAGAAGAGGGGGGAGAAGACTCGGTCCCAGCCACTTGGGTCCACCTCTTCGCTGAACCCTCGGACTCAGAGTCTTTCGGCCGAAACTGATTCTCTAGCAGAGGTGGACCAGCGAGATGTTGTTGTTGACCTCGCCGTCGTTGACAGGGTCCACATCGCCATCGGAGGTCAACGGTTCGTCGTTGTCGCGCTGATCGGTTAGCGGATGCTTGTGGATGATCATGTTGGAGGGAGTGGGCTAACCTTGTCTTTCTGTGTTGAGGGAAGCAGTTGTTAATGCTGCTCGAGGGGCTGTGGTGGGGGGGGGACCTTACACACTGGGTGGGTTAGCTTGGAAGTCCTGTGGCAGGGGAATACGTACAAACTGTGTTGGGGGAATGACGTTGCACTCAGCTTCATTCGTTATGGATCAAGATGACACGGGACTTACGCTCTGCTGCTGGTTAGAAAGGGTCTTTTTGGTCAGAAGTCTAGACTCACCAGCTGTGCATCGGCAGAAGCTCCGAGTTAGCATATACAGTCGCTGAGAGCTCCTGGGTCGAGGCACTCACAAGCTGTGTGATGTGAGTAGGTATCATTATGCACTGGAGGAAAGGGAGACTTACGCTCTAGATTGATGATGAGCGAGAGGACATAATCAGCTGTTTCGAGGAATAGAGTAACTCACAACCTAGAGATGATTAGTGGGGGACACCAATGGAGCCGGACTCAACTTACATTCTGGTACCAAAGCAATTGGTAAGTGCAATTCAGCTAGTCGATTTAACAGAGGGGAAACTCACATTCTGCATACATCAGCTGGGCATGAGTCTCAATGAACAGGATAACTCACGTTCTGTCAATGGTGGGAAAGGTCCACGTCAGTGGATTTGATCAGCATTCAAGGAATCAGTACATACCACCTGCCGCAGTCAGTACGTGAGCCGATAAAGCCTCAGTTAGACTTACAGTCTATAGATCACAACGTGCCAAAATCAGCAGCACGATCTCAGATCAAGACCCGTCGAGAGTACTCACGCCCTACACAGATTAGCAACTCAGACATAAGTGATGAACGACGAAATGCATACGTCCTAAATACACGTTAGCTTATCTTGCAGCACTATGACAACAATTGTTACTCACATTCTATACCATTCATCAGTCCCCGTCGCTGCACGTCAACATCGCTACACAAAATCAAGAACAACATACAACCTAAGCCAGCATTTAGCCTCAAGATTTCCCAACTCGGAAGGTGGACTTACAGGCTAGAGATGGGCAAATCCCGTAATTGTCAGCACACGCAATCGAGAAGTTCTCCTACAGTGGAGCGAGATACATACATCCTGCGCGCGTCGTCAGCCCCTCGCACCACACTGAGACCCCCATCAGGGTTCACTTACCACTTCACCATTCTATGCAGTAATGATGAGCAACAATTAGCTTGGTTAGCCCCATCGAGTGCCCGGATGGCGCAGGCCAGCGATCTTTACCTCAGTCAATTCTCTGCGGACAGGGAGTGGGTGCGTCGGAGGCATGGGAGCAGCCAGCGAGCCGATGATGAGGACAGCAGACCACAGAGCGAAGCGCATAATGATGGATAATGAATCAAAGACACAAAATAAAGAGAAACCGGGAACGAATGTACTCCGTATGAGTGGGAAGGTGAGATGATTGAGTCCACAAATTAGAAAGGGAGATTAGAAAAGAGGGGCAGGTAATGAGGCAAAGTAAAGGAGAGGGATGAGGAAAGAGGGAGAGAAAGGAAAGAAAGAAGCAAGCCTTGATAGTATAGGAAGACGACGAGGACGACGAGGAAAGCCGAGGAGAACAGACAGACAGGGGGAGGGCAGATCGGAAGAGGAACTCGTGGAGCACGAACCGGTTTGCCGGCGGGCAGCTTTTTTGCACGGGCTCCACCTCTTAACTTGCGAGTCCCGACGATCAGCGGATCGATCGACAGAATCCAGCGCCAAAAGCCAGGATCGAGATGCGGGCTCTCGGGAGAACACGAAAATCCTCCCGAAATGCCGGTCTTGTTCCATGGTTTGAGAGTAATCGAAGGTCCATCGCAATGCCAGAATCTGCTGAGAGTCTCTTTAGGGCAAGACGCGGCGGAAACCCTGACATCATGCGTTGCGGTCCACCTTTCTTCACTTATATGCGCCATCGCTTTCCTCTCCGATCAGACTCTTCCTGATTCTCATTACAATACAATTCAAGTCACCTAACAGACTCATTCTACCGCTCAATCACACTCAATAACAACCGAATGACCTCTTTCGCAGTCAAGCCGCCTTAGACTACACTTTCTCGTCATACCGAGTCAGTCGTCTCCACCGTTCTGGCACAGCCGCTCCACCAGGATGACGATCGCTGGATCTCTGCCTTCAGATGATCTTCCCCAGATAGAGCAAGTGGAGTGGATCAGATCAAGGTGCACGCCACCGTGTTTCCTTGTCTACAAAGGGTCTGAGCGGAGAACACTCTGTCTGGCGGAGGCTGGAACCCCCTGTTTCCATACTTCTGACGTTTCAAGCTCGAATGAAAGCTGTCCGCGATCAATCAGTGCAAGCAATGTACTACTAGGGAAAGTCTCATTTGTCCTCATACTTGACATTCTCAATTATTCTCAATCCGGAATTGCAGCGAGAAAAGCGCCAAACCAACAGATTCTGTCAATCGGCATCAGAGACTTCCACCGTGGAGTTTTATTTATTGCTTCTTCTACGCAGCGAGCGTCGATCAGCACAGCACAGGCCCAGACGGGTCGGCAAATTCGATCGGGAATCGGTTGCGGAAGCCAGTCAACATTATTACACACCTCGACGAATCCAAGCATGCACTCCGTATGTAGGTAAGGTATGTACAGAAAAAAGCGACACGGGCTCGACCCGAGCCAAGACAAATACTATACACAGCGAATGAGAGAACCAAATCAGCAAAGCCCCCCTATCGTCTGAGTAGATAGTATCCCATTCCCATTCCCATCCGCCAGGCCGTGGTTGAGCTACCGCAGCCAAACCTGCCGGCCGTGTCTCGCAGCCAAATAAGCGACAACAACCCCCAACCCGTAGCAAGCACTCGTCGTCAGAACTCGCAGCAAGACACTCCGCACGACCGTTGCAGATTTCTTCTGGAAGATAGCCTTCTCATTGGCACGCGGGAACGAAGTCGCGGGTACTGGCTTCCCCAGAAACTCACACAGCGGCTCCCACCCCTCCGCGGGATTCCACTCCAGCAGACGGTCCGGCGGCACGACGCGGCGGACGAGGGCGTAGTGATCCCGGAAGGCCTGCTTGCCGTTTGCGGTGAAGTTCCCCCGAAACAACGCCTCGAAGCCCAAGCGGCACATGCGATTGCCACGGCCAAACTGCTCCGGGTCGATCCAACCCAGCAGCGTGGCGAGCGGGCTGTAGGTCTGCGCCATGATGGTTTGCTGCATGGAGTGGTACCAGGCATCGACGTCGCGCAGGGTGAGCACGACTTTGGCGTCCGGGTAAGCGGCGACGAGCTCCTCGACAAACACCGCGGCGGGGAAGTCGGTGACGGCCTCGACGTGGCCGAGGAGTTGGTCCCAGTCGGCGCGCGTGAAGGGCGGCCGGCCGTCGTCGGGGTGGTATTTGCCTTCCAAGGCCTCAGTCCACATCACCGCGTCCTTGGGGTTCTGCATGATCGAGGTCATGTGGTAGGTCTCGTAGCCGAGTTCCTGCAGGGCTAGCCATGTGGCTATATGGCTGTCAGTTT